AATATTAAAATTTAAAATCTTATAATTAATATGAATGAAACATTTTTAACGGAATTAAAATACTTAACTTCCACATATAACAATAAAACGTTATTTAAGAGAAATTACTCTTGTAGCGGTATAACCGGCTTGTTAGTGTATTAGTACTGTATTAGCTAAATACTGTCTATAGTTTACGCGAGTAGTACACATTTAAATAAAACACTTTAACGGTTTAAAACGCGATATATTAGTTAAACTTACGTCGAAACGTCGGGCCGAAGTTAAAAATAATTTTCAAATAAGTTTAACTAATATATCGCGTTTTAAACCGTTAAAGTGTTTTATTTAACTGTATTAGCTATTAATCAACGGGTCTCGGGTTCCATCTCTACCGGGTCCAACTTTAATCACGTTGCGGTCTGTGTATTTCGGAATATTCAAAGCTAAAATCTGTTGCCGGCGCATCTTATTTAGATGTAAGTAATACGGCCTCCTGTCCTCACAAAAAAGCCGACTTTGAAGGACATCGGTTTGTATATATACCAAAAATAAAGATGTTCACTTGTGAAATTGTATTTTTTTAGTATAGAACTGCTAGTAATATCTACATCTCTTTATAAAGGATAACGGAGTTTACAGCGAAACATAGCTTCTTTTAATAAGCAACATCTGTTCAACTAAAATAAAAGAAAGACAATTCACAAGTTAATTGTATTTATTGTCAATAAAGTCTCGTTAATACTGACAGTCTTTCGAGAGAAAACATTAATAGAGGGTAGTACATTACAAAAGAATGCAAAATTACCCTCGAGACGCTACGACACAGCGACATAAACTTTTATTGTCTTGCTAAGAAACGACACGACGGGTTAAAAACGACATGTGAGTTAATAAGCATAGCGTGTCCTTGTCACTCAGTTAACTTAAAGGTTTGATAGACAAGGACAAAACATATCTATTTACTAGTAAGGTAAACTTTAATAAACACATTTGCAATTCTATTTTTTGCCCGCTAATTGTTTCATTGATTGCAAAAAGGTAACTTACAAATAGATCGAGTATTGACCGTTTAATTAAGCAATTATAGAAAAACGAATGAATTGCTGTGGGACGTTCTACACTAAAATGTGTATATCTATATAATATTATAAAGCTGAAGAGTTTGTTTGTTTGATTGCGCTAAACTCAAGAACTACTGGTTTGAAATGAAAAAATCCAAGAAGGCTTTGGCTTATGTAACACCACGCTGCGGGTAATAGGAAAAATGAAGAAACAGTGGGAAATGTGGAAAAAAAGGGAAAAGTTATTAATCATTGAGAGTGTCCGTCGCGTGCGCTGCGAAATCGGTTGAAGATACCCAAAAAATATTTGTAATGGAATACAACACAAAAGACAGAATACATTTTTCTTTTACGACTTTAAACACCTTTGGACCGCGGTTTTAAACACCTTCTGGTCGTGACAACATTTGGCAAAAGAGTGTTTTCCAGGGTCAAATAGTATAATATACAAAGGGTTTACCGGTTTGTATTTTTGTAAGTTTGAAGTGAGTAAAATGTAAAGCTGCTGCGCGTGCGCCGGTTTGAAAAATCCTTAGATCCTTAATGCGTCACTACGCTATTCTGTGGCCAGCCACCTAACAAAATACCTAATTAAGGGTTATATAATTACTTTTTAATTTCTCTAATTACAATAGCAATATTGTGTTATATATTAAAAAAGAAGTTTTAAGTATTGTAGTTTACGCGAGTAATCTTTGTATATAGAACACCTTTACCAAATAGTAAATAACTAATATATTCCGCGTTTTAAACCGTTAAAATTATGTAATTTGAACATTATGCAAATTAAAACGAATATGAAATTAAAATTGGGACACGGTAGTTAAATTGGTTAGATCAGTCCCACCCTTGTCATATTCAATCTAAATATATATTTAAAACTGTATATTTTCATCGTAGTTTTCCAATCTTTTATTGTATGAGTATTAGCATTCTAATAGACACGCCATTAAGTTATTAAAGTTCATTGAATCGAGTTCAGATTATACTTTACAAAGACTGTATGGTTGAGGTCAAGGCACTTTGAGCCTTGATCGTGAACCATAAACTTCAATCACGAATTTGATATATTATTTACTAGCTGTGCCAGCGAGTTCTTTCGCGTATAATTTTGGACATCCGAAGTCGTTTTTGCAAACCCCTTTTTTCTTCTTAATCTTTATAAAATTAAGCTGTTACCTACGATGTCCGTCACGTCCTTTCCTGTCGTTCTTGCAAGTTAATCTTAAAAGATAAACATATAGCGGACTTTATTAAAATATCATTTAAAGAGGAATCATTCTTCTTTACATATTTTTTGGGTTGTCTTCCTCGCCAAATGCTTTAAACAATACAAACACATAACTTTTTGATCCGAACCCGTAGGTCTTGAGATTAGTGTGTTCACACAAACAAACTCTTCCGCCCTATATATTAGTATAGATATAGATATTGACAAACGATTGAGTAAAATCATAATTTTCAAAAGAAAGCAACTTCTACTTATCATAATATACCTAAAAATTATTAATAAACAAAATAAATTACTGGTAAATTTAATTTGATTAATACAGCAGGTTTCAAATTGCAAAAAGGCGCCTTCTAGATATTTTTTATCTCCTCTCCTTTTAATATTATTTCTTAATATTTAGGTTCTTATGCAGTTTATTTGTGTGGTTCGAATCCATCCAAAAATTATTTTAAACCACGACTCGAAGATTTACAATAGCCGAAATGTTGTATGAGTAAAATCAAAGGCCACCCTGCGCGTGCGCCTGTTTGAAAAATCCCTTGATTCTGAGTCAGTTACCACACTGTACCGTTGTTAGCTAGGTATTCAAGCGTTATATAGTTACCTTCTATCTTCTAGCCTTTGAAGAACAAAAACAATAATGTGTTCCATATTAAAAACGTAGTTCTAGGCATTATTTGTAGTTTCGCGAGTAGCCTTTTATATAAAACACTTTTAACCGATTAAAACAAAGTTAAAATAAATCATACATAAGTCATCTAATTTATTTCGCTTTTAAAACGTTAAAAGTTTAATATATCGGTACTCGCCTTAACTACCCAAAATACTTTCTTGAAATCGACAATCATCTTTGTCCCCGCGATTCCCTTAGGCATCCATACAATACAATATAATCGCGTTCTTTATAAATGCATAAAGAAATCCTAAATGGATTTCGCGTCAACTGCGCAGACAGTTAAATAAATCAGAGGGCGTTTTAACAAATTGATATTAAAGTTATTTCGGTCTGAACGTGAATAAATTTCCTTTATATACCGCAACTGGTTGTATCAGTCTGTTAATCCAACTTAAATAGCTTTATATACCATAAAACAATGTTCTCTTTTTACATTGAAAAACAGTTTTATAGGTTTTCTTTGTCTAGATAAAATTATGAATTGAGATGAGATTTTAGTGTTACTAGCCTAGTTTACACGCCTGCGTCTGGGAAAGCACGTGAAGTCGTATTTTAGTGACGATAGCTTTTAAATCCGCCAACTTACATTGGAACAGCGTGGTGGGTTGAACAGTCTCTCACATGGTAGAGATGTGTTCAAAGAAGTGAGATTTGTAATATGACCATGACCACGGCTGGTGCATAGCATCCCGTAAAATAATTTGATTCCCGTAAAATATATATCGGGTTTTAAACCGTTAGTGTTTTACACATTTAAATAAAAGAGAGACTAATGATGGAGGATGTCTTTGACGTCAAAGTAAAAATTGCTACGCTAGCGCCATCTGTTGGCGAAACTGGTCGGGTACCTTGCAGAACTGACTAACTTTAATATTTTCACATGAAGGCATTATATAAATTAAAAATCTATCTAGATTAGATACAAACATGCGTAGGACACGGTAGCCTGATTGGTTAGAGCAGCAGCAAGGTACGCTATAGATGCCGGTTTAAATCTAGATGAATTTTTAATATCAATACTTAGGTAGATTTTTAATTTAAAAAACGTTTCATCAACGCGCACGCTTATAACCTGGTAGTAATGGAGAACACATGTTAATTTTATCACTATCTTGATTTAATTATCGCGAGGAGGCAATTAATTAAGTTAAATGGCAGTAATGTGAAATGTTTTTAGCATTCCCCAAAGCTTCGTTGGCTTTGGCGTGGGTCCTTCGTAAAGTACTTTAAAACATAAATCTTATACTGCGGTTTTTTTGGGTTAAAACAATTTGGCAGTACGTAGTATAAATTGTGCTTATTGTGCATTCCTGATAATCTGTAAAAATAAAACAAACGTTTTTTAGCAATTAAAATTGTTAGTACAAAAAATAGTATTTTATAGCTACTAAGATAAATAAGAAACACGTTATAATATACTATACTGTATATTTATATAAACCTGAAGAAATTTTTTGTTTGTTTAAACGCGCTAATCTCAGGAAGTACTCGTTCGAATTGAAATTTTTTCTATTGCTTTTATGAGTATTTGTCGAGGAAGGCTATAAAAAGAATAATTCCTCTTTAAATTTTCTAAAAAAATGTCCACGACAGTATATGTCTATCTTTTAAGAACGACTGGTTGCAGACTACGTCGTGGGTGGTCTTAAATTTATAGAGTTGATCAGGAGGTTTGTAAAAACAAATTATGATAGCCACAATTACTATTCTACGCGGAGTCGCTGACACAGCTAGTATTATAGTAATAAGTAGTATTGACCTAACTAGCGAACAACCGGTCGTTCTGGAAGTCTATGGGGAGGCCTATGTCCAGCAGTGGAAACCGTACGGTTGAATCGAAAAGTAGTAATGACGAATAAGTAAACCCTTCCCTTCTCCCCCTTCCTTGGTCACGGAGTCTTAGATGTCCTTAGCTAATCAACAAATAGATACACAAAAATATTTTGTTTTTAATTATTTTTTTGTGAGAATAATATAACGTTAAATGTAGGTTGTATAATCTGTGAATAAATACGAAAAACAATGTTTACCTAATTTCTTCTCTGTCCAGATGGATATCAAAAGACGCAATGAACCTTCGTTTCTGACTGCCTGGATATTTTTATTACAAGTAAGTTAAATCTATATTTTGAATCACGAAATATATTAATATTAAGTAGTAGTAAAATTTACTTTACTAAAATTTTCGCATTCAAAACAGTTAAAAGTGTGTTAATGTAATATTTACTCCTCACGTAAACTACAAACAAAGCTTCACTAAATTTCATAAAATATAAGAAATCCCCTCTTTTCTATGTAGGATGGGGGGCATTTTCTAAGTGCATTTTTATAGAAAACCTAGACTAGACCAATCAACGAAGAATTTCAATGTGCAATATAAAATATGAACAATAATTTTGATCCACACTTTACAGATGTTAGGAGGCGCTCATCACGGTGCCGAAGGTCACGGGAGACTAATGGACCCGCCAGCCAGAAACTCCATGTGGAGATTCGGATTTCCAAATCCTGTCAACTACAACGACAACGAGCTATTCTGCGGCGGATATGCCGGTCAGTGTCGTTAATAATTTTGATCTTAGTTTTCGTATATGCTAGATGCGATATATTTTTTTTTTGTGGTAGTAGAGGACAAAAACGCGATTCACTTGTTGGAAGGTGTATAACTATGCCGTATAACACTTTACTTTTGATATCCACAAATCTAAAGATTGTAGTTTGCAACCCGTGCGGAATTCCAGAATTTTTTTTGTGTGAAATCCTTCCCCCCTCGTGGGGCTTGAGGCGAACACATTTCTGTGTCCATTTCACTGATCCGTTCTTTAACAGACAAGTAGTGGATCAGACTTCTGTGCCCTGCCTGACTAAAACAATGTTTGTTTCCCTGGGATTCGAATCCAGGACCTTTCGCGCTTAACGCAATGCTAGGCAATACGTTTAACCGTTTGGCTACAGAAGTCAAAAAGAAGTCCAGACTTACTCCGAGAAAAAAAATGAAATTGATAACAATGATGTAAACCAGTGGGGAGGAGGAACACCCGACCCGTTGATTGTTAAAGAATACATTGAATAATTCTACAGACTGAAAGCGAAGCTATTAGTACAACGAGGCTGTCATTATGTTGGATATTTAATTATTATTTATTTATAGATGTTCATCTATAATTATTCCAGAAAAATTGATATGTCGCTACTTAGTGAGGTTGTAGAAATCCAAAGATCCCAAGAGAATATGAAATAAAATTGATCCGACAATAAGTGTGTTCGCTCTTAACCATTTTTTTTAATAAAGCACGACTAACGATGTTTATCTATTTAAACGAAATAATAATTAGGTACTCATTCGGTCGTTCACAACTTACCTGGTTTTTCTATACGGTAAACACATTCTTAGAACCCTTACGTCATGTTGTTTGATGAAATTCCACAGGGCATTATCCTTGCATACAATGCTGTGCTAATTCATACTTTTTTGGGTTCCGTACATAAAGATTAAAAGCCAATGACTAACTTGGACTCCGCTGTCTTACGTACGACGTCCGCTCTTGTTCGTTAGTTACAGACTAAAAAAATACTCTTCAATAAATAACGTTATAACAAGAAATTACTATCAAAATAAAATAATAATTAAAAGTGGTCTTTGACATAGGCAGGTCAATAGGCAGAATAGAATAGCGCAATATTAATTGTTACGGAACCATTCTTGAGCGAGTCCCAGACGCACTTGGTTGGTTTGATCAATTAAGGAGTGGTTTTGGTTCAACGGCTTCATAAGATGAAAATCATCTAATGAGATTCAAAGATTATTACGAATTTCATTTATAGCATATTCGTTAGTTATCTAAGTATGTACTTAGTTGCGCAAACAAAGAATTTAAAGTAATATTAATGTTCTTTAGCAGATAAAGAAGCAGACTAAACGTTTACAAATATTTAAAATATAAGTATATAAAAGCTATTGGAAAGAAAAAAATATTTACCAAAGCTGGTTAATACATTGATGTCAATTCTTAAGATACAGGAGGACATTTGAAATCTTTAATATTTTTCACATGTTATGTGTTGCACATGATGGCACTATATAATTTAAAAATCGAAAATAAATTAAAAAAAAATAGACTGAAAGATTGAAATTTTATTTTTAAATTTATTTTCGATTTTTAAATTAAAAAATGGTATTAGAACGTCAAACTATTAACACACACGAAAAACTAAGTTAGGCAATTTAAAAATAGAACACTCGTTGAACTTTTAAATTGAACCATTTCGATTTTTGATATTCAAGGATCTACAGACTGAAAGCGATTAACTTCACAGCTTTATCATCTGCGGACGGTGGTTCATGACCCAGGTGGAATTACGATATTCTTACAATCCATTTAATATCTAAATTTCCACACGAAATCCAACGTGGATCAGAACATTTTTAAATGTGTACGTGTGTGTTGCATAAACTACAGTATTATAATGTGACGATACGACTCGTCGATTAAGAGCCCAAGTTTCTTTCCCACAATCCCTTACAAAGAACAAGAACCATATGTATTGATAAGGAGGTAATGTGTAAATACGACGTCACCCCAAAAGCTACCTAGATATAAAATATCATGGCCTTTTAACGAAGAGTTCCTAGTTGACTCCCTGTGCGGGACAAATTAGGGCCTAATTATGTGGTTGTTGGCTGATGTAGCGTGTGTTCAGTCCAGTGGGAGCAGAACCAGGGTCGGTGCGGGGTATGCGGAGATGCTGATAACCTGGCTGAGCCAAGACCGCATGAAGCTGGAGGGATGTACGGGAAGGGAATCATTACAAAGCATTATAGTGTTGGACAGGTAAAATTTTCTTTTTGGTCTGGATTTACATACACACACATGTGCAATGTGCACACACATGTGTAGTGTGGACATATCGGGAGTGACGATAATTGTAAATCTATACTTATATATTATAAAGCTATTATAAGAGTTCGTTTGTTTGTCTCGGGAACTACTAGTTCGAAATGAAACACTCTTTGTGTCGCTTTGAGCATTTTTAAGCTTTAGGCTATAAAACATCGCGCTTTGACTAATAGTAGCGACGATACAGTAGGAAATGTGGAAAAACTATTTACCAACTAGGGTTTCCATTGCCTGCGCTACGAAAACAGTTCAAGAAACCTGTGAAATACGTAGGAAATAATGATCAATTCATCTCATGATGATTGAATGATTATTCTCTTTGAATGATCTAAAAACCTGGTATTGATAAAGATGAGGCGGTGGTTAAAAAAAACAAAATTTTTGTGCCTGAAATAACTATTCTACGATTACAAATACTACGATTGAAAACTGCTTAAAACAATTGTTATTACTAACTACCTACTTTAAAAAATATATTTCCTAATAGATATTGGAATTTAAAACAAAAATGTAACGCGTTCAAGGGCTTTTCAAGTTTTTCTTTCGCTACTTGTTATCAGCCTTTAAAATAATAATCTCTAATTAAAATAACTATATAAAGATATAGATTTTTTAAGTTACTTATTTTGTTTAATACATTCTAATGTATATATAATCTTTGAAACTTTTGACAGGAAATTGAAGTAGAAGTGGAGTTGACAGCGAACCACCTCGGCACATTCGTGATGAAACTGTGTCCGAACAACAATCCTAAGCAAGAAGCTACGCAGGAATGTTTTGACAGGTAAATTAATATTCAAATAAAACGATTTTAACAGTTTTACACCTAAAATATATTAGCTACTTATTTAATCTACGACCCGAGGTTTCGGATGCTATGCATTTTTTAGTCACTGAATAAAATGTATTTTTAATGACCTATTTCGATGATAATATGAGGCCGCTAGAAGCAGAGTAGCCTAACTGAAATTTTATGACTTGACTATTTATATTTTTATATTCTAAATATGTTGATCTACTAGAGCACAGTAGCCGAACATTTTTAACATAATTCTTACACAAATAATAGAACAAATTCATTTTCGCGTAAGTTAATATTGATAATCATGTTTTTTGTTATTAGGCCACTCTGCCGCAGCCTCATATAGACTAGGTATACATTTATATTATATTACGTTTAGTTATGAATATTTGAAAATTGGTTCCAGATTTCCATTATACGTATCAGGAACACGGGAAGACAGATTCCTTATACCTCTGGATACTGCGAAGAAGGAGGTCTTCCGGTACAGAGTTCGATTACCACCATATATAACTTGCACACAGTGCGTTCTTCAATGGACTTATTATACCGGTTAGTATTTACCTACAATGCTAAAATGTCCATAGTGACCCTCTATCGTAGTAAATGTATAGTTATGACAGAAAATTTAGCAACAAAAAACGAGATCAACTTTTGAAGATGAAATGTCTAAGTACAAAAGACAATGAAATTTTTAACATTTTTCCAAGCAATAATTGTTTTTTCATAAGATTGTGAAATCCTATTTTCCATTGTGGTTAATAAAATGACATAACCGTTACCTAGGTAACATGTGGGGAATATGCCCTAACGGCACTGAAGCAGTTGGATGCGGCAGATCAGAAACATTCAGGAACTGCGCTGACATCAGCATAGTAACGAACACTGGTGGTATACCACCAGCTTTCGCCGGAGACTTGAGGCGGGACAATCCATTCCTCTTGTACTACAGAGACTTCAGTATGCCCCTGTCTATTTACCCACTTGTCGTCAGGTGAGACAATTCAAGATTAATAAATATTGTAAAGAAATTACATAAATTAACTTTAAATAAAACACTTTAACGGTTTAAAACGCGATATATTAGTTAAACTTATTTGAAAATGATTTTTAACTTCGGCCCGACGTTTCGGATGATTTGCAGCAGCGCGTTTTAAACCGTTAAAGTGTTTTATTTAAATGTGTACTACTCGCGTAAACTATAGACAGTATTTAAATTAACTTTTATAGGCGAAGGTTCTACTGCTCCATAGATCCTGGCCGTTAATTGATATCTTCGCATTTTGTATATTAAACTCCGGGGCAGTGTGAAGTTAATGTTTTCGGCAACTGCCTAAAAATATATATTTATAAATATTTTATTATCTTCTTCAAAATAAAATTATTAGTATGTATTTTTAGTAAAAACTATACTTGATAAAATGTCTTGACTCAATTTGACTCCAGTTAAACTAACATTAGTACGATTGCTATGTCAATGTTATTGAGAAAAAAAAGAAAGACGAATAAAATTACTTACAAAGTAAAAAAAATATGGCTTTGAAAAACACTAATGTGTCATTAAATCAATTCTTTAGGTACTTATTATAGCATAGATGCACAGACTCATTAATACTAGGGGCCACTCGGCCAAATCATGAACTGATGGCGGTCCGCCAGAAGTATAGGTAATTAAAGATTTATTTTCTTTAATTGATAATAATGTATTAAAATTTAAAGAGAATTTATTAATTTGAGTATTAAATACTATCTATAGTTTACGCGAGTAGTACACATTTAAATAAAACACTAATAACCATTTAAAACACGATGTATTAGTTAAACTTATTATATAAAATAAGTTTAACTAATATATCGCGTTGTAAACCGTTAAAGTGTTTTATTTAATTTGAGTATTATTTTTACTGTCGTCGGGCCACCAGTATTCGACCGGCGAGCCGCGGTCTGTGCATCTCTGATTTAAACTTTTAATCTCTATGCTATACTTCAAATTGTATCTCGTACATAAATACGTTGTCTATTATATATATCTTATTGTGATTACATAATAAGTACTTAACATTTCAGCAAATACAAAGCTTTAGCGAAGGAGAAATTGCAAGACGTTAGGTAAAATAAATTTGTAACTGAGTTGTTTAATTTGTTCATTGGAACTGTACACTGTATTATATATTTTTATTCCAGCAATGATATATCTGAAGCAGACTTAGCTGAACCAATCATAATTAGGTATTGTGAATTGGGAATAGCATGGTGTTCGTGTTGTGTGAATAATTATTGTCTGTTGTTGTATGTTGTGTATAATCTATGTATATCTGTTTGTTGTGACTAACCATCTATCTGAAGTTACTTGTTTATATGTGTATTTACACAGTCGTTGTTTATCAGACTTAGAATAACAAGGTCTAAAAATAAAAATCTATTTAGATTGATTTAAGATAAGAGACGTGCGGAACTTGAAGTGGCGTCCACAGCCGCCCGTGCTGCTGCTCTAACCAATTAAGCTACTGTGGTTCACACGTGTTAAATAAACTTGGTAGAATATAGTAATGGACTTAGTATTTGTTTGTACTTATAAATTGGCATAGGGTTGCGAATTATTTAGAATGTATACGTATATAATTAATGTTATTATAACTATTCTCTAACAGATTCACTCTTAAGTAGAAGACTGGGAGATTTAATCATTGTTTATGATTAAAAAACTGTAGCAAACATTGTTATTGTTCCTCAAAAAGAAAGGACGTTGATATGGGTTCCATTTGTAACTAGAGGAAGGCAATCTAATGAAGATTCTTCTCATTTTCAGGGACCAAGTTTGTTTGCCGTCTGATGGTTATCGTATGCTACCAGGGATGCAAAATTGGTGTCAAACCAACTGCCTTCGTTACCCACCTAATTGCCCCGATCTTTTATGCCACTGTCCGTAAGTATAATGTTGTCTTACTCTTCTTCTTCTATCTTAATTTCACTTAAGTACACAAAGTAAGTAAAGTACAATAAAAATATGAATTTAAACTTACGGAGTGAAAAACCTTTAAAAAAGAACGCAGTTAGATTTTGTTTAATGTTAGGATCGCCTTCCACAAAAAAAAAGTGTAGGTAACGGTTCAAAAAAACAAACGTTAAACGTGTTCTATTAAATAGAACATTCGTGCGCAAGAAAACTGATGGTCAATAATTATTGTGTGTCTTAACTGGATATTAATTAGCTGATATTTACTATTTCCAGGCAAGTCTGTGAAGCTATAGGCGAATTGGAAGGAAAAGAAGGTGCCGATGTTTACTGTATGGACCAATGTATTGTGTATCCACCGCGCTGCCCAAAAAACAAATGCCTCTGCTACTAAGCTGGAAGCGTGTGATTAGTTTAAATTTTAGTGGATTTTGTAACAGTAAAAGTCCCACTCTAAATTCTGTAACTACTTATTAACTTGCTACTTATCTACGCTGTTACCTCAAACGAATTCTTATTAAACCATCATTCATTTCAATGTAGGTTTTATAAGTAAATGATGTTTATTTAAGTATTGAGCAAATAATCGTTTCGTTAATTTATATATATTGCAGGGATTTTGGATGAAAAGTCAAAAAGTTGAACACAAAATAGCGTGCGCATGCGCTGACTTTTTTAGTAATAAAACATAGCAAACAGAGCCTTTCTCTGACATTCCGAAAAATCTTCATTGGTAGTGTATATAATTATGTTTGTATATTTTTTTACAGCGTTTACTAAGGTTTATGATACTATTGTGCTTTTTGGAATAGTATGTACAGTTGTATATATATTTTATTATTATATCATTACACGTTTTTAATTACATAAATGTTTCGTTATTGTGACGATTCTGCCATGTCTACAATGGGTGCCAGATTATATTGTAACGTTAAATAAGGTTTTGTAAAATAAACATTTTAGATATTACAAGTTCTTTTAATCATTATTTGTTATACATTCCCAATTTCAAATTTCATTAACTATTGTTTTAATTAGCAACTAAAAAAAAAATTAACATATTGTATTAAATTTATCGCCCATTACTATTTAAGGTATGTATTTCATAAACTGGAAAATTCGTTAAAAAGTACATAATATTTTTTCGCTCGTTTTTTATATGAGATGCTATTATTTTTTTATGAAAACAAGAGTTTAGTTCAAAATAAAAAAAGTTTTCAAAAGCCAGCACCTGATAAAAGACGATCTTTATAGTGGAATTTACGTAGTCTGTGGTAAATAGTGATACTAAAGTGCGTACTGTTAGAACTTGACAATTGACACATCATTATTTATCTACACAAATATTATTGTTGTATTGACAATTGCTAGTATTTTCTATCAAATTAATGTTTTCATTTAATTAGGCTGTAGAAATTTCTGAATATTGATAAAATTCTAGGAATAGAAAATGAGCGATATGATGGAAGATGATTTGGAATTTCGTGGAGGCACACTGCAGTTATCAGCAGACAACAGCATTGCGGGGAGTTCTGAAAACAGAACCCGGGCTACACAAAATCAAGTTAAAACCCCGATAAACGCCAACCCTTCGGTTTTATCTGGTGCGGACTCCTTATCTTCATCTGCATCGTCATTTGCAGGTACGAGCCATTAATGCACAATGGTATGGTGTAATATAATTGTGCATGTAGTAGGGAAGCTGTTTTTACCAGTATTTTAGCTGATTATTACGAAAAAAAATATATTTAAAAACCTTAATTGAAGCTGATTACGTAGGTTTAAAAGTTTAAAAATTTATTTGTTTTATTTGTTATCAACAATTATTACCCTTACTTATGGTATATCACTTATTCTGGACAATTTTATTAATCGCCTTCTGGGGTTCTCTTAGATCTAAGAAATTCATTATATTACTTTGCCGAATGCTTAGGTCTGAGTTACAGACGCAGACACTCATGTTCTTGGTAATTCCTTTCACTAACACATAGTACAATTTGATGTTATAGTAAACTTGTAGTAACTTTGCTTAAACACTAATAAGATTTTAAGATTATCTTCAGTAACTTAAATTGTCTGTCTGATATATTATATATAGATAATATTATATGTCTGTTGTTAAAACCCCTATATGGTTGCTCAAATTCTTCCTCTAATTCAAATTTCAGATGCTAGACAGGATCAGAGCACTTCAAATGGGGCAGCGCAGCAACCGAGTACTGTTTATCCAAGATATGATGTCCCATTTGACCAAGACAATATCAAAGACTTCTTTACATTCCGGAAGGGTGTTGTTGAAAATGCTATACAGGAGTGCATTACTGCCCTCTTGTTTCCCGAGGACGGTGAATATTTGGGGTCGTGGCTGTTGACAGAGTAAGAACAGTATTCGTTTAAGCTATTAAAATGGGATTCAACCAAACATTTAAGTAAAATATATATCAAAGCTCATTTATAATTAAGACATGTAAATATTTTTCTCACCAAATTCCAGAATAACACTTTGGGACAATGAAAAGGAAAGGATAGTCTTATTAACGTCAAGACTAGTGATGACTATAAAGTATGATTTTATAGCTATGAAACAATTGGACTTCAGGAAGACGTACCTAGATGATCTTGATACTGTGGTCATTGGAGAATTGGTGTATCCACCATCGTCACTGGTTCCGTAAGTTCAAACTATATATTCTCAACATTACTTTGAATATTCAAACATCCATTCAAGTTACTCACTATTATAGGGTTACCAACTTGTTTGTATTATTAATAAAAGGCAGTTTGTACATAACTTTAAATCATTGTTTTTGGTACAAAATTAAAAAAATTAGAAAACAATTCTTATAGAAATAATATTTTAGTTATCATTTGAATTATTGATATTAAATAATGTTATATTTTGACAACCCTAAGTGAAGTTGCTCTCTAAGTGTTGCTCTCTAAGTGTTGTCTCTAAATAATATTAATTAAGGTGTATAGACTATTAACAATTAAATAAATTGTAGTCGCCTTAACGGTATTGCTACCGGCGTGACGACGGTAGTAAAAGACTGCGTTATAGACCGCCTTTGCCGCAGACCCAGCACCACAGATGACAACACTAAACCGTTTGATCCCAAATACTTTGAACCTAGGTACTTTAAGTTGCTGTAGATGCGCTGTTTGTGTTAAATTGTACACCTCATCTGCCATTCTTGAAATATAGCTTAATAAGCGCAAAATAACTAGAATATGCGCATGAGTTAAAATGCGTTACCATAGCGACGTAACGCCTTCCCTTGACACACAAATGATGATTTATTATTAGAAATAGTGAATTGTGTCAAAAAAGTATTAATAGGTTCAAATGTATCATAATTTAGCTATAGCTGGAAATAAATGAGTGTTTTTACTATGATCATTAAACTAAATGCTCTCATAAATCGTTCCTGATAAGATTAGTGTACATTTTTTAGTTTAATATATAAAACATGCACCACCGCCCGATACATAAATGTTGTATTACTAGTTATTTTGCGCATTATTAAAAGCTTTTATAGCTATTTCAGATGTTTTAGAAGATGTAATTAAGAATGTGCTTCGTATCTATCAGCTCATGATATTAAAAAAAAACTATTTAGAGTACATATCATAGTACTTATGAAGTTGAGTAGAATAAACGCTATTAGATTGCTTTTTGTGCTCGCCTTATAAACTTCCTTTATACTAATATTTCAATTCCTCTTGCAACAAAAATCTATAACTTGGTGTAGCAGGCTAAAAACTCTGGATGTACTTTCTTATTTGTAGCTTTGTTATAATATCTGCATGTTAACTTCTCTGCTATAATTCAAATCGGTTAGCCCGTGCTAATTCAGCCTAAAAGTCACTGTATAGTCTACAATCCAAACGTAATACTACCTTCAAGTCCCTAAATTACAGTTAAAAAATATATCAAGAATAAGTATTTTAGGAAAAACATGGTAATTTCCAAAATGTCTGGTATGATGAAGGTCGTTTTAGGTTAGATATGTATTTATAATGAGTCTATAGATTCACAAATTCTATACAATTCAGAGTTTTTGGCTGGCTCTTTATGTCTTTATTTTATTAGTTTTTTTTTTACAGAGAACGCAACCTTCGTGGTGTTCGCATGATGTGGAATAAAGGAGAGCCTTTACCATTGAAAACCGTGTGGAATCCATTCAGCCAAGAGGTTCCCTTTATCACTTTTGCCTCACATCCAATCTATTGGCATAGAGGTAAATACTGCTTAAGAACAAAAAAGTGTTAGCATCTATACCAATAATCAAATAACTCATCAAATCTGATTAAAGCCACTTGGCTGATTGCAGATAGAAAAGAGACAAAAAAAAAAAAAAGCATCTATACTAATATAAAAATCTGAAGAGATCTCTGTGTTGGTTAGAACATTTATCTAAAAAGGCTATAGGCTATACATGCGACTAATAGGAGCGAAGAACAGCGGGAAAAACTAGGGAAATTATTCAACTTTGTGGGTTTCCTATCCGGTTTCCAAACGGTTCAAGATATCACATTTCTTTTTCATATTCCTCTTTAAAGGATCTAAAAAAAAGTCCGACACTATACGTCTATCCTTTACGATTAACTTGCAAGAACAACGGGACGTGACCGACGTCGTGGGTAACAGCATTAATTTATAAAGATAAGGAGGTTTGCAAAAATAATATTCTACGCGGACAAAGTCGCTGACACAGATAGTCTTTATATAAAGTCATTTGTTTCACTTCTTTTTGAGTGCAGTTCAGCAGAATCTAACGATAATAATATTGTTATATTATTCTTGTAGAAAACAAGATTTATTAAATTAGTGTGGTAATTTTATATCTATGTGTTATGAGAAAGTTGATTAAGATCACCCCACCCTACGTTGTGTGTGTGAATTTGTGTTATGTTAATATACCAAAAACATTCCAGATGGCACAGCAGAAGAGAGATCTACATTCGACATGGAGAAGTTCGCGCAGAAGCTTCAAAGAGCGATCGAGAACATTCCCGGTACCGCGTGTTGTATCCACCACTCGCCCATAGTTATTCAGTCCTATCTCGGCCTCACGTCGCTGTTCCATAACAAGACCAGCATGGGATTCTTCAAAGTGCGAGGGAAGTTCAGCTTTTAAACAGTAGGAGGAGGGTAGTTGTATATGGTTTGATTGTGTCAACTCCTGAATGCAAGATGAAGAAGGCGTTCTGTCAATTGGTCGATCCGTGCTAGTATCGAAATCATAAAAAGCCGACAGCGCATCGTGTTTAGATTGTATATGGCTGGGGTATTTTAGCTATCATGTGGACCCCATGTATGTCTATCCTTTGTTAGAAAGAGTTCTAATAGATGAAACTAAATATCACTCTTTGATGTATGTTTGTTTGTGAAATTAGTTTTGTTACTTGAAAATAACGTAAAACTAAACGAAGAAACTTAGACGGATTGAAACGCAAAATATCTTTTTATTCATTGGCTTTTATCCCCAAAACTTGTTTGTTGAAACTAATGTCAATGTTATAGTTGTACGCTAAATTTTATCACTATATGTATTTACATATAAGAACCATACATACATACTGGTTTATATGATATAATAATTATAATTAATTATTAATAATCTACAAGTATATTCGATTTATGTTGATTTAGAAAAATGTTACTGGCAACTTTGAATATTCTGTGATAAAGTGCATAATCTACTGAGACTTTCAGCAGCCGATTTGACATTTTGAATCTGTCAAAATGTCTGCTTATTAAAATCAGTCTCAAGTATTTCAAGTACAATTAAATAGTTATTTTATTGTTGGTTCATGTTATTATAGTATTGTTGAGATTATGAAGTTTTATATAGATTTGTTTTAGTACAAATTATAGTACATACTATATTTATATATAATATATATATTGGTGTTTAAGATATACTTTAGTCAACGAATATACTATATAAAAATCACTATGGGCCCATATTACCGTGGCGGTTGTGCGGCCGTCGCATGTGTATTACGTCACTATTCATACCTATTTCGGCTTTTGGGACAGCTTATTAAATTGCGGGTAACCGCTTAATTGGGCCTTTATTGTAAAATTTCTTTAAACACTTTTGGAAAATCTATACCAATATATAAAGCTGAAGAGGTTGTTTGTTTGTGTGTTTGAACGCGCTAATCTTCGGAAGTACGGGTTCAAATTGAAAAATTATTTTGTGTTGGTTATAGCGTCGAGGAAAGCTAAAACATCGACCTGTGTTTTAATTACAAGCGAAGAAACAGCGAGAAATGTAAAAAAAGTGGGAAAAAAATCATTATGGGTTTTAAAGGCGTACGCGGATCAAGATACCCAAAATAAAGATTCACGCGGACGAAGTCGCTGACACAGCTAGTCTTCTGTATAAGTCATTCAAATGATTTTCTCTTCAAAGGCCGAGTATGAATATAGCATTATTTAAGTGTTCTAGATAGATAATTCATTATTGTTACCAGAAAACTACAAAATAGTATTGCTAGTTATAACACCTATAATGTAAGTAAATGTTGTAAGGTAGCTTTCATAAATAAGGGAAAATTTATCCATATAATCGTGTAATATTAATTACCGCTACTATCTTTGAAGTCTCAATAAAATAATGTTAGCTTGGGCTGTGTTTCTTATATTTAGTACTTAGACATTATTTTGACTCTCCTTGGACAACAAAAAGAATTTATTAAACTGGTAAAAACTATTTCTAAACTAAATTAAAACACATTCATATATATAACGACATGTAATAACCTATTTACAACAAATCATAAATAATCTAGTATTTATGTTGTTTCCAAGCCTAGATAAAATTCTGTGAAATTATTATCTATTTCCTTTGACGTAAAGGGGTACAAAATATGGGGAAAACACATTTTAGTAATCGGATGTGTGTCATTCTTGTTATTATATTTAGTATTTTAGAAGGCCTACTGTAGGACCTATCTTGAAGATAAGTAATCAAAATTGCTTTTAATATATTTCGTTGTTTATGAATAAGGTTATTAAATACTGGCTATGTGTTTTATTTTAGATGAGGTCTTATTTGACGCCGCTAGAGCCAAAGTGGCCTAACTGCAATTTTACAAGAATACAGTGACCGAAATTGCTAACATAGTTCTTACACAAATAATAGAACAAAATCATTTTTGCGTAAGTTAATTGCGCATTTTTTTCCCTCCTTATTTAAAATCATGTTTTTATTATTAGACCACTGACTCTACCAGCCTCATTTCATATAATTATTTTATTCTTAATTGCCCGTTTGAGAGGCAATATTAAAACGGTGATATTTATTTTCATAAATAAGTTATATTGTGTTAGTAAATATCCTTTGGAATAGTGGAAATATATTTGAGAAGCCGTTTAAAACTTTATTATTGCAATGTTGAGATAAGTTTTAATCAATATTAAAGTCATTTTCGTCCCAATCTTTTGGAAAAGTACAATTCTCCCAAAATGATCCTAGATCCTTTAACGTAGGATCGAACTCCTCTTTTTCTATTACTCTGATATACTTAATATTCGCCACCCAAGACTTATCGTTCTCTTTCTGACGGATTGATTGCGTTTTTTGTTTTTCTAAAAGTGTCTGTTCTCTTATGATGCCGGTTAAAATTCGGGATAGCGTGTCTAAAACCTGAAAAGGTAAATTTTTCTACTTAACAACTGTTAGCTGGAACGCTCAGATAAATAAAAAGGAAAATGTCTAATTTCTATTTCTTTGAAGTTATACACAGGTTTCATAGACAGCAGAGTATATAGTTATATAAAAATCACTGTATCCGCCGCATATGAAGAGGATACAATGATTTTATGATATGCACATACCTAATGAAAGTGATAATGATTAAGTACTGCCTGTAATTTACGCGAGTACATTAAAATAAAACACTTTTTAACGGTTTAAGATTCGATTATTTATGTATAAGTTAAAACTGATTTAAAATTTATTTTACGTAGGTACGGCATGCTTTGCAACAGCCGTGGTAATAAGGAGACTGAAGATCGAGGTGTCCCTAATTTCAAAGTCAAAAAATCGGTATGTATTTGGGGAAACTAGCTGAGTCATTACAGAATCAGTTTAAGTAATACATTTCGCATTTGAAACCATTAAAAAGTGTTTTATTTATATATGATGAAGATTTTATTGAGTCTTTAAGTAAGCAGGTACCTGTAACTTTCGTTCATCTGTGTTACATATTTCGACCAATGAGGAAACCTGGGCCCGCATGTCTTGTGCATCTTCGATTGATATTTTACCGTTTTCGTAAATGTAATCATCGGTTGCTATTTTTATTCTCATTAATTTGTTATTGATGTTTATTTGCTATCAAAAAATATCCCATAAGATTAGTTTCACTTGAGATGACATTATACAAAATGTCTAAAAATTACATCTATATCACTCAACTAAACTTTTACATTACACGTTTGATATTTGCATACAAACTTAAAAGATAAAGGCGTTACGGTTAAAATTCATGATATATACAATAATTATATAAATTTAAGACTTAAAGGTAAAGATAATGTTTGGAATCAGTAATTGACAACATTAACAATAAATATAACGAAAGCGTGACTTTTTGTACACTAATCTTATTTTAATATTAGCTGTATTGAATAAATTAATCGTGCTTATTAATAATACAATAAATAAATGAATGATATTTATTTATAATATTCCCTTTAATAACGCTTAGTAACTTATATCTGTAGAAAATTTTGGAATCAAATATAAATCAACAATAAAATGTTAAAAAAGATAAATTCGTACCTTTGCATTCAATTTCTTATGTAAACGCTTACGTGGCATTCTTAAACTGTTTAAAACGACAATAGTTATTTATCTATATTTGTTCAATTTAAATATCAGAATGTTTTATTATAATATGTAATAAGTAAGAAATCATTAAAGGTTTGATTTCTGCTTCACGCACGAAACATGGGAAATAAGTATGGCGCCAAAAACGTATTACCCGCCATTTTATATATGGCCGCTGCAGATTAAAAATCGATTAATAATTGTATATACTGCCAGTATTTTTTCTAGCATGAATATTATATAATATAAATATTTTTTATAGTTTAATATATTATGCTTCAATTTATCGTTGAAAGAATTAACGAGAACCCATTTTTGTAAATCTAGGATCCGGTATATACTTTATCAAGAGGATTCAGTTATATGAATTTCCGGATTTGTAAATAGCTTGATAACAATTTGCTCTGAGAATAAAAAGCTTCAGTTCAGCTTGATATACTCAAGCTGACGTTCATATTTAGGAATTATTAAATATATTTCAATGGAATCAATATTCAATTAATATGGATTTGATGGTGTACGGATTTATTTTTTTAAGTATAATACTTATAACCGATGCTGGATATGGGATACAACCAAGTGAACAAAATCCGTAAGTTTTTATTTTTAATTGCACATTATTATTGCAAAAATTTTATCTTCTATAATATTATTTTTGAAAATCATTGTATTTTTATTAAAATTAGGTCTGAATATTATCTGTGCTAAAGAATATAGATAACATTTAGATTCAAAATTGGCGGGAATCAAACGAATTATATGATTTAAATTATGACCATCGATAGATCACATTATTCTAAGTGTGGGTCCATACCCACACTTAGAACCATGCTCAATAGAGATGTTTTTTTTACAATTATTTTTTTTCTAGGCAAGCTGATGTTCAAGCTCCACCCTACATCCCGGCGTACCTAAAGAATCGGCAGTTCACGAAATCGGTACACCCGCAGAGGTATTCCGGCACCAAGTCGGTACCTAGGAAGGTTCCTGGCACGAAGACGCCGTATTCTGGCACTAAGAGTGTTTATGGGGAACGGAGGTCGTGGCAGCAATCCGGATCTTTGTACGTTTATTTTTTGCAAATATTCAGCGGACCGGGTTTGACGGCCTCGTTAATCTAATTCTACCAATATATGGCTAATAAACAGTTCGATCCCCGGTGGTTCTAACATGTTTGTAATAAAATCATCATTTTTCTGAAACATGCTGCGTTCAGAAATCTGGATACTAAAAGGAATATCGAAAATTACGTTCAGCCCACGAACCACCGTACATAGATGAAAAAGCCGTGAAGTTTGATCACCTTCCAGTACTGACAGTCTATGGATTTTCGATTAACCTAAACCAAAACAGGTTGACGCATCGTATTAAATATATATACATTGTGCTTGCCTGGCTTCCATAAAAAAAACTGTTTTAAACTTAATCTTTACCAGTAGGAAATAATAATAAGCAAATACAGCAAATAACATTAATAATAAGCATTGTGAGATATATGATATTTAAATAGAAAATTGAAATGCAAATTAATTGAAAGACAATCATAGGTTTTTAGATATTTAAGAGTGTAAATAGTTTATCGAAATTTTTGACCAAAACTAAACACGTATGAGAATAAAAATAGATAGTGTATTTAAACAAAATACTTTTAACGGTTTAAAACGCGATATAGTTTTAGTTAAACTTGTGAAAATTATTTTTAACTACGGCCCGACGGTCACGTAAATAGTATATATAGTGTATTTACGTTCAATTCATTATCGATCCTACTTTTGCTAAAAAAATATCTTTAGTAGTATGATAAATCTTTGTCAATTTTGTATTTAAGACTAAGGAGACCACACCACTAGATGAATTATTTAAGTACATATTCTTTTCAGACCAACTTATGGACAGTTCCACGGCAATGCCAAGTCTCCGTATAGTGGTGAGTAATAATGTACAAAGATAAACAGTAGATAATCTCGAGCATTACCTTGACCTTTTCTATATAAATATAAAATATTAATTTCCTTGTATTATGCTTGTTTTCCCGCGTTTTCCCAATCATGCGACTGAAGGCTGGGTTATCTTTGGGTTTTCTGGTTTGCTTTAGCTTGAAAGATACAATCAAATTCACAACTCTTGAAATTCACATTACCTCCTTTAATAACTCGGTAATTCGGACCTCGTTTTATCGAAATTTAGTTAAATCTAATAAATATTATTTTCTTCCGTTGAACACTAAAATATTATGTACTTAAATACTGTCTTTAGTTTACGCGAGTAGTACACATTTAAATAAAACACTTTAGCGGTTTAAAACGCGATATATTAGTTAAACTTATTTGGAGATGATCTTTAACTTAGCTGACGTTTCGGATGCTTTGCAGCAGCCGTGGTCACGGGGAGACTATCGCGTTTTAAACCGTTAAAGTGTTTTATTTAAATATTATGTACTTTTCATATGTTTCCGACGGGCACGTTGGTGTAATGGTAGCGACGTACGGCTAATAGTCAACGGGTCGTAGGTTCGGTCCCTACCGGGTACAACATGTTCCTAAACAAGTTATAATTTAAAAAAAAGGTTGGTAGCAATATCGAAGTTCCGGGTCTGAACCACCGTGAAAAGCCGTGAAGTTTAATCGCGTTTCGGTTTAAGACTGTAGACTTCCGAATATCCAAAGCCAAAAAAAATATTGGGAGCGCATCTTACCTGACATTAAATGAACCCCGCTTGTCTGTCCTCCTATATCGTAAAAATAAATATTATCACCATCGAAATATCTATAGTCGATACATAATCATATTAATATAATAATAAATAATAACAGTCTCAGTAATAATAAATAATTATTTTCTTTTTATCACATTCATTAAACTTTCTATTTAACGCAGTTATGTAGGTTACTTAAGATCGATATGTCTTCGACCCATCTTTATCTTTGAATCAAATGAAGATTACATATTTTCTTGTTTACTTCAATAATATATATTCTAACTTGTTTTAATATATATACTTTAAAATCTAAAATAATTTGTTATTGAAATTTGAGTACGAATCGACAAGAACCCTTAAAAATTGCGTCTTGGTACCTGTAGGTTTCAACGGGTTATGCCCGAATTCAGTCTTGGTCTTGTTCTGGCATTTTTGAAATACCAAGACCAAAAACAAGACCGCGTATTTTTAGCCAGCCCAAGACCAATACTGACCGTGCATGACTTGAGCAAGAACAAGACAAATCCGGCAAGACTCTTGCGTCTTGGAGCTAGGACTTAGCGCTATTCGACGGAGTAGTTAGCTATAACAGTTCGGTGTATAGGTATACACTTAAGAATTCTGGACCTATGCGCATTACGACCAATACCATAAACATACAAAGCGAATAAAAAAATATCCATTAAAATCAAACAGGGCGCATACATGGGCAACACGAATATGTATGTATTAGTTAAGTCGGAATCTCGTTAACTCGATTTCTTATTTCCTCCCAGGAGATACTATTCAATTTCCCTATGTTCTATTTTTTCGTCCATATTATCGAAATTGTTAGAATTTTTTAAAGTTCTTTTGGTATCAAACATCATTATTATATTACCTACAGAAATAACAATTAACACGCCCAACGGTAATCGAATCCACAACCTGTCAGTGGTGGCTTAAACTCAGCTGGTCAATCTCTATATTATTTTATGAATATCGCGTTTAACATCCTGTCAGCAAATTACACAAATTATAAAATCCTTATCGCCCGTAACACAACCTTGCCATATTTAGTGCTTAAATAAAACCCTAAATAACGCAATCAGTGCGCGTGGGCACAATATCTCCGGATGTTAACGAATCTGGCGCATGCGGTTTATTATTAAATCGACATTAGTTAGCTCAATGTCGCCAATAAAATGCATTTTGCACGGTTTATGTGGGTCGTAGGTCAGGAAACTTGGCAATATTATTTGCGTTTGGCCTTTTAAATTAGGTCTGGTCATAACACTAAATGTAGACTGAAGTGAATTTTATTTTAGTTTAAGATATTTGGAACCAAAAATGCTTTTCCCCTAGATTAATATTTACCTATTATTGCCCATGTCTGTTGGCCGTATTCGATTTCGATTCGTGTTTGTATTTTAATTTTTAACTTAAAAATAAGTTTAACTTAAGAATCATTTTTGGTACCGCTTAGGTATAGTTCCGACGGTGTCATTAAATTATTTTAAAGTTTTAAAATATTATATGTAGCCATCATATTATGCATTAATGTTTAAAAATAATAAAGTTTAACTTTTGAAAACTTTATAATTTTTTACATGCACACTAAGGCACTATATAATTAAAAAATCGAGTCGGACGATGGCGGTTCAAGTCCTGGCCGAGTCAAAAAAATTTAATTTATTTTCGATTTTTAAATTATAAAGTTTAACTAAATAATATTTATTAAGGTACGTTTGTTATAGTGATAATGGTGTTCTCTATAATATTTTGATCGATCTTTGGCTTTACCCAGGTTGACTGGTTGTCTTCGTTCGAACTTTAGTACAAACAAACACAAACACAAATTAGAAATTTAGATAAGAAAACTTCGATATCAACTGTATATGATTTTTTTTAATAGTATATTAGTTTTAAGTAATTTATTGTATTAAAATAAAACACTTTATCGGTTTAATACGCGATATATATTAGTTACATTTATTTGAATTCAGATAAGTTTAACTAATATCTATCGCGTTTTAAACCGTTAAAGTGTATTATTCAAATGTGTACTACTCGCGTAAACTGCAGACACTATTTAATTCAATGCATCTAAATTGAAGATTAACTAAAACTTAACGCTTCTTAGATAAAACAATATAAAAGGGACAATCAGCATGCATTAATATTTTGTTTTTTGTATTAAACAGCTCTGTGTGAAGTGGAATGCAAGAACAATGGAATATGTATAGACACAAACACCTGCCTCTGTCCACCCAATTTTGATGGAAAATTCTGCGAATTTGAAAAGAAGCCATGTCTGGTTTATCCACCGACACCCAAAAACTCGGAGAAGAAGTGCACTGCTGAGTACGTATATTGTTTTAACTTTCCTCTTTGCCTTTGTCCCGTATTATATGCCGCGGAAAAACAGAATAAAAGTATCATATTTTTTTATTGTTCTCAAAAATCTACTGAGTAGGTTCTTTATTTAAAAATAACCTAACAAAAGAAGAGTCTTTATCACCGTTAGACTAGTATTTTTAGGTTATCGAGCTTATTTGCAACAAGTTGAGCTACATATAAGCTATTGGTATAAAACGTGTTGTTGAAGTTATGTACGACAGGCAAAAAACAGTTTAGATTTAGTTTTCACTTAAATAAAACAACTTTAACGGTTTAAAACGCGAAATGTATTAGTCAAACTCATTTATAAATGTAATGTAAATTAGTTTAAGTCATACCAAACAAACTCGAAATGATATGAGATTAATTTATACATTTCGCGTTTTAAACAGTTTAAAAGTGTTTTATTTAAATGTGTATACTGTAAATATATATAAATTCATTCTTATATCTCCTTCATTTTAAGCAAAACATTTGTATCAGCATCACTATATGTATACTAAATAAATAAAATATCTGTTCCCTTTTATAGTATGTGCACAATAAAATGTCTAAAGAACCACAAATTCCATGATGGCTCAGCGATTGCAAATTTGCGTTGTATGAATGGACATTGGCAGCCTACCCGATCGGACCTAACTTCGATTCCCGACTGTTTACCTGAATGTGACCCACCATGTGTAAATGGCGGTGTGTGTTTGGCTGTAAACACTTGTCAGTGCCCGACTGAGTATAAAGGACCTCAATGCCAATACGGTAAAAATAATGTATTATTATTTAAGCATCAACTTATTTCAGTTATCCTCATATTAAGATCCTCGTTCTTCCAAAACGAACATGTTGATGAAAATAAAACGTCCAAAGTTTTGGCTACATTGACAATAAATTTTATTAAAAGCAGTCAAGCCGTTTAGGCGTGAGAGTAACGAGGATAGCTCGATCTTCACTAAATGTTCGTTTACAATACCATTTACTGATTTATATCAAACAGTTTTATTTAGCTCGACCCGTACGGAATTTATTTATATGCGTCAAAATTAGATATTGAAATTTAAGCAGCTTCCCGTTGTCTGATTGATCTGAAAGTGATACACACATTTAGTTTACATGACAATACAATATAATAAAATCAATAACATTATAAATCCAAGATGGCCGCCGATACAAAATGGCGGTTTACATATTTTTCCTTTACCCCCTCAATATGGGTACCAATGAAAGGGCTACACTAGTAAAACTAAAAAAACTGATGACTATGTCAAAATTTAAACTTGCGTAACGATTTAAAACGTGAAATATATTCGTTAATCTTATTTTAAAAATGAGTCTAACTACCGCGACGATTCAGATGTTTTGCAGCCCCCGCGGTTAACTAATCAATGTCGCGTTTTAAACCGTTTAAGTGTTTTACTTAATGATATATTTACATGGTACTTTTCAATAGCTTCCAACGTCTGCGATGTTCGAAAATTGGCGTTCAATGGTGGATACAATTGTATGGGAGACGGAGAGAAGTTTTCGTGTAAGCTGAGCTGCCCCGCCGGGGCCTCGTTCAGCGTCCCACCGGCGGAAACCTACGAGTGTCTTTACTCTACTGGAATATTTGAGCCCCAACCAATACCCCACTGTGTCTTTAGTAAGTGTACTTACGAACAAATGGTTTAGTTTATTAACGCGTTGGTAAATTTGTAGTTCGAATCGCAGGTATTAAATTATGCATATAGGTACATTATTCGTTTGAGAAGAAGTGGCGTCAATTTTTTTTCGCACTTTGTTGAGCTCGTTCCAATTTATGTATAACAAACGAGGCGTGGGTTCGACTCCCGCCGGATCGAACTAATATCTAAAATCAAGTTATTTTTTTTAATGTCATTGACTTGATCTGAAAAATGTGGACATAAGTAGAAAGAAGAAGAAGTAGAAGTATAATCCCTGTTTCAGTCTACTGATTTCCGAAAGTTTCATGCCGAAACAGGCGAACAGCGCATCGAGTCGAGATTTTATATGGCTGGGGTATACTGTTCAACTTCACCCGCGGTTAACTAATCAATGTCGCGTTTTAAACCGTTAAAGTGTTTTATTTGAACTATCAATTGTAATAGAAAATACTTTTAAACCAATTCCAATAAGAAAAATTCTTATTTTCAGACGAAGTTGTTATTATAACGCCGAGTAATCATCACTACAGTAACGTAAGTATCTTTTGTTACCACCAAAAGTAATAGTAGTCATAGTTTTTTTTTTGTTCTGTAAACATAAACATTAAATTTGGTTATATTTTGTAGTCATTTTACTCCATACACAACTCGAATGAAACGGATATTACCACTACAACACCTTACCCAGTGGACAGGCACCCCATTATTGTGGTGCAAGATCTAACCCCTAAAGGGGGCAGCTGCTTAACCTGGGCTGGAAAACATTACAAGACTTTCGATGGAAAGATCTATAGGTAATATCTTCTATCAAACTTTGTTTACGAAGCTATACTTTGTCACACTCATCCAATTTTTAAACCGTGTTGGTGTAAGATGGTCTGAACAAACCAATGACTTATTTGAATTATAACAGAGGTATACTTAAGGAATAAAATGATCTATTGCATTGAATTTTATTTTGTAAAAATCTGCTATCGGTATTTTGTTTTTGAACTTAGAATATAGTTTTTTTTAATGATTTTATCGTGATTACACCAATACAGACGTTTCAGGAAAACTTACGAATATTACGCGAGTTTTCTTGAAAATTTATGATTCTTGTGGATCTCTCTGAATAGTTCATAGTCAAATGTGTCTATTTCATGTTACCATTCGTTTTGCTTGCCCGATTTAGCGTCACACTTTTGAGTCCATAATATTACCATGGATTCTTTTATATTTTCATTACCGAGCTTAGTTTGTTTTACAAAAGCAATGTGTTTCAGCTTCGAGTCCCCATGCCAACATATTCTTGTACGCGACACAGTAGACCACAAGTACACAGTCGCCCTTCGGCAACCCGAGTGTAAACGGAGCGGGTACTGCCCATCGGAGATCACGGTCTATCTTGAGGACAAGATGTATTCGCTGAGTGTTGGAGGTGAGTACCACCAAATTTTTATTCACCTTGTCAAGGCGATACTCGTAAGAAAAAAGTAACTCGTTTACTTCTTACTGTACCTCCTGTAATCGCATATAGAGTGTATAATTTTGATTTGAAGCTATTACATCTATCATAATTATATAATAATCAATTAGCATTACAATGTCGCATTTTGCCTACCCTACACGTCTCACATGAACACAATGGTATGCAAAGATGAATCTTAGGAGTTAAAAAAAGTATTTCTTGTAAACTTCTAGCATTTTTTTTACATTTTTTCTCACAGTAAAAACCAACCACGTACTTTAAAAAATATTAAAAATTAAAATCGATTCGCCGCCGTTCAGAGATAAAAGATCGTTTAGTTCCATCGATTTCCAAATGTCCCAAGCCAAGAGTCACCTCTTGCGCATCTCACAGCGCATCTGAATTAGATGTTATAGATATCAGCTACCTTCCATGAAGTCAACCATGCAAATCGCTTTCAGTAATGACCTAATAGATTCATTATACTTATTACGATACTAAATACTTCTGATAACAATTCGATTATAATAAAATTGTGTAATATTACAGAGGACAATTCAGTGTTATTTCGGAGCACGAAACGGCTGATCCCGATACCAGCTACTTTGCCAGGCATACGCGTGGATATGCCAACTGATATCTTGGTCGTTAATCTGGACGCGTTGGGAGTCACTATCAAGTGGGATCTTAACGTAAGTTGTTGATTGACGAGCTTGGTGATCCAGATACACTAATCAACATATTGGTAAACAAATAATAATAATCAAATTTCCTGATCTACCAGAAAAGACATCTATCGACACTAAAGACTGCCAACCTCCTCCGATATACTTTTTACCTTAAATCAACTATAGTGAAATATGATCTTATGAACTTTATTATGAAAAAGTAGGAATAAATAACAAGCATTTTTGTTAATAATGTTGTATCTCGTAAAATCTATAAATAAAAATTTTATACGTTCAGAACTTAGTGATCGTTGAAGGCACGGTAGCTCTCTGGAATAAGACGGAAGGTCTGTGCGGAACCCTGGACAGTAACCCAGAAAACGACATGACTACAAAGGAGGGCAACATTGCTAAAACCAAATCTGTAATGATCGCTTCATGGCAGTTGAATAAAATTGGAGGTAAGTCTTAAAATAATGATAATCTAAAAAATAATAATTTTGGGAGGTTAGCCTATACCATGTCCAAAAAAAATAAAAAAGAAAACAGTATAAAACGGTTTTACTTGTAATAAAGTCAATTAGTAAAATGGATACAAAAATATTTCTTTCAACATGTCTCTACCGCGAGGATAGACAATTTTTAATCTCTTCACGTTGTATTAGTTGGTAGATAAAATTACTACGAGATATAGACGGCCATTTCTCCAATTATTTCTTATTAAACAAATATAGAATTCTTCAAAAGAGTATTGGTACAATGTAGTCTTATATCTATTCCAGATATATGCGACGGCAGCACAAAGGAGACGAGCGCGTGTATGGACGAAACTGACGAAGCCGTTAAGAAAGCGATGCAATTCTGCGCGACTATTTTTACCAAAGACAAGTTTAGAAAGTGCTCTAAGGTACAAGGAACGAAATTATCGGTCTAGTATAATGGGCTTCCTTTTTCTTACCACGGGTAAATAAATCCTTTTCATTTATTTTTTAGGCGATGGATGTCACCCAACTCATTGAAGCCTGCCAATGGGATTATTGCGCGTGCGCTGAAACTTTAAGTAAGTACAATAAGTGGTAATTTTCTCTCGGTGTCAAAAGTAAAAAAAAAATGTGGTCATACCACATTGTACTTTTTTATCTATTTTCCGTTCCTCCCAGTATTTGAGGTATTCTATTTATTCGTTGTAATCTATGCGTAAAAAGTAGATAATAAAAAATCTATGGTTGCAGCTCCGGAAGAATGTGCATGTAGAACGGTGTCTGTATATGCCAAGGAGTGTTTACGACATGGGGTTGAGGAGATGAGGAATTGGAGGGACTCTGAAACTTGTCGTAAGTATAAAGACTACTACAGACAGAAGTTTCGAATGCTTCGGGCCGTAGTTAAATTAGTAAACAAGTTTAACTAACATATTTTGCGTTTTAAACCGTTAAAATGTGTTTTTTTTTAAAAAGCGTCCATTTACAAACTATATATTAAACATAATATTATTATGGGTAAATTATTTGTTCCAGCAATGCAATGCCCCGCTGGCAAAATCTACCGCGCGTGTGGTCCCGACACTCAACCAAGCTGCGCATTCCCTTACTCGGCGCCCCTCAACGATTCCTCGTGTGTGGAAGGCTGTTTCTGCCCCGAAGGTCTGTTCCTCGAAGGTGGAAAGTGCGTGGAGAAGAGCGAATGCCCCTGTAGAGCGAGAAAGCAGATCTTTCCACCAGGAGCTGTTGTACCGAAGAGCTGTAATACATGGTAAGCCAGCAGTTACTCAAAAAGAAAATACGAGCTGCACTCTAGTATTGGCAAAACTGGTAAATTAACAGTTGAATTTCAATACTCAGTATATTTATATATTTCAATATTATTTTATTATTCTACAGCACTTGCCAAGCAGGAGAGTGGTTGTGCACCCAAACGCCATGTGGTGCGCGATGTGGTGCAGTGGGTGACCCTCATTACACCACCTTCGACGGACTGCGATATGACTTCATGGGCCACTGCACCTACACGCTACTGAAAGCTCAAAACTTGACCATAGAAGTGGAGAATGTTGCTTGCTCCGGATCGATAACTGAGGTGAAGAAATTTTAATCTATCTTACACCGGGTTTTAGTCATACTAAAAGTTTTAAGAAAATTGTACTTGAAGAAATGCAATACGAATTTTCTATAAACTAAGGACAAAAACTTATTAGCTAAGGGTATTCCCCCCAAAAAGGCATAATAATTACACTTATTTTATTTTTCTCTAATAAATATTACATTCTTTCTGTATAATAGTATAACACCGGCTCGAAGGACCATGTAAAATTTGTTTTTGGTGTATTTAGTCAAACTATCTTTACCTACTAAGCCACATGATGCCACGCCGATCGAATCAAAATTGCTCAGATTCACTAAAAATATATTGTTAAACATATGTACTACTCTAGTACAAACCCTTCTCTTACCACTGCTAGACTATGCTGATGTATGGTCTACGGATATGAATGAGGAAGTATTAGATAAGCTGGAACGTCTGCAAAATTTCTGTATCCGATTTATCCGGTCTACGAAAATTTTACCATATTTCTGCGTTTCGTAAAAAGTCAGGGTGGTTGTCCATTCGCCTTCGGCGAGACTCACATGTCCTTCAGCTCCTATACTCTATTCTCTTCACCCCTAATTCCCCTCCTTATCTTAAATCGAATTTTAAATATTTGGGTCCCTACAGTAGTTATAGTTTGCGATCATCAGACCGTCATATTCTTGAGGTTCCTTCTCACAGCTCCAATTTCTAAGGTAAATCCTTTCTAATTACTGCGATCAGACTATGAAACGCCTTACCAGGTTCCATACGCATAGCTCCTTCTCTCCCAACCTTTAAACGGCTCCTTTAAACATATATTAATTTATTACGTTATGTTGCCAAATAATTGTTACATAATCTATTTACTTAGTTCATACCTTCCAAATATTAACCATTTTTTTACATCCATAAAATATTTCTCCTTTATAGGCTATGAATTTGGCTCCGTACAAAGGAGAGGGCAAACCGTCTTGCACGAAAGCCGTGAACCTGGCGTACAAGGGCGCGAATATTCACATGAAACAGGGTGGATTCATTCTGGTCAATGGAAAGGAGGTTTCATCCCTTCCCGTCACTGTTGGTGATATAAAAATTCGTGCTGCTTCATCGCTATTCATAATTGGTAAGATATATAATGCCAATAAAATATAGTTGCAGATTATCTAATAAAATAATTAAAATATAATATTCTTAAGCATCAGTATTTAACATTTTAGATACAGCAGGCATATGTACTGCTTAATATTTATTAATATATAAATACATAAATATATTTTTAATGGTTGCTCTGAGAATAAACGACCTTCGAGTTTACTTACAATATACAACTGAGGTAAATAAGAAATAAGACAAATTACCTAGATCTGTTTTGGCTGTGTCGTTTAGTAATTCTGACTGTTACCAAAAAAAACTTACACTTCACACCATTATCTTGAAACTAGTGCGGAATTTCCTGATTCCAACACAATTATTATCCAATCGTAAATCCAGCCGTATTAATCTATTAACATCGACCAATCTTAGATTGCTAGTTTATATAATAGGTATATCAGATAATATATAATAAATTTTAACTAAATAATTATGTGTGTCTTAGTGCAAGAGAAGTCTTGACTTATCTCATGAATTTTTATTTCAGTACAACTTCCCATCAAAGTGGACTTATGGTGGGATGGCAATACTCGGGTATTTGTTGATGTACCACCGGCATTTACCGATAAAACGGCGGTAAGTTAATCTATGATGAAATACAGTTCTTATATGTCTGCTTGATTAAATTTATGTTTATCTTGGCATCATACAGAAGTTACATCCTCTGAACATAACCACGATTTTTGTAAGAGATAGCGATAAATAGTTAAAAATACAATAATTTTTGGATAAGTAAAAATTAATCTATTCGTTTAGTACCTATTTTAACATCTTTGAATTATGTTTGTAGACGTATATTATAATCTGTTATATTAACATAATCATTACGTGACCAAAGACTGTTGTCTCTTTCCCACAATCCTCTATAAAGAGCAAGAAAACAAAATGGTTTGATAGTTCACGTAAATCTATGAAAGAAATTATTTATTTCTATTTGTTTTAACAGGGTCTCTGCGGAACGTTCAATTTAAACCAAAAGGACGACTTCTTAACCCCCGAGGGTGATATTGAGCAATCAGCCCTCGCATTTGCGAACAAATGGAAGACACGTGAGTTCTGTGAGGATACTTCGACTGTGGAACCTGAACACCCTTGCAAGGCCAATGTGGAGAATAAGGCGACCGCAGAACAGTACTGCACTAAGCTCAAGAGCAAGCTGTTTGAATGTGAGTACACAAGCCATAGTAAGCTAGTCTCTTTTGCTCTACCTGATCGAAATATAAATCTATTTCTCTAGTCATTCGAACCTGGGTAATCTCCTGGCTTATTGGTTACTTTGATTTTTTTTCAGCATGCCACTGGTACGTAGACGTTGAGCCGTACTACGACGCATGCGTATACGACATGTGCGCTTGCGAAGGGGACGTTTCCCGGTGCCTCTGCCCCATTCTTGGAGACTATGCTATGGCCTGCGCTAAAGCTGGTGTTATGATACAGTGGCGCTACAATGTTAAGGAATGTGGTTAGTATATATTATATTTATAATTTTTTCAAAAGAAAAATTGGTCCTTCAAGCCGGATACTTAACTTTTTTTATATAGAATTGCAGTGTAGTGGTGGCCAGGAGTACACAGTATGTGCGGACAGCTGTCTGCGTACTTGTACTGATATAGCAGTGTCCACGACGTCGCAGTGCAAGCCTTGCTGTGTTGAGGGTTGTGCTTGTCCACCTGGACAGGTATGCAAATTACATATATAGTGTTCTTATTATGACAGTATTTTTATAATATATATACGGTAACGTTAATATTACTTGTAATGAAAATGAAATACTATTAAGAAAAGTATTGCCAGAAATATATTTTGTCTTTATATTTCTAGTTTTTGTACAAACAAACATAATTTTTTTATATAGGTTTTGGATAACAACAACGAATGTGTACCAACCGGATTGTGCCCGTGCTACCACAAGGGAATGGAGTTCAAAGCCGGTTACAAAGAAGTTCGCGCTGGCAGAAGGGAGAGAGAACTATGGTAGATCTTTCTTATACATCAACTCTGAGGTATTCATTTTTTGTTAATATATGTTAGTTTAATATATTTTTTTAACATAGCACCTGTGTTGGTGCGAGATGGGAATGTGTGCCTGCCACACTAGCGGACATAAAAGCGTACCCGCCGGCTGAGGACCTGCGCAGTAACTGCAGCGCTGCAAATAATATGGACTTTACCACCTGCCTCACTTCGCAGCCTCTTACTTGCAAGGTGTGTTACCTGTTCAAATTCTTTTTTTGTGGAAAATTAAACTGAATGTTAGTGGAATTATTTCCATCAAGACAATCTTATTCATTTCTCACTATCTCTCTAGAACATGCACCTCCCGCCGTCAACCACGACAGAAGAATGCCGACCTGGTTGCCAGTGCAAAAAGGGATATGTATTAGAGAGTACATCAAAGAAGTGTGTGTTGCCAGAGACTTGTCCTTGCCACCATGGGGGGAGAAGTTACCCGGATGGGCATACAATGCAAGAGGAGTGCAACACTTGGTGAGCACGATTAGTTTTAAAAGCCAATAGGGGGAAAGTTCTTTAAATTGATTGATAGGTTTAAAATTTTGAGCCACTATATACGTTTGCAGTTTCACGATGTGTTCCTATTATCATTTAAATAACATATTATTTGCAAACCTCTAATATTTTTTACATGTTATTGCACATGTAGGCACTATATAATTTAAAAATCGAAAATAAATTAAAAAAATTTTCGACTCGGACAGGATTTGTACCGGCATCGTCAGCGTTCCGTGCTGTTGCTTTACCTACGCTGACGATGCCGGTTTTAAATTATATTATGTTTTCAAGACAATGGAATGTAAACTAATCTCATATAAATGCGATTTACTGGGGCTAATTATAGGTTGTAATTATAATTTAACTAGCTGACCTGGCAAACGTTCTTCTGCCAAATGAAGTTTATCAAAGAATTTGATTACCGTATAAACCAATATTGTAGTTAGTGTTCAAACTGTTGTAAACTTTTTTGATTCATTTCATTTTAAGAAACATAATTCTTTGATATTTTTTTATCTACTCAATCTTTCTTCAACCGTTTTGCCGCGTGCGCAACGGGAACCCTCAAACATGAATATACATATTTTTTCTACAATTCGCACTGTATCTTCGCTCCTATTAGTCGCGAGATGTTTTATAGATAGCCTTTTGAAAAATCTATTATAAAATCAGCGCGTTCAAACAAGTTCAGCTTTACAGTATCGGCATAGATAAAAAGAACTAAGACTTCAACTTGTACTTTTATTTAGGAGCCGTGGAGTTAGGTTATATTAACAACACTTATTGTATCTGGAAAATCAATAATATTACTACTAGTATTTATTTATTAACACACTTGTATGGTATAATTAATTAGTATTAGTATTTATGTTCCTAGCTCCAAAAAAATTATTGGAGGCGCCGGGTATCGATCCCGGTACCTCTCGCATGCTAAGCGAGCGCTCTACCATCTGAGCTACGCCCCCGATATCATTTTATACGAAAATAACTGTAGCAAGGTAGAATTATTGCGAAATGCGTAGTCAGCGGTTGCACCTTTCACTTGCGTAAATAAATTACAATTAAAGTCATTAGTCGTCCATTCATGTGATTTGACCTAGAATTAATCGCTATGCAAACTTATTATTGCTGTATCCAAAATGATAAAATAATCTACAGATGCAAATTTAAATCTAGCAATGTTCGCGTGTATAAAAAAAAAAAAAAACACTTTAACGGTGTAAAACGCGATTAGTTCAACTTATTCGGAAATTATTTTAACGACGGCCCGACGTTTCGGATGCTTTGCGGCAGCCGTGGTCCCGGGGAGATGTAGTTAAAATAATTTTCAAATAAGTTTAACTAATATATCGCGTTTTAAACCGTTAAAGTGTTTTATTTAAATGTGTACTAGTTGCGTAAACTATAGACAGTATTTAGTATCTAAATTGTTTTATAAAATAAAGCAAAATATAATATACTTTATATATGCATAGGAAAGTTAAATTTTATCACAATCCGTTCATAAAGTTTTGGGTAAAAAACCAAACGAACTCACAAGAATTCTTATTTTAACCATTTAGCACCTGTGTAAGTGGTCAATGGACATGCACGAAGCAGCAATGTTCCGGCATATGCACAGCATGGGGTGACTCGCATATGCTCACGTTCGACGGCTCAGAGTTCGATTTCGAGGGGGTGTGCACCTACTTACTCGCTAAGGGTGTTTTGGATGGACAGGATGGGTTCAGTGTGGAGATCCAGGTATGATTATTGATAAGGATAAAAATGTGTTTTTGTGAATGTTGTTTCACCAGGCGTTTTTACATCGCCTTTTGAACTTTTCCCAACGGACAAAATTTTTCATACGTACACAAATCGAATCCAGGACATCTTGCGTGTATTTACTAAAAGTATCGATTAAGTAATAATAACAAAAAATATTAAATATATATTTATAATTTAGTATTTTGAGTTTCTATGCCCTTTTCGCGATGTTATTAAAATATTATTTGTTTTATTTATTAAAAAGATTCATCTACAAGAAACACTTAGATACTTTTATATATTATATATAGATGTATGATAAAATTAAGCGCATTAATCTCTAATATTCAAATAAGATAACATTAGAGTAAAGGTTTCCCGTAATAATCCCATATTCGTCTGTAATTTATCAACAAAAGATCGTTCGATCTATCGAACTTTTGGAGGCGCCGGGTATCGATCCCGGTACCTCTCGCATGCTAAGCGAGCGCTCTACCATCTGAGCTACGCCCCCGTTGATAGCTTAGCTCAAAATAACGTTCTGATAGAAATAAAATGTATCTACATGCATATCACGCAATATATGAACGTGTCTAAATTTACTTTCACAATTCATGATACAAGTATCGCGCACAATAGTATTTTACTTTATGTAGTATAATTGAGGCCGCTAGATGCAGAGGAGCCTAACTGATTTTTTCGCATCCAGTTATCTACAAGAGCACAGTGACCAAAAAATTATTAACATATTTTTTTTACACAAATCATAGTACAAATTCATTTTCGCCTAAGTTATTCGCGTATTTTATTTTCCACCTTCATCATGTTTCTTTGTTATTAGGCCACTCCTTCTTTAATTTTAAAAAATCAAAATTGACTAAGCAAGGCTTGGATTTAAGAATCAAGAGACTCGTATCATTAAAGCGACTCAGCTTCGCGCAATCGGTCTGAAAATGGTTTTCTACTTTAGAACGTGCCGTGCGGTACAACGGGCGCTACTTGCTCCAAGTCTGCAACTCTAAAAGTTGGAACTGGCAGTGCTTTGGAGGAGGTCACGCTAGCTAAGAACACCCCCTTACCTGATGGTAAAAATTTGAAGAGGTAATTGAGTAACCTTCATTATTACCTGGATATATGATTAAAAGTCTTTCGTCTATGGAGAATCAAACATATATACACACAGTTTTCGGAAGTTGTACACATTTAAATAAAACACGGTTTAAAACGTAAATATAGTGTAGTAGTATAATGACCATGGTTGTAACAATGCATCCGAAACGTCGTAAAACCGATTTAAATTATATAGTACAATATTTCGCGTTTTAAACCGTTAATGTTTTATCTTAAAATTGATCACACTTCGATGGTGTTCCTTGGTAGAATATTTATATAATTAAGAATTAAAAGAATATTTAAAATCCACTTCAACGGTACGTATGTATCGTTCTAAAGAGGTGTGATATATAATTTTATCAATTTTAAACGTAGCTTTATGTTTCAGTTAATTTAACTACATGTCACCTTAAAATTTACTTTTAAAACCAGTAAAAAAAATTGCAATGAAAGGGGAATAATTGTTTTAATGTATTTTATCTAATTACTTCTGCCTGTAAAGTTTTTCCGAATTCTATTCCAGGATAAAGATACGTACAGCGGGTGCGTATACATACCTAGATGTACCGTCCGTGGGCGTGAGCATACAGTGGGACCGTGGACTTCGAGTTTACATAAAACTTGATTCTATATGGAACAATAGGGTATGTATATACTTATGTATATGTGCAATTTAATATTATATATACATTCTTTTATTGTTTACAGAATATTCTAATTTAAAAAAGACATTTAAATAAAAGCTTTTAAACGCTTTAAATCGCGAAATATATTAGTTAACTTATTTATAAACGTCGGGCCGTAGTTAAAATATATTGCAAATAAATTAACTAGTATATATCGCGTTTAAACCCGTTGAAAGTATTAGTACAAACTATAGACAGCACTTTACTAGAAAAGAAACAAATCTTATTGTCTGTATGAAATAGTTAAATTAAAACATAAAGTGAATGTAGTATCTAGGTGACTATTAGTTAGGACAAACCTGCGCATGAGCAGGTTTGATAGTAAACAACATTTGAACGTGTAAATACAAGAATATCGTTTGAATAGGTAAAAGGACTTTGCGGTAACTACAACGGAGATATGCTGGACGACTTCCAAACGCCATCTGGCGGTGGTCTCGCGGAAACTTCGCCACTTCTCTTCGCCGATTCGTGGAAGTTGAAGCCAACTTGCCCTAAAGCATCTCCAATTACTGTGCGTACGCAAATGTTTGATTTTATTATACTTTGATTTTTATTGTATATAATTTAGGTGTAAGTAATATAACAACAAGGTGTGTCTGGTGTATCCGCCTTACATAATACATGTTCATAGTAATATTTAAAAAGTAAACAGTGTTCGTTTTGATATGCTACAGATTAAATACTATTAATGAATCGTGCTTTTATATAAAAACAAAGTTGCGATTGTATCTTTCGTTGGATTATTTGTCAAATTAATTATAAAGAACTCTGTTTTAACGTCAACGCTGGGCCATTCTTCCAATGGACTGGTACCGTGGAGTACCGTGGAGACTCTTAGATAGCAGCTGTAATGGTCGACAAAGAGTGGCAGGCTAAATTTATTTTTGCTAGGTAACTTCTAACCGGTCCTTTGGACCAGACCCCGCCCATGATAGGACGGTTTGGAGGTCGATACTTGACCAGGCCTATAGCGCCATTAATAATAGACTGAATATGAGAATTCTCATTGTAGCAAGAGACCTAATTCATAGATTTTTTTGTGTTTATAGAACCACTGCAAAGAACGGCCTGAGCGCAAGGAATGGGCAGCAAACACATGCGGCGTGCTCAAGCAGTACCCGTTCACGATGTGTCACAGCGAGGTGCCAGTGAGCGGGTTCCTCGCGCGTTGCGAGATGGATGCGTGCGCGTGTGACGCGGGCGGCGACTGCGAATGCGCCTGCGCAGCTATCGCTACATATGCTCACATGTGCAACACGCGCGGTGTGCCTGTCAAATGGCGATCGCAAGAGTTGTGCCGTAAGTAATCGAGACAAAAACAACTTGAAGTTGAAGAATATTTGTACTATCTATACTGCCGTTTGTAGTTTACAGGATTAGTACACATTTAAATAAAACACTTTCACGGTTTAAAACTCGAATTATACTAGTTAAACTTATTTAGACATTATTTTAACTACAGCCCGACGTTTAAGATGCTTTGCAGCAGCCGTGGTCACGGGGAGACTAAATATAGAGGGTACCTCTGATGTCAAAGTAAAACTGGCTACGCTAGTCATCTGTTCAGTCGTAGTTTGATTTCGCGTTTTAAACCGTAAAGTGCTTCATTTAAATATTTATACAGCCTTTAAATCTTATTTAATTAAGAATGTCTCTTGAAGTACGTTGCTTAAATACCTACACAACAAGCACCTACTTTTGATGAAATCAATTCAAAATCAAAATATACCCACATATCTAAAAAAATAAATTTAGTATAGTTTATAGTGAATTTGGTTATAACACAGCCACTAGATGGCGTTGTTTTATTGTCTCATCGGTTTGCATCCGGCTCGAAGGACCAATGTTCAAATCCCAAAAATGATTTAAATTGATTGAATTTATTACAGCCTCTCATCTCGGGTACCTCAAGTTACAGCATTATCCATTACTTCCGACTCTATCTGAGAATCTTTTTGCTTAGGTATTATTATATACTTCATTTGTATGTACCTAAATCAATTCTAAAATTAACATTTTATTTATAGCCATGCAATGCGACGAAGAATGCTCGAATTACAACGAATGTATGTCCCCTTGTCCTCCGGAGACATGTGATAACACCCTGGAATACAATGAAATCAAAACCGTTTGTGAGCAGGAAACTTGTATTGAGGGTAAGTTGGTTTATCGATATGTATGACTAATGTCATCTGGAAATCTAGATATAACATGGGTGGTACAATATTGAATTTCCGTTTGGGTCACGAACCACCATCCATAGCTGAAAAAGCCAAAATATCCAATCAAGCAAACCCCATTGCCTGTATTCCTGAATAGAAAACCTAAGAAGTCCTCAATTCTACGCTTAAAGATATATGTGATATATAAAACACTAGTTGTGCCAGCAACTTTATCCACATGGAATAATTATTTTGGACATAAATTTGTATTTGCTAACCTCATCTTTACAAATTTATAGCTGTTACCCACGACGTTCTTGCTGGTTAATCTTAAATGATAGACATAATTTAATGTCGCGGACATTTTTTTAGATCATTTAAAAAGGTATTTTCAATCATTTTTGCAGCACAACGTGGGGAATAGTGGGAAATGTGGTCCCACTGTTTCTTCTCTCTATTGGTTGCAGTATAGTGTTTTAGAGGTTAAAGCGTTCCTCAATAAATACTCTAACCAACACAAAAATAATTCAACTCGAACCAGAACTTCCTGAGATTAGCTCGTTCAAATAAACTCTTCAGCTTTATAATATTAGCACAGAACTGAACTATGGAGCATTTTCCAGGTTGCAAAGCGAACAAGACATGTCCAGATGGCTTAGTATACTCCAACAGTTCAATGAAAGAGTGTGTGCCCCGTGCCAAGTGCAAGCCGATCTGCATGACTCTTCCTGATGGTACTGAAATATTAGAAGGAGAGGTCATCGAGCAAGACGCGTGCCACACCTGCCGCTGTTCTAAAAAAGTGCGCGTGTGTAGTGGACAACCATGTTCTACTGAAGCGGTAAGTAACTTACGTGATGCCCAAAAAGAAATCTACTCAAACTCAGGACTTGTCGACGGGGAAATGAAACTGAAAGATTGAAAACATAGTATAATAAAAGGACAACAAAAGCCAAAAATTACTTTCATAAAGTACTTAATAAACTTTGTGTCGACATTGCAGTTGCATTTTATCCCCTTCCCAAGGGGAAATCATAAATATATATAAATAATAATATTGGAAACTTTATAAGCATCCATGGTCAGAAAAATTGTTTATTTTATTTTATTTGTTTGCATTTACAATCAAACAGCCTTATATGATACTAAATTTAACAATATTACTTTAATAAATGGGGCTAGCTCCAGAAATACTTAGGCTATTCACAAAAACGCATTTGATCATTTTATTCTCTAATATACTAAATGTGTTGCTAGGCAGAAATATTGCAAACATTTAAAGCGATTTCGCTAATTCTTTGTTCCTCAAAGCTTAGAGGTTCGTACGACACAAAAACTTTTAAAAATTTTCTGTAACATTTTACAATTATTATGTATACTATTGTCAACCCCTTATACATTTCCCATAAGTATGATCTTTTCTAGTCCACGCCCATCCCTACTGAGCCAGCGGAAACCACTCCTCACGATGAAGCCTTCAGATGCAGTACCGGTTGGAGTGAATGGATTAACCGCGGTCCATCAGAGATTGAACCAAATGGAGAGTCAAAGGATGTGGAACCACTGCCTAAGCCTAAAGAATTCGTATGTATTTTTATACTATATATAGTAGGTATTTTCAACGTGTGTTGGATAATAACATTGCTTCGTTATATAGCTAAGAAAAGATCAGCCGAACGTGAATTGATCTAAGTGACCGTTGCAGACCCAATTTCACCAAAAAAATATGTCATCGATACCGTTAGTCGATCAATTTGATTTCGCTTTATAAAAATCGATTATACATTGAAAAATTTTACGACACGGGCGGGACTTAAGCCGGCGTCCACGTTTCTCTCGTTTTCCACTATATATAGAAACAATGGAAAATCGGTCGAAAATTGTTTTTTTCGATTTGATGGAAAGAGTCAAAATATTTTTTAAATTATAGTAAAGGACAGACAAGCGAAATTGAGATGCGCAGTCGAACCATTTTGGCTTTGGATATTCTGAAATCCACAGATTGAAGCCGAAAGGTTCACAGCTTCTTCATCTGTCGACGGTGGTTCGTGACCCCGACGGGATTTGTATATTCCTACCACCCGTTTAATATCGAGATTTCCATACGAAGTCCAACATGTTTCAGAAAAATGTTTAATTTAAAAATTAGAAAAATGCGAACCCACGACCCTTGATTATTAGGCATACATTGCTAACATTAGACCAAAAAGCACGTCAAAATTTAAGCGTTCTCTACTTACGCAAGTATAAGTATATATAATACATTACAGCCAAGTGGAACACCCATGTGTAAGAAAGAGAACATGACGGAGATAGAGTGCCGCACTGTGGGAGACCACGTGAAAGCTAAGGAAACTGGATTCAACGTCGAATGTAGCTTGGAGAAAGGTCTCATTTGCAATGAACGGGAGAAGAACTGCCCCGACTTCGAGATACGGGTCAAGTGCCAGTGTGAAGGTAAAATAACATTTTTTATGATTGAGGATGTCAGTCAAGCATGAGATTTACTTGATTGAAGTACGCCAACAACAAGATGTGCTGTCGATCTATTTTTGGCTTTAGAACCTGGCATAAATAATTGTATCCAAAAAGTTAAGTATTTATGAAATTGTAAGATGGTGGTTGACTTAAACTTCAATAAATATATAGACCTGATCACCCTTTACAAGTATATTTTATGAACTACCATCAAAGCCTGCTTCAGTTAGAAAGCCGGCCCAGAAAAGATTAGCTGAACCAATCCTACTAACTATTCCTAAGAAAATTCAAAGAGCTTTATGGCTGAAGCTCTTATCGGTTAACAAGAAATGTATTTTTGTAACATCATCGTTTCTCATCAGAACTGTTCCAATGCCTGGATTCCAATCACCCGAACCACCCTCATCCGACCGACTGCACCAAGTTCTACGAATGCACTCCGAACCCTGGTCAACCGCAACCGCATGCTGTTCTTAAGGACTGCCCATCAGGCCTTATGTACCACACCAGTCTCATGATTTGTGACTGGCCAGCGTCTGTACTCGTTGAACGACCAGAATGTGGGCAGACTACTTCTTCTACTTTTTCAACTTCTACAAGTACTGGTAAGATTGTAATGGAAGTTATAACATTGGTGCGTTATAAAAAAGAGAAGAGAAAGAGAAGCAATTTAAACTTTATTGCACAAAAAAATAGAATAATAGGAATTCCGTTTGGCGATTTCTTGCAACCTTTGCAACCTCTACTTACAGGAGATAGAAACAATTTAAAAAAGGCAAAAAGATAGAATCCCAACACACAGAAACAATAAGACTTAAATACAATATATTCTAAAAGTTCTCTCTCACCCATAACTTATAATGAAGAAATTGAGGCTATATTTTCATATACCATTCATAAGCGAACCGCCGAGTCAGATAAAACTTAAATATATAAAGATTGAGTGTGTGTGTAATCCCGTTCCCCTCGTGGGGCATAGGGTGAAAACATATGCCTCCTATTCGCTGATAGATTTTCTTGCAAGCAATGAGACTTTTTATTCTTGCTTCTCCGAAACCCTTGTTTCTCCTATACTTGAACACAGCAAACACAATTTCAACAGGGCAATTCCGCGCAAAAAGTATTTTCCAAAATAATAGATGTAATTCACGTATACAGAAGCCAGCACCCAGGCGTCCTCGACTGAAGCGAGCACAGATCTATGTCCGCCCGGCCAAGTTTATAAGGAGTGTGCGTATCCCTGCGATAAGTTGTGCGATCACTACAAACGAACGTTGCAAGACAAAGGACAGTGTCTGATTGGAGAGGTATGATATTTTACAATCTCTATATCCCATATTGACAGACAGACATATTTTCTGCTATTTTATGTTTTTACGTACAAATAAACAACATTTTTCTAAGTCTATATAAACACAGTATAAAGAGAGACAGTTGCACCAATGTTTCTTATCTATACTAATGTAATAAAGCCAAACCGAACAGATTAGTTTAGTGTTTGTTTGCTATCTCAGGATCGAATTGAAAAATGATTATTGTGTTGGCTGAACCATTAAACGGGGAAGGCTTTAGGCTTTTAGACTAAAAAAAAGAAAATGTGGGAATAACTAAGACAATTATATTTAATTGATAATAACATTGACGTGTTAACTTTATTGGATCATTCAGAAGTGCGTAAGCGGTTGCGTCGATCATGCAGTGGCGAACGTGAAGTGCGATTTCGGTTCCTTGTGGAGAGATGAAAAGACCTGCGTACCCTTGAAGGACTGTACTTGTCAATATGAAGGAAAGATTATCAAGGTATAATATTAGTAGTAGTAGTAATTGTTGTGTAGCTAGTAGTTCTGGCTACAGAATAGTATTTTATATATATAACTTAATACAATTTTGAAGACACTAATAGCTCTATCTATTAGTATAAATTTGTTTTAGTATAGATTTATGTGATGTGCGGCTAGACGAATGTGTACAAAAATCTCATAGAGTTTAAAAAAATATACGTCTGTAGTTTACGCGAGTTACACATTTACATAAATCTATAAAGAAATAAATATATTAGTTAAACTTATTTATAAAGCATTTTAATCGTCGAAACAACGGGCCGTAGTTAAAATAATTTTTAGATAATTATAACTACAATTTTTCGCGTTTTAAACGGTTCAAGTGGTAGGATCAAAATCTAAAGAATCAAATACATACTGTGTGTAGTTTAAGTGATTAGTAAATATTAAAATAAATCATATTTGCTAAATTTTTCGACGACGGCCTGATGCTTCGGCAGCGCTGGAAACGAAAGGACTCCCTGTGAACACTAATACATTTTTTAAACTATGTAACATTTATTTTAGCCCGGTGGCGTGATATCCGTAGACGACTGCACCAAATGCCAATGTCTGGACAACGAGCTCCACTGTGACTCCAGCGACTGCGTGTCCATCATCGTTCCCATCAAGGGCTCCACCCACTCTCCCATGATCTTCCCGGAGTCCCACAAAATTAGCTCCACAACCCCCGCCACCACCACCACGACCACAGAGTCAACTACAGCTGGGACCTCGGAAGAAACTCTTCCAACCACTGAGGCTACTACACTGATTATTAAGACAACAGTGTCTCCACCACCCAAGTGTAATCCGGATCAGTAAGTATTCTTTACTTGAAGGAGTTTCGATATTGCCTAGCATTGCGTTAAGCGCGAGAGGTCCTGGGTTCGAATCCCAGGGAAACATAAAATTGTTTCGGCCGGGCAGGGCACAAGTATGATCGACTACTTGCCCGTAAAAAGAACGGATCAGTGAAACGGACACATGTGTTCGCCCCATGCCCCACGAGGGGGAAACGGGCTTCACTTCACATATAATTTGGACACTATGGTAAAATATCATTCAATCATTTTCATAAGCAAGAAAATGCACGAATACAAGTCTGTAGAATTTAAAAAAAAAGGTTGTCCTCAACAGGTCATTACTATAATTGTATCGATTTTACATTGAAAAAAAAAATACAACTCAGGCCGGACTATAACCGGCATCCACAACCCTGGTCGTTATTTTTCAATCAAAAATTGATTTTTAATTTATATAATGCACATCTTGTGCAAAAACATGATGTGAAGTCCTTAAACTATAACATCTTACTTTTTAGCTTCAAAAACCTTCTGTGGGACGGCACGCCGTTACCCCAAGACGCCTTCACTGCTAGTTCGGTAACTAGTGCCATGTTTGAGCCGTACTTCGCACAACTGAATGGACGAGTTAGTGCCCAATCTGGTAAGACTCACTGACTATAGTCTGCAGTCTACGCGAGTTCCACAAAAAATAACAAACTCTTAACTGTTTTCACGAGCTCGTTGTTGTAACGGTAGCAATGCATGACTAATAATCTACGGGTCGTAGATTCGATCCGAACCGGGTCCATTTTTCTAATAGTTTTCCTGACATATGTTGGACTTCGCCATTTAAATACTGTCTATAATTTATGCGAGTAGTACACATTTAAATAAAACACTTTAACGGTTTAAAACGCGATATATTAGTTAAACTTATTTGAAAATTATTTTTAACTTCGGATGCTTTGCAGCAGCAGTCCTCGTGACCACGGCTGCTGCAAAGCATCCGAAACGTCGGGCCGAAGTTAAAAATCATTTTCAAATAAGTTTAACTAATATATCGCGTTTTAAACCGTTAAAGTGTTTTATTTAAATTCGCCATTTAATCTTGATATTATCGGGTGGTAGGAATATCAAAATTCTGTCCGAGTTACGAACCACCGTCCACACATGTTAAAGCCGTCAAGGTTTAATCATGTTACGGTTTCCATCTAAAGCCTAAATAGGGCGATAGCGCATCCTGTTAAGTGTTCCCCAGGCTTATCTGCCCTCCTCTATCATAAAAACGCTGTTTGAAACGATCACAAGATATATATTAATTTATTTTTCAATCTAAGTCAACGGTAAAAACATCGATATATTAGACAATTAAGTGATTTATTTTATAATTGCAAGTAAGTAAAACTGTTGAATATTTCACACCATCAAACACCGTTTTGGTGTACGAACTTTCAATCCCAAGAACCGATACTCAAATAGAGATACATCAACAGTTCTGTAACATGTAAATTTCAGCTGGTAGCTGGAACCCATCGCCTGAAGATAAGGATCATTATATACAAGTAGAACTCCCGGAGAAGACGCCTGTATATGGTGTAGTGATGCAGGGCAACCCACTCTTTGATCAGTACGTGACTAGTTACGAAGTCATGTATGGTGACGATGGTACTGTTTTCTCCTACGTGGACACCACTAGTGGACAACCTCAGGTGAGTGCAAATTATTTATATTATTTAATATGTATAAACTTACCACCAAAAGACGGCCTTATCGCTAAGAAGCGGTCACTTCTAGGCAACGTGAAATAAAGAAGAAAAGAAATAAAAAGTAATACGTAAAAGTATACACAGCAAGTAGAAGAGAAACTAATTTAAGATTTGAACTTTTAAAGTCCTAAAAGAACGAAAGCATTTCAATCCTTTTACATAAGGACAGACACAGAAATATTAGGAACAAGTAAAGAACAAGGCATATTTTTTATATAAAGATAATCTGCGGTACAAACATTTAAATAAGACTCTTTGAAACTACAAAGAAATAGATTGCGCTAGCCTAGCAGTTTTAACACTAGGCTCTCCCCATCTTCCGTTACCCGATGACCACAGCCACTGTAAAACATTACATCAAATTTATAATAAGGTTGATATATTTCCCGTTTTAAACCGTTAAAGTGTGTCAAATAGTGCCAATTTAGTATTGTGTTCAACGTTCGATATTTGAAGAAGACAAAAAACAAAACTATGTGAATTAGTTATAAAAACAACAAGATTTAAAGAACGTAATAATTTACATAATTTCTTTGGCCAAAAATCAGAAATAGAAGTTCTTTGTTTTAATTAAAGTTCTGAACAAATAGTTTTCCCATTTCAGTGTATGTCTTTCCATATTAATTTATTGCTCATAACACTTTTTACTTTATCCTCTTCGATGTCTTTCCGAATACCATCTTTTTATATGTAGATGATTATCTACATTACTCTACAAGTTTTTATAAAAATAAGTACTAATTTAGCATAAAACACCGATTAGTAGATACAAAATACTTGATCTATTTTATCGTGAAAGAAGGACAAACAAACCCCACTGTCTTACATTATCACTTTGTTATAGGTGTTCCGCGGCCCAGTAGACCACACGACTCCACTCAAGCAAATGTTCGAAAAACCCATCGAAGCAAAATTCGTTCGCATCCACCCCCTGACGTGGCACGAGGAAGTAGCCATACGTCTTGAGCTCATTGGCTGCGAGGAATTCACTACTACTGTTTCGACTCCTTCTACTCCGACTACTCCCACTACTCCTACTACTACAGTTACTGATACTACTCCGTCGACTTCTACTCAAACTACTCCAACAGTTAGAGCACTTGTAAGTAGTTTACTTAACACGATGTTTAATAACTTAAACGCTATATGTTAGACTCTTTTTAAATATAGAACAGGAAAGACAAGCACGAGGTTCACTTGATGGGGGGGGGGGAAATACCCCAGCCGTATAACATCTTAGCAAGATACGATCTATTTTTGCTTTGGATATTCGGATATCCTGTGGCCTTTATTATTTAAACATTTTTTTTTCAAGTTACGTCTTATTTTATTAAAGTAAAAGGAAGTTACTATTACACTAAGAGGTTCAAGGTACAAACCTCGAAAATATAAAATAATAAATGTCCTACAGATGGAAGGATAGTTCGAAAATTTGTAAAATACGTGAAGCTATGATAGGTCTTTATCACGATAATCTAAAAAGGATTTCATCCCATAGGAATGTGTTGACCCCCTGGGCCTGGCTGCTGAATTACCCCTGGACATGATCGAAGTTAGTTCCAACAACGACGACCGCTCGTTCCTTAAACTTGACAGCGACAAGGGTTGGAAGCCAACGTACAGCACCCCTGGAGAATGGATAATGGTAATTTTATGGGCTTCTCCTTCGTTACGCGTCACTATTTTCTGGCCAGTTGCACTTGAAATTTTATTTACCACGTAACGATAGAGGAGACAGACAAGCATCTATCGAAGTGCGCTGTAGGCCTATTTTGGCTTTGGATATTTGAAATCGAGAGACTGATACCGAAACGCGATGAAACTTTGCGGCTTTTTCATCTGACGGTGGTCGTGACTCGGAGAGAAATTTGATATTCCTACCACACATTTAATATCAAGATTTCCAGACGGAGTCCATGTTTCAGGAAAATTATTGGTTGAAACATGTAGAGCCCGGTAGGGTCGAATCCACGACCTGTTGATAATAAGCCAATTACCATTAATGGTAACAATTTATGTTGGTCTAATACAAGATTAAATGACATGAATTATACATATCTATTAGTAGTTTCTTAATCTTAAAAAATGTGTAGTACATAGTATATATATGGTATAAAACATATTCATACATACATATTCATTGTTTATAATAAAAAAACGAAGTACCTTACAACTCTTGAAGAGTTAAACAATGTAAAAAAATATACTAATATTTCATAACTCAAACAAAATAATTTATGTGTTTTCAGTTCAACTTCACCGCACCCCGTAACATAACAGCTATAAAAACAAAAGGTGGTCCAAGCGGTTGGGTCTCCGCCTACAACATAATGTACACCAGCGATCTAACCACGTTCAATCCAGTGGTAGACAACACTGGTAGTTACAAGATGTTCCCGGGCAATTTCGATGAGGGTTCTGTAGTCCAGAATGAGTTTCAACCACCTCTGCACGCTCAGTACTTGAAGATTCTGCCTCTGAAGTGGAAGAATGGCATTGAAATGAGAGTGGAACCGATCGGATGCTTCGAACCGTACCGTACGTAATAACTAGCTCGCTTGATCAAGAGATGGCGCTGTAGTCAAACTGATTGTAAAACTATATTGTATTAATAGCAGTTTAGAATTTCCCCCAATGGGGCATGGTACGAACACATGTTTATCTACGTAGTTGATCAGACTTATGTGCCCTGGCCGATTTAAACTATCTATGGTTTTCTCGGGATTCAAAACCAAGTATTTTGCGCTCAACGCAGTGCTAGGCAACACATTTTACCATTTATATATAGAGACGGCTAGTATTATGTCTTAAATCTATTAAACATTAATAAAAATATGTTCTATTAATAAGTATGCGATTAGATTTAATGTTTTATATTTAAATATATATTTTTTAATCCCATAGGCTAAAAGTCAAACAAACTCTTTTATCATTAATGTAGTTGGAAAAATATAATTATATTTATCTCAATACACATTTTCTTAAGTTCTCTTATTATTATTAAACAAACATAATAGTTTATTTGGAAAGACAAGTGAAGTTATATATAATATTTGTACGTCCTGTTTAGTTTAGGAGTTAAAAAAATACGTACAATTTATTTCCCATCAGCTGTACCTGAAGAAGAACGTGAAGAACGAGTGCCAACGCCCAAACAACCATGCGAGGTATGCCCTGACGTACCTGCGCAGTCGTCGTCCTGCGCTTGCACACGTCCCTACTACTTCGACGGAGAGAACTGCGTGCCGAGGGATGAGTGCCCTTGCGTTGTCGGATTCATGTTGTGAGTTTACTCCTATAGTGTATTTTTTCTAACTTGGCAAAAGAAACAAATATGGCCGATTTCAAACCGCGAGAACTAGTGATGACAAGTTAAAGTAATGTATACGTAATACATTTCGCGTTTTAACTCGTTTGAAGTGATTTATTTTAATAATCATTTTGTACTTTTAGATATCCCGTTGGATCATCCTTCCGCGGAGACAAATGTGATGATTGCATGTGCAAGATGGGTGGAGTCACTGATTGTCGCCCCGCCACTGAATGCGTTTGCGGGCCGGTAAGGAACATTCTTAACAATGCTATCTATGTCTTTAGTTTACGCGAGCAGTGAACAATTAAAAACAACACTTTCCAACGGTTTAAAATGTGGCCAGTCGGATGATGCAGAGAATTGGAAATGTCGAGTCGTAGTTGAAAGGGTTTGATTTATAATATTATATTTAACAAATGATGTTTAAAATTGGGTGCTAAAATATTTTAGCTTAGCTTCTGAAATCACGATTATAATAACATTTTACTTTCGTCGTCTCTATTGTTGGCTCTGTTGCTCAATATGCTTTTAATATTTTTAAACTTCATTATCAGGAGTTGGTACCTCAACTGTCATCGGCCTGCGAATGTGTCTGCGAGCCCTGCGCTAACGGCACAAGAATATGTCCGACTAGCAAACTGTGTCTGCCGCTAGAAAAGTGGTGCGACGGCCTACAAGACTGTCCGGACGATGAGCGCGACTGTACCACTGTCGCAACTGTCACAGAGACTGTTATCACGACTGTGGTCCACACGGACGCTAACACACCGCCCACCAGTACTGTACCTACAACTGTCCCCACTACTACTGAGAAACGTAAGTGAAGTTTTATAAATATCTTTTTAGGATAAGGTAGCTCAATTAATCAGAGTGGAGACCGGCCACAGAGTCTCTGTGTCTCTTCCACATGCCTTATTTATGTACCGACCTGTGCCGTAAGTTTTTTCAATCAAAAAGATCTCTGTAAGTGTTATAAGATCCAAGGCGAGAATACTGTTTTTGAATTATAATCCAAAAACCAAGAGTCAGTTTATAATCATCAAATTTCTCAATGTTCGTTATTCATGCAACACGAACGTATCTCGCTACGTATCTAGCTTAATCTTGGATTCCATGCCTACCTGTTTCACTTTTATACTCCAAATGTCGTTTTAATACGCTCTCGTTATAATAAACTCTCAACACTTTTCTGCAAAAACATCTTTGTTGTAAATGAAGAAATCTTAATGTAATAAAAAAAAATCATCTATGACAAAAAACAAGTACCCTTTTTAGTCGATATAGATTACCGTGCAATAGAGTTTTTAAAATCTATTGCACGTTTAAAAACAAACACTTTAATGGTTTAAAAGGCGATATATTTTAGTTAAACTTGTTTGAAAATTATTTTTAACTACGGCCCGACGTTTGGGATGCTTTGCAGCAGCCGTGGTCACGAACAGACTAAAAAGTCGGGCCATAGTTAAAAATAATCTTCAAACAAGTTTAACTAAAATATATCGTGTTTTAAACCGTTAAAGTGTTTTTTTTATGTGTATTACTGGCGCAAAACAACAGACATTAATCAAAAATAGTAATTGGATAGTTGGATAATATATCTTACTTCCGGGTCACCGTCGTCCACACATGGCGATATCAGTCTATTACCGTGCAATAGATTTTTTAAATCTTTTTTAAATGTGTAATTGTATAATAATCATTTACATATAAACATTAGTAACATTTACATTTATTAAAGCCTAAATTTCAATTTCAGCCAAGGAATGTCCAAAGGTGGAATGCTCTCCAGGCTATTCAGTTGTCATGACGTCCAATAGTCAATCCAGTTATTCCCGTAGTACTTCTGATTTACCACCGCCACGACCACGCTACTCCTACAGACCATACTACCGTGGATCTAAAGGTGGCTTCTCCAAGGGAGGCTTCAGAAAGACTGGCTATTCGAAGGGTGGTTTCGCTAAAGGTGGAAGTTATGGTAAGATGTAATTATGGTATTACATTATTAATTCTATACAAAAGCTCTTTAAATACAATAGGGTGTACAATAAGAGGACGATCTCGTTGGTCTAATAGTAGCAATGTATGGCTCAATATGGCTGAATAAGAAAACGGTCTTGGATTCGTCTCACGGAATCCATCGTGTTATTATTCAATTTATAGTTTGTCTAAATAATGTTGAATCAAGCGAACGACATGCTTGTCGGTGCTCCTCTATAATAAAAAAAAATGATCAGAAAACATCGCCAAAAAAACATTAACCACACTTGGCTATCAGCTGTAGACAGTAAATCTGAGACTGATAACACAATAATGTTGTGCCCTATTACTTTTAGGAAAATTCAGTTTAATTCACCTCTACTAAATGAAACGCAGGTCCTCCCGCTCCACCGCGTCAGAACCCGACATTCTCACTGGACAAGCCATCAGCCTCCATTGAGAGTAAAAAGAAAGAAGAGTGCCCACAATTCAAGTGCGTTCCCGTGCTACCTCCATTCAGACCTGGATCCACACCGAAGCCAGCTATTTGCTCCACGCCTATTTGTCCACCGCAGTATAGCCTGAAGTTAGAGAGCGTACCTGCTTTGCCGAACCAATGTCCACAGTAAGTTAAAAGTTCTACAACTTAATTTGTGTTTTTATTAAATAAAATAATTGACTCATCTTACGGTAGGTCCGTTAGTTTTTAACTTTCGTAAAGTAAACTCTGCTTTTCTTTCTTCCTTTGTCATAAAAAATATACGAACAGTAGTTTCTATGGAGGATAATGTCATTTTCAGATACGGCTGCGTACCCCCGCCCGAAAGACCTGTGTTCTGTAACGTGACCGGTCGAACCTTCAACACCTTTGATGGAATGGAATATAAATTCGACGTTTGTTTCCACATTCTGGCTAGAGAGAACCGCTTTGATGCTTGGACTGTACTCGGTAAGACTTTTATTATTACTGATAATACTGATCCTATCGCTATAGGCTACAAACAGTCGTACAATACCTACTTTTAAAGAGAATTGTAATGTGATTGATATTTAAGTTAATTTATTGATTAATGGATCTCCTTTCAACTAGATTAAGTGCCTAGTAAAACATACGTCTCTTTAGTTCGCAAGAAATGCTCCGTGGACGCGGGCTGCGCGAACGAGCTGATGGTGCTCCAAGATGACCAGCTAATCCTGGTGAAGCCATCTCTAATGATAGAGTACGACAATTACGAATACACAGTGGAACAAACAAACAAGATCTGCTTCCAGAAGAACAGTTTCGACGTGCACCGCCTCGGAAATGGAATCGCGATCGCATCTAGAAAATATAACTTCACTGTCCTCTATTCTCCTGATGGAGATGTTAAAATCGGGGTAAGTTTATATGCAATACAAAATAATTATCATATGCTTTCTAAACTAGAAAGCGGAAGATGTTAAAAGCTAAACACGTTCGTGTCAAAATTAAAATTACGTTTCGTCCTTACCCACATTTTTGCCAGCTTCTATTTTATGCTGTTAATGAGAGTAAAAAAACAATAATATAATTTATAATTAACTATTTTCTGCAGGTAAACAAAAAATACATGGGTCACATAGATGGTCTCTGCGGTGCGTACGATGGGGACGTATCGAACGACCGCCGGCTACCAAATGGACGTCTCGCGAAATCCATAACTCAATTCGGAGATGCATGGGCGAAGCCGGGTCTACCGAAAAACGCATGCAAACCTAAAGTTATTCCGGCACAAAAACAAAAACGTGTTTGGGATCTGTGTAATGTCATTACGTAAGTGAATTTGAGAGACCAAATTTCTAAGTTATATTTTTATTAACAGTTAGCTTTTGCTAACTGTTCAAAATTCATTTATTCATGTAGGTAGTTAGCTTAGTATACTTATGAACGTCAAAACAGTTAAAAAGTAAAATTTAAATCGCTTTTGAAACAATAACTGATTCATTAAAACTTTATTTATTTTATTTATTTATTATTGCTTTATTATTTATAAACACACCACAGAAAATACATATAATTGAGGAAAAATCTTACATGCTAACTTATAAATAAAAGGCGGCCTTATCGCTAAGTATTTAGTTGTATAACAAACTCAACTATTTTCAAAAAATACAGACACGCGTATAGTGTGTACACAACTTACATTGACATACATTTAATATCCAAAATAAATTGAATTAACAGACACCTATAGAATGTATGATCAATAATTTTAATTACTCTTAGTATTTGAAAACTTTAATATATTACTAAACTTTAAATATTTTTCACATGCAATGAGCACATGATAGCACTATATAAATTAAAGATAGAAAATAAATTTAAAAAAATTTCGATTCGGGCAGGACTTGGACCGGCAATATATCGGTAAAACATAGAGCAACAGCTCGGTGATTCGATTGTTAAATTACTCTTAGGATTTCATTATGTTCTTTTTCAGTAAGGAACCACTGTCAGAATGCGCGAAAGTGCTCAACTTGGATAAATGGCGAAGCATCTGCCTAGAGAAGATCTGCGAATGCGCCGAGATGGTCGTCAACGGAACTAAAAACACAGAAGAGCAATGCCGCTGTCTACTTCTAGAGCAGATGGTAGCTGAATGTTTGGCAGCCGACAAGAACATCAATATTGATACTTGGAGAATACAGAATGATTGTCGTTAGTACTCTTAGTTAGTAGTAGTTAGTAAAAGAAGCAATAGTAGTGGTCCCAGAAACGACCCTTTGTAAATTACATATATGTATATTGTCGTTTTCGCCATGAATATATTTAGTTGTAGTTGATAAGTACAAGATCTTTGGTTATTTGGCGTTTAAAAACTAGGCACACTTTCTTCGTGAATTAAATGAGGCCTTCCGGAACTCACTAAAAGCCTAATAGGAAAGCTTAGTTTTCTAACTATGCTAGCTGGTGTTATTGTATTCTATAAATATATACGTCTACAATTACACTCTGAATCTCTTGTGAATATTCATGTGCACCAATTTTTACTTAGTTTTTTTTTTTCCAGCTGCTGATTGCCCCCCCTCCATTCATCCACTACGACTGTTACCGCAAACGTTGTGAGCCCACCTGTGGGGCAATCTCCTCTGGGCTATCTGATTGCGCTGTTGAAGATGGCCAGTGCTTCCCTGGGTGTTATTGCCCCCCTGGAAAACTACGCAATGGTGATCAGTGTCTTGCACCACATGACTGTCTTGATTGTGAGTTAAAGATTTTTTTGTGTATTTAATTGTCATCTGTCTGAAAAGCAACTGTGGCGCCATGTGTCAATTCTTAAAAATGCTACGTGAGAATTCCTATAAAACAAATTACCTACAGTAGATTATAAAATAACCTTTGATACAATGTATGTTGCGAATAATTTCGTCTATTTACCAGGTGTATGTACCGGCGTTGGCACTCCAGCAAAGTACGTAACGTTCGAAGGAGACGACGTACCTTTCCTTGGAAATTGCACCTACTTAGCATCTAGGGACAGAAACGAAACAGGAAAACATAAATATGAGGTAAAGTGTGTAATGTTATTAAACAATATTTTAAATATATCAGACAAATTCCAATCTCTATTATCTTGTATCTATTTAACGCTTACATAGATATATAACGAAGAGCTTTTTCAATTATGCTGTTATTTAGGTATACGCCACAAATGGTCCTTGTGAAGAATTTGACGGTGTTGTGTGTACGAAAACTGTTCATCTAATCTACGAAAAGAATATAATACACATCAGTAAGGATCCCGAAACTAAAAAGGTAAAAAAACTTTTTATAAGATATGAAATAAAATTATCGTTTTATAACTTGGTCCTTGATCCAAATTCTATATTACAGCTAGTAACAACGGTGAATGGCAAGCAAGTATTCCGTTATCCAATGGACAATGAGTGGGCGGTTATCTCCGTTTTATACGGCCAAGACATAAGTGTTATGCTTTCTGACTTGCACGTAGAGGTAAAGTGTTTTACCAATTATAAATTTAATACCCATTTAAAATTACTAAAATAATTTATATAATAATATTTGAGGAAAAATCCTGGTCCTTCAAGCCGGACAAGCACTTCATTAAAGTTATTATGTAAAAGTTCAAAAGTAAATATTTATACTTATTGCATTAATGGTCCTAACTTGAAACATAAATCCTCTAAACTCGATTACCTTATATTTTTTATTTTAGTTACAAGTGAAACAAAACAAAATGGAGTTCACAGTACAAGTACCATCACACCTTTACGCAAATCACACTGAAGGTCTATGCGGCGTATGCGCAGGATATCAAGATCACCTCGTCACCAGTAATGGAACAGTTACTGACAACTTTGATATTGTAAGTATAATTATAACTAGGCCTAAGCATGCGCTTCAAAGAGAAGAAAAAAAAATTTATATTTCGAAATGCCTCTTATGGGCAATCATTATGTAGTTTTCTGTGCTGCGCCGAGAATGAAAGTCTTTTTTTTAATATTTCACAAAAACTGTTTAATATCAAACTTTCCGCAGTATGGCAAGAGCTGGAAAGCGACTCCCGAAGTTCTCAATATACTGGAGGTGCCCTTACAAGACCAGTGTGGAGAAGTACCCCCTACGCCCGAGTGTACCCCACCACCGCCAGAAAGCAACCCCTGCTACAATATTCACAATATTGACAAATTTGGTGCGGTAAGTACTTACTTCCTTACTTAAAGTAACTTATGAGCGGTAATACATTCAGTGAGGAATTGAAAAATGGTTTAAATTGAAGAAATATGTACAATTTTACATATTTTGAGCATTTATTTTTCTCATTTCACGCATAAAGAGATAAAAGCTAAAATTGGCGGACAGCTCAATGCCAGCTAGGGACGACGGGGTGTCTTCTTTTATAACAGAAGCCCTTGTATCCTTACTCGATGTTAGAGAGTACGTACTCTCATCCTTTATCCGCAATTAAGTTACTAAATCAATTAAAACATATTACATCTATACTGAATTTTCGCGTCAAATGTCAACAGTCAAACACCTAAAAAATTAAAGTAGCAATTTTTGCCGTCTGGACGTTAGCTCACATAGTAATACAATTTAATTAGAAAAAAATGTAAATAAACTTATGATGGAAAATAAATAATGTTTTGCTTTCGTTATTTTTATTTCAGTGCCACGCGCTAGTTGATCCCGAACCCTTCATTCAGAACTGTGAAGCAGAGATATGCGACTTCAATAGGACTGACGCGTGTCCTACGCTAGAGAGATATGCCGCCGAGTGTCGTAAACAGGGCATATGCCTAGATTGGAGAACGGATCTGTGTCCATTCACTTGGTTAGTATAAACATTTTCTTAGACTTGGCATTATAATCAGTTACTAGGACTTAAAGCTACGTTAACTTCTGGGCTTCCTGTACGTATGTTTGTTATTTGTACTTTATTACAATTTCTACTTTTTAGCAGCATACTCAACCAACTTAAATGAAGCACCACATTTATTAAAAAGCTATCAATATCTATATTGAACAATATTTCTAGACAATTTAAGTACCTCTTTGCACCATTTCATTTCTTTATATATTTGTGAGTTTTAAATTATAATTTATGTTATTGTCTGGTAAACCAAGAACAATATCAGTACAAACGAATAAAACGGATTTGCATTTTAATTGACTAAGACCCCATCTAAATCGCATCTTCCCTTCAAACGTTTGGCGAGTATTCATTAATTTATAGATTCTTGTTGTACAGTGAAAGTCCACTAGTGTACCGGCCTTGTGTTGACTGTGAACGCACTTGTGAAAACCATGATGACCTGGAAAAGAATCCGAAGAACTGCGACAGCAAACCCGTCGAAGGTTGCTTCTGTCCACAAGGAAAAGTACGTATACCTAGACCAAAACAAAATACCCTGTTCACCAATACGAGTTATTAGTGTCGTCTCTTTTCCACAATGAAGATAATGAATACCTACATAACTGAACTAAATGAAAATTTTAAATAAAACACTTGAAGTTTTAACGGTTCTAAACCCAAAATATTTTATGCAACTTATTTAGAAATTACCTACAAACGAGAGGATGCCGTGAGTCAATTCTGTAATGACCCAAATAGTTTCTCCAAATACCAAGTACGAGGAAACAGATGTCGCTAGCGTAGCAGATTTTGACCTAGACATTTGCGACACCCTCCATTTTTAGTACCCTCGTAATTACAGCTGCTATAAAGCAACCGAAACGCTTATTATAATCTTATAAGGCAAATTAACTACGATCCAATGTTTTGGATGCTAGCTTTTAGCAGCCACCTCTGACCACGGCAGATAACACGTAAAGATATTTTGCGTTTTAAGAAAAGTGTTTTATTTAGACGTCTACTAAGTACTCGTGCAAAATACAAAAAACACTTCGTCTTCATAGTATAATATAATCATATATAAGATTAACCAATTTTATATTGTTTTTAGGTACTAGTGAACAGTACTTGCATAGAGCCGTCCAAATGTTTCCCTTGCGACTCTAACAGTGAACATTACGCGGGAGATGAGTGGCAGGTAGGATTTTGTTTCTTTCTTTATCTTAAAAAAAATCTCGAAATGACATGAACATTTCTTTACCACAAATGTTTACAAAATCTATACTAATATATAAAGCTGAAAAGTTTGTTTGTGTGAACACGCTAATCTTAGAAGCTAGGGGTTCGTATTGAACAATTATTTTTGTGGTAGCAAGAGTATTTATTAAAAAAGGTATAAAACATTTTGCACTTAACTACTACTAACTAAACATTGACTAATGGAAATGGAGAAACAGCGGGAAATGTGAAAAAAAAACGAGGAAAATTTTTCAACTTTGTGGGTTTCCAATGCGTACGCTGCGAAAGAATTATCAGTCTTTAAATATCAAAAAAAATATCAGCTACACTATGTCTATGTTTTAAAGGGACGCGGCTGACGTCGTGGGTAACAGCTTATATTTATAGAGATGAACAGTTTGCTAAAAAAACTTGGATACGCAAAATAACTATTCTACGCGGACAAAGTCGCTGACACAGCTAGTATTTAGAAATCAAATGCCTTTGCAATTACTAACCTTACTTTTGCATATTAGGAGGACGCCTGTACAAAATGCACGTGCAGCAAAGTGGCGGACAAAAATATCGCGCACGTTGCGTGCACGACTCAGACGTGTACCGTACCCGTTTGTTCTGGTGATGAGGATCGTGTCAAGATGGCTACCAAGATCGGCGCCTGCTGCCCAGAGTACATTTGCGGTAAGAGAATATTTATTCGCTATTGAGAACAATTTTCCTTAGTTTTCTGTGAAGTTTAATCACGTTTCGGTCTTAGTCTGTGAATTTCTGAAGATCCAAAGTCAAAATAGGCCGACAGCACATCTTGTTGAGATGCGCTGTCGGCCTATTTGCTGCTGCTGGAGATTGCACCTACCATCGAATGTGTGTTTATGGCTACAACAAAAGTGTGTTTATGGCTAGTAATTTCATTAAAAAAAACCTAAATTATCTCAATTCTTATAGATTTCTTTACATTTATACGTGTACAGTAAGTGTACATGTAAGTAACGATTTATCGTAGCGATTTATGCAGACCAGTTTGCCCGATGTATCCGAAATAGGAGCACGCATCCTGTTTAGATGTTATATGGCTTGTCTTCTATCATAACAAAAAATGGGGTCGAATCCATGACCCGTTGAATATTAGCCGTACATTGCCACTATTACACTGGCAAACCCACCTAGCGGTACGTGTGTATAAGCCTATAAGGGACTCACTGGGTGTAACGTAAAATGTACTTTATATCATTGGGTAGATGTTAAGGAACCCCAGAAAAGAAGTATTTTTTAATACTGATACATATCTGCTGAAATATGTTACAAATATAGCAAAGCTAACATTTTAATGTGTGAAAATGATTACTTTATAGTACCCAAACCCAAGGAACCAGAGATACAATGCGAGGAACCAAAGAAAATGGACTGTGGTTTCGGACAAGTTCTGAAGCAGAAAACTAACGCTAACGGTTGTCAAGAGTTCACTTGTGGTGAGTATAATCTTTATCTCATCAAATATAGGTTGATATGACAGGTCTGAATCTAACTAAAATTATAAGGTTAGGCCCAAATTAAATACATATATATATATATATTTGTGTAAAAATCTATTTCAATGACGTAAAAGTTAAGGATGAAATTACAATGCGCAAGAGTCGCATGTATCGATAGACTAAAAAAATCGACGACTCGGTAACTCAATCGGTTAGAGCAACAATACGGAAAGCTGCGGATGTCTAGTTCAAGTCCCGTCCGTGTCGTATTTTTTTCAAACTAAACAAATTTTTATTTTATATAATCCACATCATGTGCAATAACTTGTAACAAATATTTATGTTTTCTATTTAAAACAGAATGCAAGCCAGCCAACGAATGCGAAGAAGTGCCAAATGAGAACGAAGTGGAAATGCTAGAACCGGGAATCGAACGTGTGGTGGATCGTACTGGCTGCTGTCCTAAAGCACAACTCATTTGTCGTCCAAACGCTTGCCCGAAAGCTCCTAAGTGTCCAGAATTCCATACTATGGAGACGCACAACGCGACTGGACAGTGTTGTCCAGAGTACAAATGTGGTAATTATTATTCTACTAATATTAATAGGAAAAAAAACATAAATGCTAATATATTTCGCGTTTTAAACCGTTAAACTCATTTGAAAATTATTTTAACTACGGCCCGACGTTTCGGATACTTTGCAGAGGCCGTGGTCACGGGGGGACTAAAGATGGATGTCTCTAATGTCAAAGTAAAAACTAGCTAGCTTCATCAGTTTCCTCGTACTTGTAATTTTTTTAAGTTTCTGTGATTTAAACATATACTTTTATTTATTTTTAAGTATAAGCTATAAATTATTCGAGATAAACAATTTTCATGAATATTTATCTAATATTCCAGAACTGCCCAAGGACAAATGTCTGGTGACGCTGGAATGGGAGGCAGCATCACGAGGTGGTGAAAAACCTCGTACAACTCCTCAAGTCGTTCCTAAAGAGGTAAATTCATAACAAGAAATAATTTGGGTACTAACGTAGGGGATCTAGAGAAATGCCTTATTTATCTACTTAAATACCTAAGCATTCTACCGCGGTGTTCGAATTCAGGATTTTTCGCTTAAAAATAAAAATATTCCAAATTTAAATAAAACACATTTGACTAAATTGTAAATAACCTAACAAATGCATTTAAAGTAAATGTTCTGTCGACCTTTTTTGCTTTACCTATTTGAATAGCCATGGGCTGAAACCGAAACGCGACTGAAGTGAAATTCAGGCTTTTTCATTTATGAACCACACGGAATTTCCATATCCTATTTCATATTCATATATCCACCTCCCATTTAATGTCCAGATCCCATGCAAAGTCCAAAGTGTTTAAAAAAATATACAATTATTTATATAAAACACTTTAACGGTTTAAAACGCGATATATTAGTTACAGCAGCCGAAACGTCGGGCCGAAGTTAAAAATCATTTTCAAATAAGTTTAACTAATATATCGCATTTTAAACCGTTAAAGTGTTTTGTTTAAATGTGTACGACTCGCGTAAACTATAGATAGTATTATACAATTATTAGAAACACGATCGAATCCACGACCCGTTGATTAGCCATACATTGCTATCATTAGACGACGATTACCTCACGATACATTTATTATTATAATATTTTACCCATACCCAGATCGACGCAGCCTGGTTAGACGGGCCGTGCCGTTCGTGCAGATGCGTACAGTCCGGGCCTGCAGCGAACGCGCAATGCAGCGTCACCGAGTGTCCGCCGATCGTGTCTAGCGAGCAGTTCGTTGTGGAGGCTCGCCCTGTACCGTTCGCGTGCTGCCCACGGGCGGTACAGACGGCATGCCGGCAGGGTGACGTCATATACAAGGTGGGCTTATTCATGACCGTTCTTTACTTACCTTTTTTTAATGATACAGGAGGACAGACTACTTGATACACCTACCATAGGTGAATATACCGTAGCTTACAATTCTGTATTACATTGTATATCATCTAAATAAGATGCGCTCTCGACCTATTTCGGCTTTGGATATTCGGAAATGCACAGACTATAACCGAAACGCGATTAAACTTCACGGCTTTGTGTGGTAGTTCGTGACCTGGACGGGATTCCAATATTCCTACCACGTATGTAATATCCAGATTTTCAGACGAAGACCAACATGTTTCAGATATAAATTGATTATAAAAATGTTGGACCCGATGGGGATCTAACCCACGACCCGTTGATTAGTAGCCGTACATTACTACCATTCACCAACTAGAACGTCAATTAGACTGGACATACACATTAGTCGTAACTTTGTTCTTTAAATGTGCGTCTCTCCTAGGTGGATGAGAGTTGGAAATCAGCTCATAACGTATGCGAATCTTACCAATGCAAGGAGGTGTCAGAGGGGAAACTCGAGATCGTCACCACAGTCCAGACATGTGATGCTACTTGTCAAGCCGTAAGTGGAACACTTACCTCACCTAAAAAAGTCAACATACGTGTTATTTGAACCCGTTTCTCTCCCCTCTCTTCTCCCCAAATGAAATTAACCATGTGTGTTTATCGAAATTCATCAATCCTTGTATGCTCTAGGGCAGTTAATTCTCATAATTTATATCATTACAATGGTGTAATTACACGAGACGATAAACTAAATTAAATATTTCTGAGTTTACATTACTAACTTTACCTTCTGTAGTATGTAACATTTCTACATGGAAATGGATATTGGGTAAACCACAGACTGCAACCGGAACGCGATTCAATTTCACGGCTTGGTCACCTGTGGGCGGTGGTTCGTGACCCGGATGGAATTCTGATATTCCTACCACCATCAGTTTCAGAGAAATTATAAATTGAAAAATTAGAAAAATATGGGACCCGGTGGGAATCGAATCCACGTTCCTTCTTTCCTAAAAAATAAAGTCTTAGTTCGTTGAGACTTGCATACTTTGTTAGGTCATAACTTTGAGGTTCTTACAAAAACCTAATATAGTGTAAACATTGTTTATAGGGATGGGATTATGTGCCCGCGACCGCAGACAGCGGTCAGTGCTGCGGACGCTGCAAACCAGCGGCTTGCGTCTTCAAGGGTGAAGTGCATAATGTTTCCGAGACCTGGACCTCTGGTGATTTCTGCTACAACTACACATGCGCTCTCATTGAAGATTCTGTAAGTATCAATAATAGCCCTCGTTTTTGGTTGCTTTTTATTTATAAGCTAGTTTATAAGCTTTTGTTTGTATGTAACAAAACCTGTTGTGGTTATTAACTAGCTGTGTCAGAGACCGCTTAGAAGAGTTATTTTGGCCATCTAAATTTGTTTTTGCAAACCTCCTGTTCAGCTCTATAGAATTTAAGCTGCTAACCACGACCTCGTCCGCGTCCTGTCGTTCTTGCGAATTATTCTTAAAAAATAGACATAAAGTGTTGCGTACATTTTTAAATACTTGACGAATCGTTATTTTATACATATATTTGGATATCTTGAACCGTTTTCGCAGCGTACGCAACAAAAACCCACAAGGGTGAATAATTTTCTCCGTTCTTTTTTCACATTTCCCGCTGTAACTTCGCTTCTATTAGTCACACCGCGTTTTTTTCATAGATATTAAATCTTACATACATAAGAATGATTTCTCTTAAATGATTTGAAAAAATGTCCCCGACACTGTATGTCTATCTCTTAAGAAAAACTTGGAAGAACGACGGAACTCCAACAGACATGTCGCGAGCGACCGATGTCGTGGGTAGCTTAAATTTATAAACATGTAGAGGTTTGCAAAAACAAATTTGGATGCCCAAAACAACTTTTCTACGCCGACGAAATCACTGACACAGCTAGTAAATAAAATCTTAATAAAATCTTTCCTCCAATCTTCTTAACAAATATCTTTGCCCAACCTGCTTCCAATCCCTTTGAAATGAAACTGCATCTATTAAATCATAAAAATTGTATTTGTATTTAGATAATCTCTTAAGGCCTACTACCATATCTTATTTTCAGCTACAAGTGTTGTCTTCAAACGAGCCGTGTCCAGAGATACCAAAGACGATGTTGGAGCAATTCGTGTTGAGTGATGAAAAGATTCCAGGCAAGTGTTGCCCCAAGCGAGAACCCGTCGCCTGTCGAGTTGGCAACGATATCTACCAGGTAATCAATGTATACAATAATTATAAATATATACAACAATCCTATATTGTACGAACGTTTGGTGCGTTTATCGTTTCCCCAGAATTCAAATCCAGCACCTCCCGCGCTTAACGTATCTGTGCGCTATCTATCTATGTAATGAAGCGATCGAAAGCACGCAAAACATTAAATAATGTTTACAATTTAATACCAAATGTGTGAAATGATGCCACAATAATAATAAATAGGACTAGGGCCCACGTTTTAAGAACCACTAGTTGTGCTCTCGACTTTGTCCACGTGGAAAAGTTATTTTGGGCAAAATATTATTTATTTTTGCAAGCAGTCCTTTATAAATTATATTTGGAACCCACGACCTCGTCTGCATCCCATCTCGTGGTTCTTGCGATAATTTAAAATGATAGACGTATACCGTCGTGAAATTTTTTTAAGATCGTTTAAAGAATCATACATATTTTTTTTGGTTTCATGAATCCTTTTGGCAGTACTCAAAGTTCCTCTTTTTCTGTGCGCCTATTGGTTGCAGCCTGATGTGCTATAAACGTGGCGGAAATTCGTTCTAGTAGTTCTTAAGATTAGGGCGTTCAAACAAACAAACTCTTCAGCTTTATATATAGTAGAGATTTACATATTTATTCACCAAACAGGAAGGTCAAACGTGGCCAACATCAGACCCTTGCAAGAACGTTACATGCAGCAGAGATACCTCCGGCCGATTGACTAAGACGGAGGCCGTGCAAAGCTGTGACACCCAATGCAAGCTCGGTTGGGCGTATCAAGCGCCACCTGGCGGACAGTGTTGTGGACAATGTGCGCAAGAGCAGTGTGTTGTTGGTGGAGAATTGAAAGAACCTGGTAAGATAGAACGAACTAGCTAAGGGGCTCGACAGTTGGGTTCCTGGGTTCTTATCCCAGCGTTTCACGTTTCATGTGAAATTCAGTATATTAGTAAACTAGCTGTGTCAGCGACTTCGTCCGCGAGAAACGTTATGTTGGGCACCCAAATTCGTTTTTGTAAACCCCTTTATATTTATGAACTTAAGCTGTTACCCCCGACGTCGGTCGCGTCCCTTCCCGTCGTTCGTGGAAGTTAATCCTAAAAGAGAGACATAGCGTCGCGGACTTTTTTTAGATGATTTACAGAGGAATCTTTTTTTCGCACATATTTTTTGGGTGTCTGGAAGCGATTTTCGGCGTACGCGTCGGAAACATGAATACTTCCCCTGTTTTTTTTTACATTTTCCGCTATTTCTTCGCTCCTAATTGTCCTGTTACACGCTCTAAACAACACATAAGGAATTTTTCAATTCGAACCAGTAGTTCGATTCCTATTCCTGAAATTAGCGCGTTATAACAAACAAACACACTCTTCAGCTTCATATATAAGTATAAATTATTTATTGTAAATGGTTTCCTTGTTATATTTTTAAGGTGCTACCTGGAAATCAATGGACAACTGTACAACGTACACTTGCGATAAATTGGGTGAAGAGGTATTTGTGTCGTCGTCTCGAGTTCAGTGCCCAGACGTGTCCACCTGCCCACCAGAGGACCTCTTTACAGAAGGCTGCTGCCAGATCTGCCATGAAAAACCGAAATCTCAAAGTGAGGACGTTTAATATTGATTCAACTATAGTTTCTGAATCAAAAGATCACGAACTTGATCAATTAACTTTTAAGTATTTTAATAAAACACTTAAACGGTTTAAAACGCGATATATATATTTCTAATTAACAATACAACACTGGCTTTAAAAGAAAGACAGATTGACTGTTCAATCAGCGCAGAGACACCCCTCCTTACACGCACTTGTCACCACTACTTCTTATCCTTGATGACGTCATCTCAGTAGTTCTCTAACAATATCGTACTTATAATATTTTTTTATTTCAGGCAAATGCGTGCCTACCGACGTGGACGCACAAGATTCCATCGGTCTGATACGAGTGAAGTTTAACCAACGCGGTTTGTGCGTCAACAAGGAGCCGCTGCGTGGCTTCCGCGAATGCCGCGGTTCCTGTGATTCCGGCACATTGTATAACAATCGTAAGTGTAACGGATCTGGTCCTTTGAGCCGGATAATTTAGCTTCTTGGTAAAGAACTAATTGCGTTTAACATTTTTTATGTACTAGATTCATATCTAGATTTAAAAAAAACTCTCATTTAACTCTGATGGTGTTTGTTGTAAACTTTTTTTGATAGTTTTGGAATGGTTAGCTAGTTTGTAAACTTTGATATTTTTCACATTGTAGATATGATGACATTATATAAATTTAAAATCAACTCAATTACAGCAACAGCACGGAATGTTGTAGATGATGTTGATGTTGTAGTTGTTGTTGAAAGTCCTGTCCGTGTGATAGATTTTGATCAGTATAATAAGATGTTTAATTACTAACTATAATTCCAATGAAATTGTAGTTATAACCAAAGATATTTATTTGGCTCGATACATTTCAGTTCATTTATTACGCTATGGTACACAAACATGAAAACGTGTACTACCTACTCTCCCCCTGCCTTACGAATTCAAAACCAGATTACGTGTGAAAAGGTAGTTTTCACTTAAAACATTTTAAATCCATATATAATTTCTAACATTACAGAGACCGGATCTTACGATTCGCAATGCGAGTGCTGTACTGCCAGCAGATACGCACCTTTAGTCGTGACTCTGTCGTGCGAAGACGGCTCGACAGTCGCGCACCGCGTTGCCTCTACTGAGAATTGTGTCTGTCGACGTTGCGGGGAATCCCTCAGTGATTTTCCTTTACACTCTAGTGAGTATATATATAATACTAGCTGACTCTACCAATTTTCTTTTTTTTTATGATAGGACAGACAAGCAAGGGGTTTACTGGATGGTAGGTGGCATTCCTCAGCATATAGCATCTAAGCAAGATGCACTGTCGACTTATTTTGGCCTTAGATATCAAAGCCACAGACTGAAACTGAAACGCGATTAAGCTACGCGACTTTTTCATCTGTGGACCGTGGTTCGTGACCCAGAGGGAATTTCTATATTCCTACCATCCATTTGAGATCCAGATTTCCAGACGAAGTCCAGCATGTTTCAGAAAAATTATAAATTAAAACAGCTTCTCAAACAGCGGTCAATGATGCCTAGTACCTATTAAAACAAGTACAAAAAAAATCACATTTGTAATCTGTGCCCTACTCGGCCGAAACTATTGAAGATTCTTTGGGATACAACATTAGGAACATTAGGAGTAGGAGATCGCTGGGCCAAGAAGTTGACTTCTTACCATTGAGTCATCGAGTGTTTGTAGTAATTCAGCCCTAATCCTCTTTCCAGGTCCTAGGCCATACGGACATAAGTCATTGCCGGACTTGTACAAACGCTTCGGTGAACCAACTCAATATTAATACAATTAAATATATGTAAATACATCTTGTATTATCTACTTTTGTTTTATTTTTATCATTTATATGTAGCAGCGTCAGATTATCACAAAAGGGGAATTCTAGAAGTTAGTTTTAAAATAAGGATAATGCGAGTGGTATAAGTACATTTAAATGAAATTTAACGGTTTAAGACGCGCAACGTATTGGCTATCTTATTGTTTATTTTGGACCCTACATTTCGCAAAATACAAAATAAACGATTTGTTTTCGTTGAAGCCTTCGAACAAAAGAACTTTGCATGGACAAGACATACACTCTTATTACAAAACAAGAACTAACTTTCAAACCCTGGTTTGTTTGAAATCCTTATCACGAAACGAAGTTTAACGTTTGCACTTAGAAAAACAAAACTTAGATTTATTTAGACCATGGTTTAAGAGATAAACCAATACTCCCCAGTTCTCGTTTAAGTATTTTTTTGTAATAAGGCCGTGTGTAAACTCGCACGTGTCTCTGTCTCTAAAGGTTAACAGAAATAATCTTTTTATTTCAATAGTACTGACATTTTAGTCACCTAAATATAAAACGATATCGTGAAGTTTACCAAAATGAGTTAATTCTTTATATGAGTCTTCTTCCTACAACGAACAAGGACACCAAGTGTTCAGGAGGTGTCTACTTTCATTTTCTTCCTTCCAGGCTGCTATTAAAAAAAAAACTTAGTCATTTTAACAAATCTTTATAACATCAATTTACAAAAACATACACAAAGAGTACTGTATCATTATTACAAACCGTGTTAGGGTACAGTATATCTTAAAGGTAGATTGAAGTTATCATACATTTTATTTACAGAGCTAACAATGAAAGTAGGCCGAGAGGAAATTACAAAACATTAACAATTAATTATAACCTTCAAAAGTTTTAAATTGTCGCTGTGTTTTGATTTGTTTTGATGCGCGTGAGATCTTTAATTTCACTCTTGGTTATGCGCCTGCGACTATCCCTTTATTTATGTACTTATAAAACGCTTTGTGCTGACTGATGAATTGTAAAGCCCACAACTGATTTTTTTTTACTATTCTACCTACTGGATATAATCTGTTTAAAATTTATTTAAGATCACAAGAGAGGCTCGTCTTCTTTATCGTGGGATGCTTCTTCGCCGTTTTGTTCTTCTTCTTCTTTTTGTTTCTGCTTTTTCAGCATGTCTGATAGGTATTTACACCGCTGCATACATTCCTCCTGCGAGACGTTATTTTGGAGTTATAACTATACTTGCCTAATTCTGTCTATAGTTAAAGCGAGTAGTACCCATTTATATAAAACACGAATGTTTTTGGCGAAACTGGCCAAATATCAACTTCGACTTAATAAATAGGGCTAGCATAGCAATTTTTACTTTGACGTCGGAGACACCCAGCTAATTCACCCACCCGCGACCACTGCTGCTGCACAGCATCCTAAACGTCGGGCAGTGGTGAAAATAAATTTCAAATAAGTTGAACTAATATAAATTGTTTTTTTAAACCGCTTTATTTAAATTCTATTTGTTGTTTACATTTTATCATTCAAAGACGTAGTAGTATTTATATGTTCTTAATAAATCAAGTTTGATTTATTAAGAACATATTTATTTAAAATTTGCATTGATAAATTTGCACATTAATCGGACCTCAAAAGAAAATAAAAAAATTATTACACAAAAATGGCGTCAGTTGATAGGGATTTGAAAGCGATTTGTAAGTGTCGGTCTTATTGACGTAACGTTTGAACGTTTAGTTCAATTACGAAAACAAATCGTAACACTATTGTCAAATCGATTTGTAATTGTCCCGTTTTCTTTAGAAAATGTTTAGATAAAAAGATGTTGCAAGTATTAACAAAAATGTCTTTCATTCTACTTTTTGTGTTGTCTTTTTACTACTAAAAGATTTTTTATTTCAATGAAGCACTTAAACGACTTAAAACGCAAAATATTATTATAGTCGGCCCAATCGCAGCGCATTTGCAGCAGCCGTGGTCACGCGGAAAATTATTTTATTTCGCGTTTTAAACTGTTAAGTATTTTATTTAAATGTGTACTACTCACGTAAACATACAGACATAATATATTTTTTTATTGTAAAATAATAATAACTTCACAAAATACAAGACCTATTGTAATTGTCAATGTTAAAAAAAAAACCGAAAAAATAGAGAATATATAACATGTTATATTCCACGAAAATACTTCATTTCACGAATGTAATATAAAGAAATTACAGAGTTATTATTATATAATATATATTTTTGTATTCTTACTTTGGTCTTCCCGGGGACATTATTTGCTATCTTCTGCCACCTGTCCCCGGCCCCTCCTTTTGGATGTTTCGCTAGAGCACTTTCTAAAGCCTTTTGCTGGCTCTGAGACCAGTTACTTGCTGAATTTGGTGATATGTCGTCTGTCTTGCGAGTTTTGACCTAGAGGATAACATCATTAAAAAAAGTCATTTATTTAGCAATAAGATACACATTACACAAATAGCTAAGGAATAAAAGTGAAGAAAAAAGATTAAATGCATCCTTAACAATTTCACAAATAGTTCAAAACTTCTATAGCAATGATAAAGAAAAAACAAGACATCGATAAAAAATTACAGATAATAGAACAAATTTTATATAAAAGTTAACAAACAAATGAAAATTAATTAAACGTCTTAATAACAATTGTGCTGAAAAGGTGCGATTTCAACAAACATAATTATGTATGACAGTTTCAATTACATTTTGAAGTTATATTAACGTTTGAAAACTTTATTATTTTTTACATGTTGCACATGAAGGCATTATTATATAATTTAAAATTCGAAAATAAATTGAAAAAATCTTCGACTCAGACAGGACTTGAGTCCGGGGACTCGGTAGCTCAATTGGTAGAGCAATAACACGGTAAGCGGACGATGCCGGTTCAAGTCCTGCCCGAGTCGTACTTTTTTCAATTTATTTTCGATTTTTTAGTTATATTAAATTAACTTTAACGTATGTTAACTCATCTATGGTATATATTATTCTATAGAAGATTTCTTGTTTTATATTACATTTGTAATGTCAGATGTATGTAGCATATCTCACCTTTTTAGGTGGTTCTGGCGGAGGCTCAGTAGTCTCTTGAGCGGGCAGCTTATAGCAGTTCTCCTTTAGCTTAGCAGCCATATGCGTCACCTCCGGAACTGACCGGCACATGCTGTCTGCTATACGCTCCCACCTCTCCGGTGCCCCGGGAGGGTATTTCTTCACTAGACGAACCAGCTCCGCCAAATCATCATCCGTCCATAGACCACCTGAGATGATAGGTTGCGCTGGCTTTGGTCAGGAGGGGTTTTTATTAGACATCGTATCGTTTGATATCTATACTAATTTATAAAGCTGAAGAGTTTGTTTCAATGCGCTAATATTAGGAACTACCTATTAGTTCAAATTGAAAAATTATTGTAGTGTTGGTTAGAGCATTTATCGAGGAAGGCTTTAGGCTAAAACATCATGATGCGACCAGTAGGAGCAAATAAACTGTAGTATATGGAGAAAAAAATCATCTTTGTTGGTTTCCTTTGGGTACGCTGCGTCAATGATTTAAGATAGCCAAAAAATATGACGTATGAATGAATGATTCCTCTTTAAATTATATAAAAAACAATGTGCCACAATATGTGTCTTTCTTGTAAAATAAACTTGCAAGAATGACGGGACGCGAACGTTGCTATGGGTAATAACTATAATTTATAATGTGGAGGAGGTTTGCAAAAACAAATTGCCCAAAACTATTCTACGCAGACTAAGTCGCTGACACAGCTATCTTTATATGGACTATAATTGGATAAGCACATTAATTTTGATTCCGTGTTATAGAAAACCAGATCTCTCATTTATTTAAAAAAAGAACTTGATATTCAGGGTTAAAGACGACATCACATAACAAATAATACCGCTTTGGTTTCCTTGATATTCTCGTCCTGCTCTGGCTCATCAGCCGGGTCCAGCATACAGTCTCGCTCTGGGGGGACGAAACCGCGTCTCCTACGGACCGGTCCACTAGCAGCACGACTCTCAGCAGCGGCTGCTTCGCGCGCCTCACGGGCGCGTTCTTCTTCCTCTCTACAAAAATTAAAACAATATTTTATATAGCCAATAACCTGGAATATTTTTATATATGGAAAAATATACACAGCAAGTACGCGAGGAGCTTATTTTAGAGATGGAAAAATTGATTTTTATAAAGTCTTTAAAGACAGAGGTCTTTAAAGACTTTATAAAAATCTTTAAAGAGAGAGCAACAGCACGGAAAGCTGACGATGCCGGTTCAAGTCCTGCCCGAGTCGAAAATTTTTTCAATTTATTTTCGATTTTTAAATTATATAGGTCTTATATTACCAAATAAATTATTGATATTATACATAATTATAAGTTGTTCAATTTCGTGTAAAGCACTATTACTAAATTTCATAAAAAGTGATGAAACACATCACTGTACAGTGAAGTACATAAATGAGAGAAATGTTTTACATACATTTTTTTCAATTTAATCACTAATTAATTATGATAAAATGATAACAATATCATTAAATCTCTGTAAAATACACTAAATGAATTTCTGATATCCTTATGTTGTCTGTTTCACTATGGAGAGTGAATGTTACCCAGTTCCAAATATTTTCTATAACCCCCATGGGATATGGGACACATTTCTATGTCCATTTAACAGATGTGTTTCCCCAGGATTCAAATACCCACGACCTCTCACGCTTAACGCAATGTTTGGCAACACCTTTAACCATTTAGCTAAAGGCGCAGTCGTTAAGCTGAAGCATACAAATATTACAAAATAATTTTCTAATATTACCTTTTCTTTTGTCTCTTCTCTTCTTCTAGCTCCTGCTGCCTTCTCTCCTTATAGGCAGCAATTGCACAAGGTATAGCTGTGATTGACCACCAAATGGCTCTTGGTATTTGAAATGGGAGTGTATCCTTTATACTGGGTTTTGGTAATTGTTCTAGAATTTCCGCTAAGCCAGACTCAAATCCAGATCTTTTTTGCTTTCGACCTCTCGAGTTTAATATTTGCTCCTACAAAAATATAAGAGTAAACATCATCAAAAGCTTATTGCTATTTTTATTATTATCATATATTTCTAATTATGCTGAACATAGTTTAAATCTTGAACAATTCTAATGTCTGTTTTTAATTGAAATTATAGATTTATAAAGAACTACATTACATTACTTATGGAAAGATGGTGAGATTCTGTGAGGAGAATTTTTCAAAGAAATTTCTGTTATCTCCTAAACATACTTACAGCTGTATATTTCTTCTCAGCATATGCTGCCCAGCCAACCAAATATTGGCCAAAAGTAATAATAATGAATAATATAAGTGATCCCTCTGCCAGGCCCATTTTCCTGACATGTCGGTAATAGTAGATGGCTGATCTCCAATTTGGAAGACCATTTTTAAGAACTTCATTGTACCTTAAAGATTTATTTTGTTAGTATTTTATAATAATCCAAAATAATGATCACTATTAATATACAATCAGCGTAACAGTAGTTTTTATTCCAAACTTCATAGAACACAGTGTTTAATAAATATGTACATATGTACGTCATAGGTTTATTTAATTTTGCAGTAACAATGTTTATTTTAATTAAGTTTAAATTATTTTAATTATTAATTGAATTAATAAATATAGTTTTAAGATATTGTGTACAATATACTTTCAACTTACTTCTCCCTTTTCCCTGGGTCTTTGAGAATATTGTGAACTGATACCAAGTTCCTAAATTGAACATCAGCATCAGGTGCGTCATTTTTATCTGGATGTAATTTTAATGTTAACTTCTTGAAGGCTTGCTTAATTTCTTGTTGGGAGGCATCCTGAAAAAAATATTATATCGCCCAGTATAGATCTTATTCAAAACTTGTTTAATTTTCATACATTCTTTGATTACCAAAGTTGCACATTACTCCTTAAGTCTTAATTAAAACGAATGTAAGGTATATACAATACATTTTCTATTTTAAAATTGTGTTTAAGGAAAAAAATATTAGTAATGCTTTGTTTAATAAGTGTCGGCGAAAATGTTAATAAAAGAGTCACAACTCTAAACTAGAATAATTATACAGTAAACCGAAATGGAATAAAATAATTATACCTGAGAAACTCCCATTAGTTCATAGAAATTTTGATTCACTTCTTCGACCACGTCAAAAACTTCCAAGTCGTCCTCATCCCATGCAGCAACACCCAGAGTTAAACAAACTAACAAAATAAAATGGCGCATCTTAAACACCATACACTATTGCTACTAAGTTTAATAAACCATTTATTTTATAAACGTGTAGTAATTTATATTAAAAATAAATTGAGCGGTTGCGGCCAATGTCGTTCATTGATGAATAAAACTGAGACTTGTCACCAGCTGATTGCTGACGTTCCCAGTACTGTCATATTCTGTTTTGACAATTAACAGTGAGACGCTTAGGGTTGTCCTTTGTTAAAGTACAACATATTCTATTCTGTTACTACCGATTTTTATTTATTTATTTATTAATATTTATTTTGTTTTAATTTATTTTTCTTGGGTTTGTTGAAGATGTTTTCAAATTGAAAACGTAGTTTATATTTTTAATAAAAAATGGTTCATTTCCCATCCATTACGGGTTTCAGGTTACGGGCTTGTTACTTTGTAAAGCCTTACAAACTAAAGTCCCAACATAAACCAATATAAAGCGACCCGTAGTTATTCTTAGATGCGACCGCAACCTAAAGGGAGAAAGATGTAAAGGAGGGAGGGCGGTAGGTCAAGGTAAATAGTTATACTGGGTGTCGAATAGATTATGTGGGTCCGGGGATGGGCAAGAAATGTCAGTATCGTGCGGCCCCTTTTGGGGGTGATACGTCATTCAGCGATGAAACTCCCAAAATAAGAATACTTTTGCTTTATTGTTACGTATAGTGCGTCAGCACTGCTTTTTGTGGGATAATGTGAATTTATGGTTCCTCCATGCATTGGCCTAGAAATAAATTTGTAATCGCAATGTTTTTCTTTATTCTCTGTGCATTTGTGCTTGGAATTCTGTCTATTCAATCCTTTGTAAGTACGAATGTTTATAAAGCTGTTTAATGTTATGGAAAGTCAATAAACACAAGTTGATATTTTTTAAATTTATAAAATAAAGACTTACTTAGTGACTTTGGCAAATAACTCTATAATTAAAAAAAAACTTTACTATAGCATTGTTTAATTCAGACTAAATTAACTCACTTTGTGATTATGTCAATAATGAGAGAAAATATAAATTTAATGAACTTGAATTAAAAAAAATAACAATGAACTTAATGACGTAAATTATACGATGAGTGACAGACAATCGATCGGCGGGAAAGCATGCGCAGTACGTCCCTGTTTTCCCGCGTAAATACGTCGCTGAAAATTTATGAATGGACTCTACCGCATCGTGTTAGTTGTTCTAGTAGATTATTAATGATTTTATTTATTTAGATACAATTTTAAAACCTATATTGGGAATTAAACTAGGCTGAACTTAATTTTTTATTTCTTGTACCAGGTTTCACTTGCGTCTTTTCCAGCGTGAACAAACGAAGAAAATGGTACAATATTGATTTCTATGCTTAAATATCCTATCACATTTTACATTGAATAACCCTATTTATAATAAAGCTATTTATTTGTAACACGTTGCTTTTTATTATCAAGCATATTTCCTTTTAAAAAAGGTAAAATATGTGATGTAATGTGTGGTTTATATTTGGTTGTCTGTATGGCTGGGTGGTATTATGTATGTAATTTTATTTCATAGTGTGCAGCGCAAACCCCTTGTTCAGATGGCCAACATTGTCCACCACATTGGCTATGCTGCGAAGAGGGGTGCTGTGCACCGGCGACTATAATACCGAGGCATACACCAGAGATTTTTACAAACGATTGGTATTTGCAATGGTAAATTCCCATAATAATAGCAATTTTGTATTCTTAAAAAATAATAATTTATGAAATAGCAGCATATGGCTAATCAACGGGTCGTTGGTTCGAACCCTTCGGCTCCACCATGTTTCTATTTTTTCAAATAAATATTTAGGGAAAAACATGTTGGACTTCGTCCTTAAATCTGGATATTATATAGGTGGTAAGAATATAAAAATTCCGTCCGGGTCACAAATCACCGTCCACAGATGAAAAAGCCATGAAGCTTAATCGCATTTCGGTTTCAGTCTGTGGAGAGTGTGTGTGTATCTCCATCCTACCATCACGTGAACTCTATGATTGTCTGTTCTCCTCTGTCATAAAACAAATCTATGACTTGAAAATTGTCTTTTTAAAACTTTATTATTTCTTACGTGTTATTGCACATGAAGGCGCCATATAATTTAAATTGTCTTTTAGGTATTTTTAAGAAAAGAAATAAGTGAAACGTACTTAATTATATTGGTACTAGTATTTACATAACGGTTATGCTGTATTTTAAAATGTATTTTAAAAGTCATATATTTTTTAGGCAAGTGCTGTTTATATTGGGAACGTTAGTTGGCATCGTGGCGTGTTGTCTATGGTGCGTGGTTTTCAAACGGACTCGCGGCTTCTACATGTGCTCTATGGCTTGCTGTTTTCACCGTAATACATCAGAGAGGGACTCGGCTGGTTCCGTCTACCCTCCGCCGCGGTATAGCCGCTGTGGTTCTTTCCACCAGGCACCGCCACCGTATTCTGAAGTAATTCATTTTTCCTAATTCTTTATAGGATAGCTCTACTAATTAACGTTAAAAATAAATTTACTATACATTTAGACTAAAAAAAAATTACGACCGTGCGGTATTAAAAGTGCCGACTACAGCGTTCCGTGCCGCTTTCATCCTATTGATAAATCTATCTGTCGCTTGATATTAACCGTTGACCTTAACATTTTACGTCTAATAGATTTTAATTTATATGTGCAAAAATATTAAAGTTATAAGAGAACAAGAACTTTATCGACATAAGTAATTCTAACACAACGTGCAGAAAGAGTTTGCTTTTTACGTCGATTTCGAAAGCCAATAGTTTTAGAGACAGCGTAACGTAACTACATTTTTATGACTTGGATTATTTATATTTTCATAGTCTAAAAATGTTAATCTACAAGAGCACAGTGACCAAAAAATTAACATTATTTTTACATATTATTTCCAATAAGAGCCTAGTAACTTATAAAAAAGCACATCTATGTATTACAGGTTACTTCAAAGCCGGATCTCTATCCACTTGTAATAACCTGCAACGAGGGAGAAGGGAAATCCGGGGGGAACTATCTTATGGTGCACTATTTTAGGAACTACGTTATTCGAGCCCCAGGTAATTGTCAAATTTTGATTAAAATTACACCACAGGATATCAGTATTGGGACATTAGTCCCAACGTAGCTAATTATGGAATCCCTTTTCGTTTTGTTTGTATTTAGTCGGTTTAGTTAATTTATTATTGTAAATTCGTTTTTTTTAAACGTCTTTCTTTTCTATTCTATAATTCCACTATCTCACACTTTGATAAATTCCTTTAAACTAAAACTATTCTTAGTATTCGAAAATCTGTATTAGGTACTTGTGTTATGTGACGACACGAGGGCGTACAGAAAAACTCGATTGAGTTTTTAGTTACGCCTTTTTATGTTAATATAATAATAAAAAAAAAATAGATCTAAGCAATAAGTAACTATGTGGGGACATAAAATGGGGATTTTATAAGCGCAGACCGCAATCTGTGGAAAGAAGTGGCAGACATCTTTATTAAATACGGCATATTTTTATATTATATTTCCAAGAAAACTCCGCCAGAAATCATGCCCTATCTCATATTTCAGGCTCACTTTCAGCTACCAGCACAGCCGAGTCACTCAACTCAAGTTATATGTGCAACGCAGTCAACGAAGTAAGTGCCTACTTAAGATCACTTTGGTGACGTATAAGATTCTACAGTGTTTTATAGAAAAGTATAAATTGAAAATTTATTACTAATTAAAAATACTAGGGCTCGGGCAGGACAGAAAGGTATTTTATTTATTAAACCGAGTAATATTTTTGTAAGATTACAATTATAGTAGATTACAATTAAGGTAGATACCTAAACTAACTACGTACTAGTACGTAACTAAGTACATTTTTAGGTGATTACAAAGATGTATATGTTTGATTGTTCATTTGAACTAGCTAATCTCAGGAACTTCTAATTCGAATTGAAAAAAATTGTTTGTATTTGTTAATGTTATGTAGAAAGTATGTAATAAAACGAGTAATATGTGGAAAAACCGGGATAAATTATAAATGTTTATGGTTTTTTTTTGCCTGGCCAATAAAAAATGGTATAAGGTAACCAAATAATAATGTAAAGAATTTCTGGGATGGTATATGTCTTTAAAATTAACTCACGAGAACCAGAGTTTGCCAGCTATTAAAGTAATAATAAAAAAACTATAAAGTGTTATACAAATCTTTGCAGGCTAATACAATGGTTCCACCACCCTACTCTTGCGCAAGTAGCTACAACGAATGTAGTATGGGCTGTGGAAGGTCTATGTTAAGGTCTCTGACGTCACTGGCTGAACCACGACGGCGGGAGACCTCAAATAATGCCACTTTCAGGGATAACCTGATCAATTCTCCTGTACAGCCAATGGTTAGTATACAATAATAATGAAAATATGTTTGTGGTTGCACAAATATGTGTCTTACTCCTATGGATGTGTTTTCTTGTTTATTGTAGACTCTGGTCTTTTGTAACATAGAAAAATCCGCGAATTTTTCGCGCTCATTGATGTCACGGTAGCAATGTATAGCAAATACAACTAATTCATTATTTTTCTAATCAATCTATAATTTTCCGAAACATGTTGGATTTTGGAAATCTGGATATTAAATGGGTAGTAATATCGAAATTTCCTTCAGACCACGAGATACCGCCTACAAATAAAAGCCCAATGTTTAATCGCGTTTTGCTTTCAGTCTGTAGATTTCCGAATATCCAAAGTCAAAATACGTCAACAGCGCATTTTGTTAAGATATTGTCTATCTTAACAAAATGCTCAATCCTCCTCTGTCATAAAAACACAAAAATAATCTTCATTTTATAGGAGTACATATCTTTTTTAAATATGTACCTCCTTCCAGGATCCCTCGTACGATCTAGACCTCGAGCTTATAGATTGTGAGATGTACTGCGACGGCGGCTGCAAGCCACGGCTTGGAGCGTCCCCCCCTCTTCGGCACACGCATTCCAACTCGGAGGACACAGTCTTCGATCACGAAGCGTACGGAATCCGGCATTTGTTTCCGTCGCCTGAGGCCGGGGCTTGCGAATCACCACCACAACCCACAAGCCCAACACAAACTTCGAGAGACTCCACTTTAAGAAGAATGAGTGATGACAGGTAACGTTACTCCTTGGAAACAGAAAAACCAAAGCCAAAATAGGAAGCATTCTCTTGCCACGACTGTCTGTAGTTTACGCGAGTACTACACATTTATATAAAACACTTTAACGGTTTAAAACGCTTTATATATATGTATAGACTTATATGGAAATAATTTTAACTCTAAGGCTCGACGTTTCGAATGCTTTGCATCCGACTAATATAAAATGAATATTATATCGCATATTAAACTGTTAAAAGTTTTATTGAAATCTGTATTAAGCATTTTTATTTTATATTTGACAGGCGTTTAAGACGACTGGATTTAGGAAAGAAGTCAAGGACACGAAAGTCGAGCTTATACATGCCACTATCAGCTGGGTATAGCGGGAGAAGTTCAAGAATCTCGCCTGGAACTAGAATATCTTCAAGATCAGCCCCCGCTACACCGTGCGGGGCGCTGGTACCAAATCTTTTAAACTTAACTCAAAGGGTGTCCGCGTCGAGACTAAGTTCGCGGTCTTCGAGACTCGAAGAAGAAAACGACCCGTTACTGGCCCCGGACACGGAAACGACTGAACACAAATTCTGAGGAGTCTGAGCGAGTCTATTGTTTCAATTATTGTTAACGTAATGTCTTAACGAGACATGGATTTTGAGATCTGAAAAAAATAGTCGATTGTGATTTTCGTTGATTTTTATATAAGGAGGTTTTAAAACAAGGAGGTCATGCAAATTATACTTCTCCAAATCGTATATTTGTATAGCAAAGTAGCTTATACAGATAATGATTCGTCAATTCACTAAATACTGTCCACTTATAACTAATAAAAATATAAATTAATAAAACTGTACATATATTTCTATTCTTACCACGCAGACCTCAAAATCCACGTCTCCTAATATAAGTAGGTTTAATCCAAAGGCCTTCACGGGTAAGGGAGACGTTGAGATCAATTCGATGTTGTGATTGTACCAGTAGAATATTATGCTCATAACATGTTTACCAGCGACCTAAGTAGTTAGTGTTAATTAAATATTATTTAAATTAAAGAAATTAAGAGATCGAGCTTGTTGGACCATTGTTCACTTGCATTAAAATTGTGTACAATTAAAAAGTATTTTATTTTACTCCATATATATATACTGTGGTACTAAATCCTTTTGTTTACCTTTTTTTTTATTGTTAATGCCTTTGTTTCAAATAAAGCACAAGAACTATCCATATCTGTGAATATTGACATAATTTATGCATAATCTGTAGCGAAAATCGGGATTGTTAAATCTGTCAATGTCATCTTAAACGTAAAATTGGTCCCTAAAGCCTTTTATTATATATTTTTGTTTGCTTAATATATCTCAATATATTTTCTAACAATCACATACTGTATGTTGAAAATTGGTAACGAATAACTTAAAGTAACCGTGGATTCGAAAACGTACACCAATACCCCTGAAAATATGAGTTTACCAACAGATTTTGGCCCCGATTCTGGCGGAAGAGTAAAGGTATGAAATATTTTAATTAAACTGCAATATAAACAATTATGTTTCATAACGTTTAATGTCGAACAATTGAATTTTATTTTATATATTTTAATTAATTATGAATTGCTTCCAGGGATTGGTTATAGTAAAAGCAATAGTTTACGGCAATGTAGCTCGCTATTTCGGTAAAAAACGCGAAGAAGACGGGCATACACACCAATGGACAGTTTATGTTAAGCCCTATAAAAACGAAGACATGTCAACCTATATAAAAAAGGTTCATTTTAAGTTGCATGAAAGTTACGCGAATCCAAACAGAATAGTCACAAAACCGCCTTATGAGCTAACAGAAACTGGTTGGGGAGAATTCGAGATTGTTATAAAGATCTATTTTCATGATCCTAATGAAAGACCGGTTAGTAAATCGATATGTGTTTTATAAAAAAATTAACAACTTTGACTGCCTCTCTATTAACTTAGTTAAACAACTAGCACAGCATTACCCACAAAATGTTTCAAATCATGTGGATAGATAAGAAATTGTTTTATTTGGGTAGAGCACAGAGATCTACTTAAGCCTGTAGGTACTCTACAAACAAAAATAATGAAAATAAAATGATCTATACCACAATATATCGGGCTGCTACTGGGGAAATGGGTGGAATGGTGAGCGTATAAAGTGGACTGATCACCCGTCCTGCCAAGGGTGTCCCGGATAGAAAAAAATAATCAGGCTGCTGTTTTATTAAGCTGTTTAAAAGATACTGAATGCCACCCCTCCTTTTCAATATGATGTTTATATGCTATAATATTTTGTAATAATCATTCTATTTTGATTGAAGGTAACTCTATACCATATCCTGAAACTATTTCAATCTCCTGTGACCGAAGGCACACCTCAAGTAGGAAGAGTTCTTGTCAGTGAGTCCTATGAGGAGATTGTCTTTCAGGAACCAACGCAGTTAATGCAACATCTTCTGAATAATGTTAAACCAATTACAAACGGACCCTGGACGCATGATACAGACTGTAAGAGTTACCTTATAGATATACCTGTGTACGGCATGAATAAGTGAATGGCTAGTGGAATATGGTTTATTTTGTTTTTTTTTTTCAGTTGAAGATAAAAAGGAGAAAACATTAGAGAAGATCGTATCAGCTCAAGGGAAAGTGAGAAACGAAATTTCGGAGTTGAAAGACAAATTGCACCTTGCGAAGGAAACAATAGCAAAGTTCAAAGATGAAATTGCCAAATTACAGAACAATCCTGCATCAAATCTGCTGTCGGTTATGTGACGAAAGCATAAAGACTATTAGTTTACTGCAAGTTCTTAACTTAGGATCTCTTAGGAGTTAGGATAAAACTGTGGCATAGATAAACAGCAAAAATGGTACATTAAGGTGTGCTAAAGTAACCCACGGCTTACTAGTACAAGTATTCAATTTTAGTGACAAATATCTACATTAACAATAAATGTATGTATGTATAATTGAATACTTAATTAAGAGATAACCTTAAGTTAAAGTATCAGTTCGTATATATTATATCTTAAGGGGGATAAGGAAAATTTTATTAATGTGTCACTGAAATTTTACCTACTATTACTGTTATATTTTAAGTGATAACTTTTGTACAATATAATTAGCGACTGTTTATTTTATGTGTAATTACAATACTGTAAAATATATTTTTAAAGTAAGCTTTGAGTATGTTTTATTTACTATGCCCTTTAGAACAGTGGCATAATGCTTTTAAGCACTTGGGTTTGAAGACATATAATGAAATATATGAAAAGTTGTATAATTTGTGTTTTGTAATTGTGTTGTGTAATCTGTACATGTTAATTTTTTCAAATGTATATGCTAATTTAAACGCAAACGATAAATTGGAAATTATCATTGGTATTACATTTTAAGTCTGAGTGAATTTTAATTAATAAGTTAAAAATTTATTATAAGTTTGTTACTATATATATATTTTAAGGGGGTTTGCTAAAGTAGCTAAAAATTAAGTAGTTGTACTAAGACTTAGGCCTCAACTTTGTCTGACGCTATATTTTATTTAATTTTTATCTACTGTTTGTATATAATTTAAATTTATAAAAAAAGATCTTAACTGATGTCGGACAAGCACGAAACTGAATGCAGTATGCACGACCTAATTTCAGTTTTCATGCGATTTGTAGAATAGGTATATTTTGTACTATATTAGCTTTTGTAGAGGCAAAAAAGGTTATTGCTCATCAGTAGTTACACACGTTCTTCCTATTTATAGCCTTGTCAGCGACTTTGTCCGCGTATAATAGTTATTTTGGGCAACCAAATTTGTTTTTGCAGACCTCTTCATCTTTATAGATTTAAGCTGTTTTACCCACGACGTCGGTCGCGGCACTCTGCATGTCGGCGGTCTTTTAATTTTAACTTGCAAGAACATTAACTCGCGCATTTTTTTAGATGATTTAAAGAGAAATCATTCTTTCATACATATTTTTAGATATTATATTGAACCGTTTTTGCAATGTACGTCACGGAAACCCACAAGGATGCATAATTTTCCCAGTGCTTTTAAAACATTTCCCGCTGTTTTTTCGTTCATATTAGTCACAGCGCGATGTGTGCCTTCGGTAATGCTTTCACCAACACATTTTTTTAAAAATTCGAACTAGTCGTTCGTGAGATTTTTCAAACAAACTCTTCAGCTTTATATATTAGTATAGATACATACATTAGTGTAGTATATTTCACTTAGCGAAATAAAAATATTTCAGTAAAACGGCATACATATATTATACATACATACTCATGTAGTTAAGTACGTCGTGGGTTCGATTCTCGGTGAAAGATTGTTCAAATTTAGCATATTCTGTTGAACATAATAGATTTAGGCATACAGTGGCGTAACTATACCGTTCGAGGATCGTGGCAAATTCATCGAATGGGCCCTCCCACTTCCCCAATATATAAAGAAGCTGAACCAACTATTGAGATTTCCTCTGACCGGGGGCCCCTTCGGGCTGGGGACCCGTGGCATTTTGCCGACTTGCCACCCTATAGTTTCGCCACCGTAGGCATACATAACTAACACACATGAATGTGGATATTGACAATTTAATATATTTAATTGTTTTTTTTTATTAATAGTACTAGTTAAACCTTCGATCGCTCGTATGAAAAGAAATGTAAAAAACCATTCCATTTCTACGGAACAATATAATGCAAACACCCCAAGCCTAATTTGTGTGGGGGCTACCACTCACATCAATAGTTGATATTGAATTCGTCATAGTTATAAGCTAATGGCTCGCATATGACATATAATATAGGTATATGGGATTATATCGGTGATATAACTGCTAGAGACAGATTGGCCTAATAAAAACATGATTTTCAAAAATGCGCACTTAACTAAGGCAAAAATAAACTTTTACTATAATTTGTGTAAGAGTTATGTTAACAACTTTCGGCCACTGTGCTCTTGTAGACTATAAAAATATAAATAAATATAGTACATGAAATTTCAGTTACGCTATTAAGTGAATTGCGCATTTTTATTTTCCTTCCTATTGATAAAATCATGTTTTGTTGTTAGGCCACTCTGACTCTAGCAGGCTTATGTATCGTGGATAATATATAGGTCATATTAAATAACTGGTCAATGATAATTGCTCACTTTTCTTAAGACTAATCATATGTTACCTACCCGAAAATCTGGTTTGAAATTGGTGACGCCTGGCGAGTTTGAGATTTTGTATTTATATTTCTGTTTAGGTTTTGTTAATCAATCAATGAAAATAGAGATATTAAAAATATACACACTTTAATGAACATCGTCAACAATTCATTAGAAATTGAGCAAAACTTATTTGCGCTTTTGCATAACAGTAAACAAAGTCACATTTTAAAAGGAACACTTAGTCTAGCAGAATCAGAACCAACTATTTTCTTTATTTATTCTTTCCCGCTGTCGACCCTGCAATTCTAGGCTTTGAAATATCTCCGATAGCTTATTTAACTTTTCCGGTGGCCTCTTCGGCAACCGCTGCAGCCTGCAAGAGTCCTCTTCGTTCTTGCAAAGTGTGAACGTCTCTCTCTCTCTCAAACACAGGAGTTTACCATTCTCCCTCATGGACGTCAATTTAGCCACCTGTAATGCTGCGTTCTTGAACCTCGTCTTCGGCGACATTTTCGGCGCTTGCTTTGCAATTTGCTGAGTTTTCCTCAAGCAGTCCTTCCTTTCGATTCTCGGGGCGTTAAGGTAAGTGGGTGTGATGACATCATATGTGTTCTCTCTTAACAATTGTTGTGGTTTTTCTAAATTCTCCAAAGAAGTTCTCCGGAGCCCGTGTATTCTTAAAGGCGTTAACGGTTGGAGCACTTCGTGGAACTTGAGCGGTTTGTCCAAGTCTAGAAGGATGACCTTCGTCTTCTCTGACTTCTGGCCGATCGCTGGGAGGGGGTGGAAGGGGGATAGGCTCGGTTTGATCGGGATGTCGTTTTCCAGCATCCTCGTTTGTGCTGTTTTGTTTTTTCTCGTTTTAAGCTTCCGCGGCGCGTATATAGTGGTGAGGGCGCGCGTTTTGTTCGAGTCGATGGGCGCTAGTGGACCGGGCAGCATGTTTGCCGCCCTACGGCCACCCCTGACCTTGGGCGCCGTCGGAAACTATCGAATTCACTGCCCCAAAGCACCGGACACAACACGCAGCTGTGACGGCATCCACGCGATTGACGACACTTTTAATGTGCTTCGATTGGACAGCGATAAAATTTGATTACTTGAATTACAGTTTTTTGTATGCATTTCAGTAAATTGACAGGTTGATGTCAATTGATTTACTTTTTATTGTGTAAATGCCATGTCCGAATTAAAAATGCAGTCGCATTTTTTATGATCAACATTTTGGATAAAATATTTTATGAATATTTGTACGTAATTAATTAATTGCCTATTCAATATCCTTACATTAACTGGTAGAAAGAGATTAAATTAGTTAATAGGGATATTAAAAACTTGCCTATAACTTGATACATTATTAATCTTAAACTCATTAGCCTAATTTTATATTTACACATTAATGATAAATGTTATGTCTTTGTTTTTATGTTATGATATTTTAAAATACATTAGATATTAACCCACAGCACCAGAACTAAAATGGAGGATATTTAGATACTGTCTATAGTTTACGCGAGTAGTACACATTTAAATAAAACACTTTAACGGTTTACAACGCGATATATTAGTTGAACTTATTTCAAATAATAATAATTTATTTTCAAATAAGTTTAACTAATATATCGCGTTTTAAACCGTTAAAGTGGTTTATTTAAATGGAGGATATTTTCTTACTAAGTATATTATATTAATTATGTTGAATTGACATTGATAATATACCATCTAATATATTTATTTATAAAAAGCTTACCAACTACGTACATAATTAAATTTTCAGAATCTATAGGTACTTAGAGGCATGCACAACTTTTTATATTAAATGGAGATAAAAAAAAGTGTGAAGTAAAAATATAAACTAGAGATAAAAGGTAGGCGAGAAATAAAATAAAAAACTAATTAAAATGTATGGATGGTGAAATTATTTTTTAATACCAATTAATATTTTGTGGTATGGTGGCGGTAGTTGAAACTACCCGAGTACATGATAATTTTCCACGCTGACCATCGATGGTAAGTTCAAAAGCATAACGACCGTAATTATCCATCGATCCTAGTTAGTGACCTTCAGCTGTCGTTTATATTGTCGTCGGATTTTTTTTTGTCCATAATTGTATCAAAATATTCAAACACGAAATATATAAGATCGTGAAGTCGTGATAACTTTTATCTTTATGTTGTATGATTGTTCTGTTTATATAGTCAATGTAGATACTAGATCATTCTTAGATAAATTACATCGAGGCGTTCGGATTTGAAGAATATTGAAACAATTAATTAATTAAGTTGTTAGGACAATTGTCTTAGATCTCGTTTTTCTTAAATCTTTAGAAGAAAGTACAAACATGTCAAACCTACGACAAATAAATCATTTTGTAATCAATAATAAAAATATAGAATTATCTAGTTCAATAAGAAACTGTTATCATAATGGCATTATCTGTTTCACATATATTCAAAACTGCAATGTAAAAATAACTCTATTTTTTCAATAATAAAGTTCAAAAGAGAAAAACTAGGCTTGACAATCAATACTCATTCATTTAATTTTCCTCTCCCCGCGTCTTTCTGTACATTGCCAAAACTTCCTCTGTTGAGAGTATGACGTCACGTCGGATGATCTTATACAGAAGAGCGACAAGGAGTAAAAGAATGCGTTTATGGAGTAAGTACATGTCTATTGGAACAATTTGTATAGAATTGTTCAATTGAACGGGAAAATGTGATTTGTCACAAAGAGATAAATTTATTTTTAGTGCAGTAAGTAAAGAATACAAAGAAAAATATAAAACGTGATAGATCGTTTTGGTTCACACATTTTTTTACACAACAAGTGTCTTAGTGTAAAAAAGTTTTTGATGGTTACTGAAATATCCCAGCCACATAACATCTTAGTTGCGCTGTCAATCTTTTTTGGATTCGGATATTCGGCTATACGCAAATTTGAACCGACACCGTGATTCGTGACCGGGACGAAATTTCGATATCTTATTTTTATTATCCAAATTTTCAAATGAAGTCGAACATGTTTGACTCGGTGGGAATTGAACCCACAATCCCGTCAAAACAACAGAGCCGTGAATAAATATTGAAACAAACACACGAAAATATATTGCATAAAGCTATCCAGGGCCAGTTTTCATGTCAATGCCACACGATATGGCGTCACTGAATACGTAACAAAATAGTATCCGTAGAACAATTCTCACAGAAGCACGTGCTCGCGCACCAATTAAAAAGGAACGAAAAACAATATTAAAACATGCTTTAACTGAGAATTCAATATTCACCTCCGATCTGTGAAGGATATGACAACGATATTGTTCGTGTCCGTCCGTCCGTGTTTGAAATTATGTTGAAAAATTTCCGTGTTTAATATCATTGCTATTTCGGTGAGTATTTATTTAAATATAAAATAGATAGTATAATAATCTCGAAGGTAAAAGGAATTTGAGACATTGACAGTTGTCATTTTACGTAATCAGTTTATGGCGCGAAAAATATATCTATAACTCTCTACGCCCTACATCATGTTATGTTTACTTAAAGTAGATTGTCTTTGTTTTAAAATAATATAATAGTTTCAGTAATTAATAGTCATTATAGGGTAACAGATAAAGTTATTTTGCCTGATAATTAATTTCTAGATAACATTTTGTTTCAAACAGTGACTTATTTTGAGTGTGTATAAGTGGTCAAGAGAAAAAAGAGAAAAACGTATTCTCAGGATGTACCTATGGACAAAATTTCATTAAATGGCGAACTCCTCCGTTTTGAACTCTCCCCGTGACCACGGCTGCTGCAAAGCATCCGAAACGTCGGGCCGAAGTTAAAAATCATTTTCAAATAAGTTTAACTAATATATCGCGTTTTAAACCGTTAAAGTGTTTTATTTAAATGTGTACTACTCGCGTAAACTATAGACAGTAGTGTATAATTTGTTTGACCATTTTGTTGAAAGTTTTAGTCCTGACTTCTTTCGAGTTAATTTAAGCGATAGACATAAATTGTTTATCTTATAATGATCTAAATGAAAAATCACATTAAAATGATTGAATAAGAATTATTTTTTCATTAATATTTTTTGATTTCTCGATCCGTTTTCGCGGCGTACACAACAGAAACACAATAGAAAGAATGAACATTTTTTTTTCACATTTCCCTCTGTTATTTCAGTCCTATTATTTGCCTGACGTTTTATAGCCTAAAGCATTCTTCGATGCATGCTAGAACCAACACAAAAATATTTTTTCACTTCGAAACAGTAATCCCTAAGATTAGTGCGTTCAAACAAACAATATCTTCTCTCTTCAATTTTATAATATTAGTATAGATATACAATAAGTCTGGAATTCTGTTTAAACTTAATTGCAGTGTTACCTGATGTCACTTTCTTTTCAGTTATGGACTTCATAATCGGAGGTCTCGCTGGCGCTGGTGCCACGGTCTTCACGAACCCAATGGACGTTGTAAAGACCAGGCTCCAGCTTCAGGGCGAACTTCGTTCTAGAAAAGAACAGCCCAGACAGTACAGAGGCATATTCCACGGCCTCTATGTGATCGCGAAGGCAGATGGAGTACTGGCCCTCCAAAAAGGTCTTACGCCAGCGATGTTGTTTGGTTTTTGTATGAACTCGGTTAGGTAACGCCTTTATTACTGTTTTAATGATGTACTTATGTGTAGTTGAAATGATCATTTATGCGAGGATAAATCTCGCGTTACGTAACGCATTACGATGCATCTATTTTACTTCTCATTTCAATATTAAGCCTTAGAGCACTTTATACAAATAATAGTGAGACGAAACGTAATTTTGTTTCAATTTCAAAATCTACCTATAACTCAACGAGATGTGTCAAAAACTACAAAACTATGGAAAACTGACAAAATATCTTTAGTACAAGAAAAACATTTATTTATGTTACTTATAGAAATAACAATACATAGGATTATGAACGAAGCTTATTATAAAAAAATAAGATGTTAAGTCTCTTTCTCGTCCATTAAAATCTCGATTTTACATCAAATTATATTAATACAATAGTATTAACAGGAATACCTGGGTTCGAATCCAAGGGCAAGAATAAATTGTTACGGTCGGGTACGTCACAGAAGTCTATTCAACTATTTAACTGTAATAAACCCATCACTGAAACGGACACAGAAGTGTGTTCGCCCCATGCCCCACGAAGGGATATTACTAACTTAACTTAACTTATGGTGCAATAGATTGGCCACTTCGAAATCCACCTCCACTTCAAAAATAATGTAATTTTAGGCTAGGAACGTACCACGTAGCCGAAATCCAGGGTTGGACGAAAACAAAGGACGGCGGCACAAGTGTACAGAAGGCGGCCATATGGGCAAGCGCCAGCGGCCTTTTCAGCGGAGTCGCCGCTAACCCCATGTCTGTTGTGAAGACTAGAATGCAAGCAGCAGCGCATCCAAGCGTTGCGGTCGGCAGGCAGCATCAGTATAAAGGTTAAAAGAAGAGTTTCTTTGTTTATTAATCTCAGGAACTATTGGTTCGAATTAAAAAAAAAATTGTGTTAGAGTATTTCTCGAGGAAGGCTATAAAACATTGCGCTGTGACTAGTAGGAGCAAAGAAACATCGGGAAATGTGGAGAAAGCGAGGAAATTAGTCATCCTCGTTGCATACGCTGCAGAAACGGTTCCAATTATTCGGCTTTAAATGATCTAAAAAAAATGGATATGTCTAGCTAAATATTGACTTGCAAGAACGATAGGACAGGAGGTTTGCAAAAACAAATGTTGATGGCCAAAGTAACTATTCCACGTTTATAATTTGTTATAGTTTGATATATGGGCTATTCTAGTTAGTGCTTATAGAAGCTAACAAATGAACGACTTTAAGTTTTAAAGCTTCTTACACGCAACTCACGCGCAGCGAATTTATTTTCGTATCCGAAGTTTTTAAAATGGCTCGTTGTTGTAATGAAAGCAGAGTGCCATACTAATAGCCCATCAATCATGGGTTTGATCTCCACCGAGGCCAAAATATTCCTAATCTTTACTAATATATGATGCTGAAGAATTTGGTTGTTTGTTCGTTTGTTGGAACGCGCTAATCTCAGGAACTACGGGTTTGATTTGAAAAATTCTTTTTGTGTTGGTCAGAGTATTTACCGAAGAAAGATATAGGCTATACAACAGAAACAGCGGGAAATGTGGAAAAACGGGGCCCTAGATAACTAAGTCGCTGACGCACCTAGTCAATTTAAAATTTTTCTGAAACTTGTTGGACTTCGTCTAGACATCGTGAAAACATATAACATATTGAAACCGCAACGCGATATTTTATCGTTACATTATTACTTATCTTTTTAATAATCATTTGTGGGATAATTCTAATCAATATTTTTAAATTCTAAAATTATAATTCTAAACCAAACCACCTAAATAGTAATTTCGCAAATTGGTACAAGTCTTCGGTAGTATAGTGGTCAGTATCCCCGCCTGTCACGCGGGAGACCGGGGTTCGATTCCCCGCCGGAGAGATTTTTTTATTATTTTTACACATACATTGGTTTTTTGTATTATAAAATAGATGCCTTCCTATTGAAAAAAAAGTTAGCCATAAAAATAGTTAATTTTTCTCGCCCGGTCACACTTAATTAAATGTACTTTTTTATCGCCTTATCATATAAGTCTGGCTGTTAAACTTGACCTTGACAATTTTACTTAATCATTTATTCATTCGTTTTTATTTTTATCTTTTACATGGTTTGTTTCTGATCAACCACATCATACTTTAGGTAGTAGTTTATTTGGCCGCACTTAAAACACATTACAAGGGCTTTTTTCAATTAGTAACCAAATAAAATAAATGCTTGGCAGCTTAAAACATAATTGAATATGACAGATTGAAATACTGTATGTACGTTACGCGAGTACCTAATACCCATTTAAAGAAAACACTTTAACGGGTTTAAACCGCGATATATATTAGTTAAACTTTAGTTTAAAAGTGTCTCCCCGTGACCACGGTTGTTACAAAGCATCCGAAACATCGGGCCGTAGTTAAAATAATTTTCAACTAAGTTTAACTAAGTTATATCGCGTTTCAAACCGTTAGAGAGACATTTTTATTACAGAGCTTATTGTTTGCAGCGACACAAAACGTTGTAGATGACGCTCCCAGAATCATGGAATTTTTAAAATTAAAATGGCATTATAAAATCATCATTATTGATATTTTCTAGGTACCCTAGACGCAATGTATAAAATCTACAAGACCGAAGGTATACGTGGTTATTTCGCCGGAGTTCACGAAAAGGTGTATACTGGTCTTGATCAGTGTTACCGGAAGTTTGCATTTCAATGTGATATTGCCCATTCATTTTACTGACAATTATTAGTGGCTTGAAACCTGCCCGTTTCTTTTGCCGCTTAGCCTTTACTTCGGCGACAACGGATTGTGTCAATTTCGCCTTATTGAGCATTCTTAGGAGACGCTTTGATATGGCACCAGGTTTCCATCCATATTTGACCTATAAAATAAACATGATCTTTATTACAAGCATATTAAGCCACAAATAAAAAAAAAAAACAAAAAGTGCTAACCTTTCAACATAGCGAAATTCCCAATTATCCAAAAAAGTATACGGAGGATTCTAATAATTTATTACCATAATAACACTTAACCTTATCAAATAACGTTACAAGGTTTGACTTAGCACAATACCAAATAAACACAACAGGCATTAATCTTACACCAAATAAATTACATGGACACAGTCTTTTCGCCCCTTTTCAAAATTTCTGCGTCGCCACACTCTTAGCTGTTAATAAGAGAAGTCTTGCTTGCTGTTGTTTCTTCATGATTTCTGCATTAATAAACGAATGGAAACAAGGAACGTGGAAAGAACTTAAACTTATACCCCGTTTAGCCAGATCTTTTAATCTCTCCTTTGGTCTTACATTCCTATAATCTTTTAATCGGAAATATGTCTTATTCCCCTCGTCGTCTACAGCTATAATACCTTTATCCGATGGAGGTGAATGTCTACACTTTGTACGTTCTTCATAATAACTTCTAGAACGTTTGGCTTGCGGTATTTGCCGTTGTCGTTTCTTAGAAGGTGGCAAGCGGAAAATGGTAGACGGTTGTGGTATCTTTACGCTCTCACCGTGTGCAAGCATGTCCTTCAATGTTGAGAGTAGTAATTTCTTATCGTGACCGTGGCCTATTATTCCCAGTTGTGACAGTTCCTTCGCAGAAGCACCCCCAAAACAACTCCAACTTGCTTCAGATTTATAAGCAGCCATATCTTCTTTCTTGTCACCCGCTCCTGCACCTTTTTTCTCGGTATCCGGGCGTTTCCTCTGTGATGGCACACCTTTTGGTTTCGGATAAAATTTCCATCTCCCTTGAGTGTCGACGTATCCGTCTATACCGACGATCAGCCATTTATTGTTTGTTGTCTGAAATTTCCCTGCTGCACCCTCCACGGTTTCACCACTAGGCCCAATAAAGAAATTAGGAGCCCACCGACCATCCGGTGCTATATAACCGTCGACATTAATCGTTTGCCACTTTTTATCAGGACTCCAGAAGCCACCTAAATCACTACATTGTTGTCTACCATCTGGACCCTTAAAAAACCTGGGTACTGGGTTACCAAATCTGTCAATTAATTTTACTCTATAGTCTAAATAAGTGTACTGGGTACTATTATCTACTATAAGAATCTTTTTAGCTTTAAAAGTTGGTTTGAACGTAGCGCACGGTGGTGTGAATTCAACGATCCATTCATCAGAGTCTGTGTCAGATCCAATGGATCCACTTTCTTCCGAACATGAGCAAGATAGATTTAAATTGGTTCTATCAGCTGTTGGCAGAGCTGGATAACAAGTACATTCAGGATCTTCAGCATCAGGTAAAATTCCCAAGGCCTGCTGATATGTCTTCAAGCAAATCTCGCGACACATGTCTCTAAACGCACTTTGAATAAATTGTCGTTGGTCTCTCTCTAGCCTCCTTTGTTCACGTTCTTTTTTCTTCTGTCTTACTTTATTTTCTTCTTCTGTTCTGCCTATTGTATATGTGAGCACAGGTTTATCTTCATAAGGATGTTGATTTATAGTTCTCGGTTTGGTAAATGTCTTCATGGTTTCCATTGTTACTGTAAACTCGCCATCCTTCTTATGAACAATTAAAAGTGGACGAATTAAAGGTTTCTTTGCAACTTCTCTTCTTCTCTTTTTAGGCATTAGTACTTCACCAGGATTGCGCGCGATTCTAAGTAGCCGTACAACGTGTTTATTAGTTGCACCTGGTTTCCAACCAGGGCGAAACTAAAAAAAAAATAGAACATTAAAAAAATAAAAATAAATCTTTGTTGACTTTGAGATTCAATATTGTAGTTGAAACTTACCTTCACGCCTGGGATGTCTTCAGCAGTCCAAAGCCAACCCATTTTCTTTGGCACATTATTCAGCGTTCCAGTGCAGGGAAATGCACATCTACTGTGTCCAATCTGAGGGGCTAAAATTAAAAGCTTTAAAATCTTAATCCAACATTAGACGCCAAAGAATAAGATTACTATTAAATACGTACGTATACCTTTATAACCATAATTGAATTTAAATCTATCGTCTTTCTTTTTCTTCTTACTTTTTTTCGAATCTTTTTCGGATTCAACGCTTTTCTTTTCGGATACAGGAGCTGAAGTAGGACGTTTCTCGGAGGTCACCGCTTTTTGACTTGAAGTCACTTTCATCGCTTTTACGCTTACATCGTCGCCCTTCCTTTTACTCTCGCTTCCAGACGTGCTTAACGTTTTCAGTTTATTCTTATCAATAAGTTTGTGATAATATGGACATGGAAAGATTTCTTTAATCTTTTTACCTGATGATTCTTCACCAACCTTTTCGTATCCACCACATACTTTACAAAATGTGGTCTTTTTAGTAAAACCGAACGTGCATTCGCAAGAACAGAAGCAGGGTTCCGCACCGACTTTCATCTTAGCCGTAACGCCACCTACAACTTCTTCAACTGTTTCAGTTATTTCCTGTTGGACACAGCAATCATTTTGCATACTTGACAAATCGAGAAGAATGCGATCGTCTGTTGCTGGTGGTAGAACCCTATGCTTTTTATGATCACATTCGATCTGCTTACACTTGGCAATACTAATAAGTGGAGCAGCTTCTTCAGGCAAATCTAAAGTGCACGTACTCGCAGGGCAAGACCCTGATCTATTCTTCATAACTTGACACTCACTATCGCAAGGTTTAAATTTAAATTTAGCTTGTGAAGGATTTGACTTGTCAGAATTTTTGATAGAGGATTTGGACGTTGGATTTGACGAATCTTTCTCTACAGTGCAATAATTAACGCAATAGACTTGATTTCCAAATACAGCATTTGGATCACCAAATATGTATTTTGCGGGTTTGTGACACTTTTTTTCAATGACGGAATAAGATTTCGACTTTGTTAGTAATATTGTATGTTCAAAATTTTTACATTCTGTACATATTACTTTTTCTTTTTCTATAGATACTGCTCTTACTAACGGCTTTTCTACTTTGTCTTCTCGTAAAGTTGGTTCTTTTATAATAGCAGTTTTGTGCCTGGAATTACTTTTTGATTTCGTATTCTTCTTGATTGTTTTATTACCACTGTACGTCGTTTTAATTTTCCCGTGATTTCCGTCAAAATGTTTGTTCGCTCTATTAATCTGCTTACTCAATGTTCGTTTAATTGCAGTGTTACTGGCAAACGTGATGGGCGCCACACGAAATGTCTTATCACCAAAATACGTTAATTTAATATTTAGTTTCACCGTTGCTACTTTCTTGTGTGATGCTTCATCGTATATATTATTTAGACTTCGAACACTAACAGGAAGTAACTTATGAACTTTTTCTATGTTTGATAAATAGTTTATATATGTTTCATCCCACGGTACCTTCACAGATCCGAACTTTTGTGTTAAACTTTTATTCCATAATGATAAGTCCAATTTATTATTATGCATACCCTGCAGTAATTCTTGTGTGGCTATCGTTATTAATAGAGATTGGCCTGTTTTTATTTTAGTTGCAGATACTTTGTGCGAAGATGATGTGCATTTGACGCCACGTATTTTTGTGTTTCCTTTAAGTTTCTTTTTTATTAAATTGGCTGATTTATCTTGCGGATTATTCAAGGATATTTCAAAGACATCCTTGAAGTCTGCTTTTAAAGTTACTAGTCCACAATCGACGAAGCATCTAAATTTTTCAACGATAAGCTCAAATAAAAACATTGAATCCGAAGAAGTCATCTTTAATTTCTATAAATAATTCTAAAAATAATAAAAATATCCAAAAATAATATTAACTTGTAATTTCGATTGCCAAAAATAAATTGAATTGACGTTTTGCTTTCTCAATATATTTATCTAAGATTTGTTGGTGGCCAGTTTTGTAAAAAAAAACTATGCATACTAGCGAGACTATATTAGTTTTCGTACTCCACATAGGTAAATTTATTTATAACATATTTGCTCGTAAAGTGGTTGTTATTACACCAATTTCAATATCGTAATGTATCTCATTACGTATTTGTGCGATAATGTAATATAAAAGGCACGTGTTTTTTAAAATAAAGTTTCAAGATACTCCGTCTAAAAATGAACGATACTTTTAAAAATCTTAGCAAGGAGGTTTTATGTCATGAAAGTAGTCAATATTTTATGACTTTGGGAAATAAAATATAGCAAATAAATATTTAATTCTTTAATTTAATTAATTTTGACAGTAAATTACAACCATTTATCTATAACAAAAACACAAAAATATTAATTTATTATATTAGTGATACTAGCTGTTTTTGTTTTTGTACCTTTGCCTAAAAAAAAAACGTTGATGCGCGCGCATCGCTTATAACTGCTTTAACAATTAAAGATTTATTCGTTTAACTAAGTTAGAGTTTTATTAATTTCCTCGTAAATCTATACTATAATATTATAAAGAGGAAAGATTTGTATTTTTGTATGTAACGGGTAAACTCAAAAAGTACTAGACCGATTTTAATAATTCTTTTTTCATTAGAAGGCTACATGATCACTGAGTAACATAGGCTATATTTAGTACTCGATTACTATAGATATCTATAGAAATTCTTACTAAAACCAACGGAAGGCGTAAAAAAATTAGCCGAAAAATGTCTTTCTTCGCATACGCTGCGAAAAGTATTAATGATAGGACAAAAAAAAATGTTTGACAATATTTAGATTTTTTTTTAAACATTTTTATGCTTCACTTAAAAAGTTCTTTTCAAAGCTACTTAGTTTAGTATTAGGAATCATACTTTGCATAATATTTGCCAAAGTTCTTTTCAGAATTATCGCTTTGAACTTGAATATTTTCCTTTGTATTATTATTAGTTTATTCTTAATTTCTATGATTTAAAATAAATATTGAAGGATATTTATTTTAAATCATGCCTCGAAGAAGAAGGTCGCAACTATCTAAGAATAGTTCCCAAGCGTTATTAGTAAAGTTTGTCGTATGGAGAGTCTTCTTCCTAAAATGATCATCTGGAAAGTATTATAGTGTACGCGTCCCAATCGCAAGCCAGAGAATCTATCCTTGAATGTTCAGGTTCGTTTTGCAGAACAAAATGCAAGTTCGTCTCAGCGACTAGCAAATAGAGCTAGGAATTCGCGCACGCGTGCACGGGACTCTAACACTGAACTCTAATTTAGTGATTCGTGGTCGTTTTAATTAGCATGCTTATAATTTTAATATCTGTACTTATTTATGTCAACCCGTGCGAAGCCGGGACAGGGCCGCTAGTATGTTATAAAACGTCGTATGACATACGTGCGCTTTGAAAATTACAGCCTCTGCTTTTATATAGCCCTCGCCGATGGGTCAGGCTAGTAATATTGCCTCGGCTGTAATTTTCAACTTACCGCACTTATATCATAATGTACTATTACAGTCGTATTATATGTAATCCATAAATAAACATATTACTATCGACATTACAAAATCGACGGTGGAATAAATTAAATGTAACGTAAAATTAAAATAAGTTAAATGGGAAAACATTTATATTTGTTTTAATAAAAACATTAAAACCCGTTCGTAACAATTTTTTACATCAAATCTATGCGTTTTATTAAAAAAAAATGAAACATAAAACCCTTAGAACACTGAAATTGAACTATTATACTTGCACTTGTATTTAAAGGATGTTAAGACAACCATTAGAAGGATTAGTTTTATTCGCAATAGATATTATATCAGACAGATGGGATACAGTTTTTCGTGGTCGACCAAAAGTCGGGCATACGCCACTCTTTTTCTTTGGTGTATTCGACGCCCTACTGGTCTTCATCGGCGGTTTCACATCAAACATTAAATCGTCATACATTGAGAGATCCTTCATGATTTCTTTATATTTTGCTAGCGTTTTTGCCTCGATTTTACACTTGGGATACTCTTGTTGTGGCAGTCTGTACTTATCATAGTTAACTGAAGCGCTCATTACTAACGGTGTCTTTGCTTTGGATGAGTACGAGACGGTTTTTTTTGCTTTATCTATCCCTCTCTTGGGTGCTGGCTTTGTCGTGTCCTTGGCCTGCACACGCACATTGCCTTTTGGTTTTGCATCACCTGTACCTTTAGAGTATGGTTCGGGTCGCGCTGTTTTTCTCGAATCTACTGTAGTTCCAGTCACTGTAGATTTTGGACTTCTAGCACTTCTTCGCTTCGAATACCAGGCCCATTTCCCATCCTTATCTATGTACCCGTCTATTCCGATTTTTAATAGTTTACCACTGTTATCTGTAAAGAATCCCTCTTCGGCTGAGTAATACATTCCATCAGGACCAGTGAAGTTCATTGGAACCCATCTTATGTCTGGTCCAATGTAACCGTCCTTATTAATCTCCAACCACACGTGACCGGGGCCCCAAAAACCGCCCAAGTCACTGCATTCCTGTTTACCGTCAGGACCTTTGAAGTACCTAGGCACTTGATTGCCACTCTTGTCGAGCAATTTCACTTTATAGTCCAAATAGGTGTATTGAGTTTCGTTATCCATTAAAACCGGTGGATGCTTTGCTTTAGCATCATAACGAGCAGCTGGCGGCGAAAATTGTATTTCCCATTCATCTCCATCTGTATCACTACTTGATATGCTCCCCTCGTCTGAGCAAGAACAAGAATCTACAGGGGGGCTGATATTCTGCACACCACTTGTATGGCAGGGACAATCGGGGCTATTAGGGTCTGGAACGGGTAATAAACCTATGGCTTGATTGTAGGCTTTTAAACAGATCTCTTGACACTTATCTCTAAACGTAGATTGTAGTAAACGACTCTTTCTTCTTGTTTCTCGGCGTTCTCTTCTCTCGCGTTGTTTTCTAATTTTCATTTTTTCTTCTTCTGTTTTGCCTATTGTATACACAATGGGTAGTTTATCTTCATATGGATTTTGGAACAAAAGACGCTCTTTTGAATACTTTTTAAATACTTCCATTTGAACGGTGTACTCTCCATCTTCTTTTTTAACTATCAAGGTGGGCTTAATGTCGGTCTTTTTTTTTCTCTGCATCATGGCACGTTTCTTTTTGGCTACCACATCCACACCTTCGAGTAGTGCTCTGTATCTTCTGACTAGTATTTTATTAGCTGCGCCAGGTTTCCACATAGGACGTGGCTGAAAGTAAATTATGATATAAGTTTTAAATAAAAATGACTTTTACTTTCGAAGATACACATTTTAAAATAATAACACGATAGACAGTATCAATGATTTTTTATTTTGTATCAATTCAATACAAGCACTTCAGTAACAAAAAAATATTTCAAATGGTCCGAAGAAACATCGTGTTATCCCTTTATTTACATACTTAAGGTCATCTGAAATAAGAAAACGATATGATTTTAAAGTACAAAGTTATAAAATAAAACAAAAACAAAATTGAAATTATGAGTAGAAAATTAAATTGTTAAAATTAAAGAAATAAGCACTTACCAAAAAATATATTAGGAACTTCAGTCAATTGACAAAGAAGTAGTTGATAAAACACTTCACTTCGAAGATGATAATAATTAGTTTTTTAATATCAACATTCGTATTAATTTTCGCAAATCGCAAAAAATATCACTAAAATCAGAGATATAACATATAAACATTCGGCATAAGTTAAAAAGTAATAACAACCTTCATTCCAGGAATGTCTTCTGCGGTCCAATTCCACCCCATGTTCTTTGGGACTGGTGGATAAGGGTACTTAATTTCAGGCTTTTTTTCTACCGGTACTAATTGCGCCGCTGTAACAAAAACCGTTCAAAAATTTAAAACGTTATTGTAACAAGACTCAGCCCTGTGTACTTTGCAAATGTTCGCGCCAAAAATAACCTACTCGATTCGGGTACATTTGCCGTAAATTTTCCGACTTTCTTTTTCTCTTCTTTACTTTTTTTTACCTTTTCCGCACTTTTTTCTTTCTTATCTGATTTTCTATCTATAGATTTCATAGAACGTGATACGGTGAGTCTTTTTTCCCCAGATGCAAGCTTTGAACCAGTAGTTCTTGAACTTTTATTACTAACAGTGTCAGGTTGTTTTAAATTAGGATCTTCGTCTGGCCAAGGACTTTTTGTTTTAATATATTTCTTATCATATAATTTATGGTAAACGGGACATGGATGGGGTCTTGCATACTCTGGCATTTCTTTTACATCTTCACCCAGACATTCGTAACCTCCACAGACAGCACAATACGTGGTGTTTTTATTAAACTTAAAAGTACATACACAGTCGCAATAACACGGGTCATCGTCTTCAACTTTTCTCTTTTTCTTACTCATAACACCGTCTACTATGAAATCTTTCACTTTTTCTGCAACATCGCACGTTTTCACGCAGCATGGATTGTGTATGTCTTCCAAATTGATTTCTATGTCACTATCTGCAGGACTGGGTGGGAACGCCCCTATCACCGGACACTCGGGTTCTTTACATTTATCATCACCGCCGTCAACATGTTCTTCGCTCCTTTTATTTAATGTAGAGCAAGTAGTTTTTGAACAAGATACTTTTTCTGACGTTTTAGCGCTAGGGCAGTCGGTGGAACAATATTTAAACTTTGAAGACTTATCAGTATCAGTTGGGGGTGAACTTGTCCCGGAACTTTTTTCAAAATCATGCTCGACTGTGAAATAATAGACGTCGTATATTTTTTGAACATTCTTATGTGGACACGCTTCACCATCACAACGACTAGCATCGCTGTCACTGTTTTCGCAGTCTTTGCTACAAGCTTCGTCACACACCTCTTCTTTCTTGGTTAAAGCTTCTTGCATTTGTTTGATGCAAGCGCATTGTGTTGATAAGCCCTCCAAATTACTACCTTGGCTAAATACTCCCTCGTGCCGTAAGAACTGTTGGATTTTTTCAGCAAGAGTACATTTATTGCTGCCACATGGTCCTATGATATCATTTATATCTATTTCCATATTATCTTCTTCCACCAGCTTCTCAATATATGCTCTCAGATCTCTAGCTATTCGACAGTCTGGTTTGCCACAAGGGCCTCTTATATTAGCTATGTCAAAGGTTGCAGCCCTAGATCCTTCTGGTTTTTTTCCAGCATTAATGCACATTGGGCATGGGTCGGACTGCACGTGTTTCTTAAATCTTTCAGCGAACTGCCCTTCAGGCCAATTTGTTTCTTTGCAGTAACATAGTCTGTCTATATCGGTCGCTTTGACTCGCGGCTTTATAGATGGACGAGGTGTCAACATTCTCATGTTATCATTACAGGAGACAATAATTTTCCGAACATAATCTATAATGTAATCAATATTTGGACACGTTTCTGGCGCTTTGTATATTGATTCTGGGGCTTTATCCGCGTGACTCATACAACAATAGTCTCCTTCGTTAAAGAATGTGAGATTAGCACCAGGTGCATTTTTAAAGTCAGCGTATACAATTTTGGCGGGCTTTGGTTTATCGACAATGTAATTGTTTTCCACTTTGTTACAGTTTTCTTCGAAATCTTCGTCCGTCGTTTTCATAGTACACATGTAGGAAGTAGTTTTTGAATTGAGTCCCGTATACAGAACTTTTTTTACTAATGGATCTTCAGATAGCGTACGAAAGCAAGTTGTAACTTTATCAGTGAGGTATGTTAATTTTACTTGTATTGATATTTTCGTCATCAACTTTGCGGTTCCTTCCTCAAATATGTTATATTCTTCGTTTAAAGTGACTGGAGGTGGTTCTTCAGAATTACAAATCTTTTCTAAATAAGTATAGAATTTAGGGTCCCATGGGACATATGTGGTTCCAATATAAGAAAAATTGTCTTCTCTACTCCACAAAGACAATTCTAATGGAAATTTTTTCATAGACTGAATCAAGAACTCTGCACTACTAGTGAATAATACTGACTGTCCGGATTGTATCACAGGTTCGGGTGGTGGGGCTTCTTCTTTTCCCTTTTTCCCCTTTTTGGGTGGTTTTGGTTTTTTTCCCTTCTTCCCCGGCGGCTCGGGTGGTAGAGGAGGAGGTTCAGGCATAACAATGTGCATCTGTTTAGGGTCTTTCAACTCTAAAGAAAATATATCGGCAAACTCGCTTTTTATCATCATCTGTCGACTTTCCACCAAACTTTTTACATTTTCAACAACTACTTCGAATAAAAACATCGCCGTAGATACTGCCATTTTTGTGTTTTTTTCCTAATTTTTCTTTCAATAAAACTAGAAATTTTTACATGTTTGATAAAATTACTATTTTTTTAATAATAATAGTATATTTGACTGACGAACAAGTAAATAAAAATAATACCTTTTTGTTACACGCCAGTAGCATAAGATATAATGAAAATTTCATAGTAAAGTAGATATGAGAGGAATCTAATATTACTTGTAACAAATACGTTTTAATATTTAAAATTATTAACGAACATTCAACAGCGTGTCGTTGTTTTAATAACAACTAAAACTAATGGTTCTTAGTACTTCATACTAAGTTACCAATTCAGTCTGTGTCGTGTCATATGTGAATGCATGACATTGAGAGCTTCAAACTTAGAAAGAAACTGTCACTCGTGACCACAGTTGTTTTGTCGTTTTGACTTCATGAATTGTTCTCAATTTGCTTGCGAGAATTTGAATTTGAACCTTGTTACGAAACGAAAATTTGCGCATAAATAAAACAATCTATTATCTAATATATAGTGGAATTTTTCACTGAGGTGCGAAAATTATACTTAGTTATGATAGTGAGATGATACCAATTTACACACTTCTTACGTCAGGTAAGTAAAGTAATACGATGTATTTACTTTAAAAATAGTATTTCCTTAAAATTCAGTAAAATTTTAAGTAAATAACATTCGAGACAAACATTTATCTTTATTCGGTATTCATAATTGTTCATAGAATGTATTGTTTGTGTTATATATTGTAAATATTTTATTTTTTTAAATACTCCAGTAAGTAAACAAATATAACCTTTGCACCTAGTAAGTAAAATTTTAATAACCTGCATATTGTTTTCACATTTTTATTTTAAACATGTGTTAATACTTCAATACACAATATATGATGCAACTTATAAATAATTTAACAAAAGAAAATGTTTACTTTGAAAATTAAAATTAATTTTCCTCATATTTTATTTGCAGTAATATGGATTTCCTAATTGGTGGATTAGCTGGTGTTGGTGCTGGGTTCTTCAGCAACCCCTTTGATGTAGTAAAAACGCGGATGCAATTGCAAGGGGAGCTCCGTGCCAAGGGCCAGCATGCGGTTCACTATAAGAACATACCACATGCAATCTTAACGATTGTAAAACATGATGGTATGGGTGCGTTACAGAAGGGGCTTGCACCTGCATTGTGGTTTCAACTGGTAGTTAATGGGGTAAGGTATGTTACTTGTAGTAGAACAGTTAGAGAATTTCTATACAAATTCAATTAATTTGCTTCATCTAGGGTACGGGATTTATGAATAAGCATTTTAAATGCTTATTTATTGTTTTAACTTATTTCTAGGTTGGGAATATACCAGCAGGCTGATAATTATGGTCTACTACGAGATGAAAAAAATAATACCAAATTTGTCAATAGTGTATTCTTTGGGTGTGTATCTGGAATGTGTGGTGGATTTATGGGTAGTCCCTTGCAACTTGTTAAGACCCAGCTAATGTCATATTCGGCTAAGCAAATAGCTGTCGGCACACAGCATGCCCACCCAGGTATGTTGGATGCAATGTCCAAAATTTATGGGAAGAATGGATTAGGTGGGCTGTGGCGGGGTGCCCATGGAATGATGTTGAGGAATTCCACAGGTTCAGCTTCTCAAATTGTCGCATATGCCATGTAAGTATTTCATGTCACTTGTGTTCTCAATCATTTTGTAAATAAGATTAAATTGTTGTCATACTGATAACTATATTTAATTTAGCATATTTTGAGGAATTTCATGAAATTTGGTGTAGCAATAAATGAAATTATATACATGATTATACATTATTCATGCAGACTTGGAGATTCTGTAAAACAAACTCTATAAAATTAAAAAGCTATAATTAGAATTCTTGGTTTCCAGGTGTAAAGAATGGATTGATGACAATAATATGTTCCAACAGTCGAGGTACCTTTCTGCATTTATAGCGAGTAACATTGGTGCCATTGTTAAAACTATAACTTTGACACCCATGGATGTTATTATGACCAGACTTTACAATCAAGGTAATAAACATCACATCCTATTGTAAAACCTTATAAGAAAAATATAATTCAGAAATAGGCAAAGATGGTTTATGACTGTAGTATGTTATGTACCATTTATAGCATTGTTGAGCAAGCAAAACTTTGTCAACGAAAATTTTACAGTTATAGATTCGAATTCCATTGCAGTCAGTTTTTTAAATGCGCTAATTGACTGTTACTTAAGAAATTCGAAGGATTTATTTACTTTCTATAAATATAAAATGCCTTTTAAACCAGATATCGCAAGATGAGGTATCTCCTTGATTAGAACTGAAGAAAGAAATTATTGTTATTCAAGCTGTGTGTGTGTTTTATGAAATTTGAGTTGGATAACCTAAAAAGCTCTCTACCAGGAGAAGAAGGGGAAATGGGTGAAATAGTCAACTGATGGTGTGGACTAATCACCTGGCCTACTATGGGTGTCCCTGATAGGAAATAATAATTATAATACATAAAATTTGCTATTTGGATAGTATTAACAAGTCATGTATTTTATTTCAGCTGTGGACTCAGAAGGCCGGGGTTTGTTATACACAGGCTTGGTGGACTGTGCAAAAAAAATTACAAAAACGGAAGGGCTGTTAGCATTTTACAAAGGTTTCGGGCCATCTTACTTCCGCCAGGCGCCACATTCAGTCCTATTGCTTGTGTTTTGGGATATGCTGAAGGATGTTCAGAAAAGTTATCAATCTTTGAAAGCTTGATAGTGTTTTTTTCTTAACTGGACCTCTACAATCATATTTTATTTTATTGACCATTATTGCTATCATAAATCTTGCACCAAAGGTACTTTTATAAATAGAATAATGTATATTGTTATATGGTCAAAGACTATATTTTTATGAGATAAGTCAATAGTAGTGAATGTATCATAGTTATTGGAAAAAGTACATATACACAGTACTTCTATTTTCAATGTAAAGTTTTCATGTAGAGAAGTGCAATAGGCTCCATAACCTTTAATAAACATCCATGCTTTTAAGGGCATGTCTATGCCATCTATTGTATACATGTTTGAGTAATGTGAACATTATAAAAGTGTTATATGGAAAACATTAAGAGAATAGATGTAAATTTACTTTATATATTTATTTATATATCAATATATTTTGTATGTCCGAATGATTATCATAAGTATAAAATACTTGTTATTAGATTTTAGATAACGAACATCAGTATTATAATGTTAATTACAGCAAGCCTTAATATATAGGCCAGTATACCTAAAGTATATTTTTACCATATTCTGTTTCTTGAATAAAGATGTTATCATTAACTATGTTTCATTTCACAAGGATGTTATTTATAATTCCATTGGTTATTTGTCTTCATTACAAACTTTTTTACATTACATATTTTACAAGGAATATGTGGTAGATATACTAGATGACCTAGTGTTTACAAGGCTTTTGGCTAAAAGACTTGCCATTAAGTGTCCTATTTTTTTTAGTTTAAACATTGACACATGTGATAAGGAAATAAACAAACAAGTACGTCTGAAACTCAAAAAACTTTCTTTTTTATTACTTTGTCTTGTGACAAATGACATGGATGTAAGCCATGGATTTAATATGCCACTAATGGGAAGAAGAATTCAAATAACTGTTATTTATTAAAGTCAACATTTTTATCTAAGACAAACACCAAAATAAAAAATAATAATTCGGCTAATACACGTGCCTGAATATAACTTGTGTTTTCCTATTGTTAAAAGTGGGTATGTCCTTAATATAAACTAGAAAATAAGTGACTACTGTAGTCTTGGAAATTATTTGTTATTAATTACATCCACTGCTATTGGATTGTCCAAGAAGTTAAAACCAAATGTAACTTTCGTGTTCTTTACATTAAATCTGGTCTTATACTTACTTTTTTAGTTTTCGCGAGTAGGACACATACAAATACAACACTTTTTAACGGTTTAAAACGCAAAATGTATTCGTAAAACTTACTTACAATTTATTTTACATCCGCATAAGTAATAGGATAATAAAATCATTAAATTGCGATATTCTTGTATAATACAATTCGTAATTTGGTAAAGCATAGTTTGAATTTACTAAATGGCAAATTCCATGCTAAACTTAACACCTTTGCACTCCATATGTTTAGTAGATAAGTTTATATTTGTGTTCATTTTTTTGTGCAATAAAGTGTAAATAAATAAATAAAAAAATTACTTGCTACTTTGGATTTATTTTGTAATATTTGTTATTTCGTATTTTATGTAGTTTATGTTGGTGGCGATAAATGAATACGCATTAGAAATGAAAACGTTCTCTAAGAATCTGCAATAATTTTAAAGCTACCTCGCTCTTAATACATGGCCCACATTCCGAAGTGCATACGAAAAAAAAATTACTACATACTATTTATACTCTGCGGTAATCTTACAACTAAGAACTTGATATCGAAGCAATGAACATATTTACTGAGTGACAGCTTGGCGGGAATTTGAAAAAGGGCGGTCGACTATTTTTCTTTAGCACAAATTAATTTAATGTTTTAGTATTTCTTTGTTCAAAATAGCATAAATACATTATTCATATAGAGTGTTATCAGTAAAAATGGAGGTGGGCGTGGATAGCCCGCCCACCTCCAAAAAAAGACCACGACGGCCTGATGATCACCAGAACGGATCTGGTCTTGGCGGCGGAGGTGGTGAGAAAGACTTTTTGCCATATTTTAAACCAAACTATAAAAGACTTTATTCTGAAAATAGTATAAACACAGAATTCAAAGTTTTTATTGAAAACAAAAACGGACAAGATAAAATAGGAAATAAAAGTCCAGTTTATTTGAACCATATATTTTCGAATATAAAAGGAGTTGTAGCGATCAGACGAATCAATGCCAACAAAATTATAGTGATTTTTAAACAACACAATACAGCAAATAATTTTTTAAACAATAACAGCTTCCTTGAAAGCCACGACTTGAAAGCATACATACCAGCAGCCCAAATAGAGAAAACAGGTATTATAAGATTTGTTCCTGCAACCATATCAAACAAAGAGTTATTTAATAAATTGACATGTACACTTGAAATAATAGCAGTCAGGAGATTCATGAAAAAAGTTGGTAATGAATTGATACCAACTCAAACTGTTAGCATCACATTTTTATCTAACTTTTTACCAGAGAGTGCGCAATACGATTTATTTTCATACAGAGTTTTTGATTATGTCCCCCCTCTCCAACAATGTTACAAATGTTTTAAATTCAACCATCATGCAAAAATTTGTAATGGCAAACAGCGGTGCTCTATTTGTTCCCAAGAACATTTTTATAAGGAATGTCCCAAACCAAATGAGATTTGCTGCGTAAACTGCAGTGGACCTCATTTGGCTATCTCGAAACTATGTCCCATTAAAATGAAAAAAATTGTGGATAAGAAAAATAAAATTACATATGCAAGTGTTGCCAATTCAAAATTAAATATTGATTTTCCCCCTCTGCCAGTATGCTCCATACCTGTAAATAAAAATGATAATACTATTAATGTAAATAATACTGTATCTAAGAATATAAATAATTCTCTATCTAAAAATGTAAATAAATCTATAATAAGTAAGCCAGTTTCACAGGCTAGTAACATTAAGTCTCAAATAATTGAGAACAGTGAAGTACTTATGGCCCTGGTACATACACTTGTTCAAATTGGAAACAAAACAGACGACACTCCTATAACAACAACATTTATCAAAGATATACTTATTAAAAATTTGCCAAGTTAATGGAGAACCAATCTGTCATGTCATCCTCTTTGCGCCTTGCGCAATTTAATGTTCAAGGCGCAAACAACAAAAAACCTTTACTTACTAAATTTTTAAATGAAAATGATATTGATATTTGTTTACTAAATGAGACGTGGTTAAAAGACAATCAGTCTTTTTACATTTCGGGTTATAACTTTTACAGTAAAAATTCTAAAAACCCTCGTAATGGTGTTGGAATATTAATAAAACCAAATATAAAGCATAGTATTTTAAATACTGTGTTTTTAGAAGATATACAAACAATAGCTTTAAGTGTCAGTACCGGTAATACCTCTTTGTCAATTCTTTGTGTATATTGTCCTCCTTCTAATGGACACATAAGAATGCATAGATTACATAATATTTTAAGAGATTTGCCAAAACCGATTTTTATAAGTGGTGATTTTAATGCACACCACATTGCCTTTGGATGTTTATCCACTAAAAGTCGAGGTCAAAACTTATATGACATTATAGATGATTGTGGTTTATGCATTTTAAACGATGGTAGCTTTACAACGGTTAATTATCCTAGACATAATCCCTCAGCAATAGATGTAAGTTTTATAAGTCCCCAGTTGGCTCCATTCTGTGAATGGTCAGTATATGATGATGCTATGGGTAGTTACCACTACCCAACTATCACAAATATTACTATAAACCCTGAAAGATATACACTAATATATGGTACAGAAAAATTTTTGTATAATAAAACAGATTGGAATAAATATGCAGAAGTCTCTAATAAAGTCTTCCAAGACATGATAGTTAGTAAAGAGAATCCAGTTGCCTCTTATGAGGAGTTTTGTAACAGACTTAATAAGCTTAAACAAATGTGTGTTCCTAAATTTACTAAAACCAACTTTAGAGGCAGACCACCAGCGCCCTGGTGGAATAGTACATGTGAAGAGGCTGTTATAAAATCTTACAACGCACTTAAACTTTATAGAAACGATCCCACGGTAGATAATTATATAAATTATAAAAGACTAGACGCGCTAAAGAAACGCACTATAAAGGAGCAAAAACGAATTAGTTGGAATAGTTACTGTAACAGCTTTAATAGAACTACTCCTATTAGTCAAATTTGGAATCTCATTAAAAAGTTTAAGGGTGTCAGAACTGGTAATAAGTCGTATAGGGATGATTTTGTGCAACCATTCTTAGACAAACTATCTGATAATACAAATTTAGTAAACTCCAATTCATTAAATGATTATTTTATATCTAACAATGAAAACCCTCAATCAAGATTTCTTTTAGAACCTTTTTCATGGTCCGAATTTATAACGAGTTTACAATCCCGTAAAAATACTAGTCCCGGTTTAGATGACTTTCCCTATTTATTAATAACATATTTACCTGAATCCATAAAATTAATATTTTTAAATGTACTTAACAGTCTCTGGTATAAGAAGTTAATTCCAACATCATGGAAGACTCAATGTGTTATTCCAATTCTTAAACCAGATAAATCACCAGAAAATGCAAGTTCTTATCGTCCAATCTCACTATCATCATGTCTTGGTAAGATATTTGAAAACATGTTGAAGACTCGCCTCGACTGGTATGCGGAATCAAATACTATCATCCCTCACATTCAATATGGATTTCGTAAAGGAAGAAGCTGTGCAGACAGCTTTATTTCTCTAACAAATGATCTGAAAAATGCGAAAAATAATAAGATACATACAGTTTGCGTATTTTTAGATGTCCAAGGGGCCTTTGATAGTGTAGATCCTGGCATACTGGTCAAGGTACTAAGTAATGCTGGGATACCAGGAGAATTGTGTAAATGGATCTATGATTTTCTAAGTAATAGAGTTCTATATGTTAGGCATAACAATGTTCTACATGGACCCAGAATTGCCTCAAAAGGTACCATGCAAGGTGCAACTTTGTCACCATTGTTATATAACTTGTACACATGTGAAATATGTAAATATGTAGATACCAAAAATGTAAATATACTTCAGTTTGCTGATGATTTAGTTTTATACAGTTCGGATTTAAACTTAACATTAGCTGTAGAAAAAGTAAATACTGGATTAAGACAACTGAATAACTATTACCAGCACAGACTAAACTTAAAAGTAAATACTATGAAAAGTAATGTCATGATATTTGGAAAAGACCTACCAATGATAAATGTTACTTACAATGGTGATGTTATACAACAAGTAAGGTCACATAAATTTTTAGGTGTTATCATTGACCAAAGACTTACCTTTGAAGAACAAATTAAATATATATCTAAAAATGCATTAAATGGTCTTAATATTTTGAAATGCTTAGCAGGTGTTACATGGGGTGCAGATCCTAAAATACTTTCAGTCTTATATAAATCTATTGTTAGGAGTCATTTTGACTATAGTTATTTAGTCTATTTAAATAGTACTCATATCCAAAAATTAGATGTAATACAGAACAGAGCTTTAAGGGTCATATCAGGGGCTATGTGTTCAACTCCCATAAGGGCCATGGAAGTTGAAACAAATATTATGCCTTTGGTTTTGAGAAGATTTATGCTTGCACAAAGATATTGCCTTAAATTATGCTCATCAAACAATTTACAAATTATAAATAAAATTAAACCTCACCCAATGACTATTGATAGTCCTCTTTTTTCTGCTATAAATCTTCTTAGAAACATATCTCCAACTTTATGCCAAATTTTGTTAGACATACAGTCTCAATATTCAAACATTTGTAGGTACTCTCACTGGCCATGTTACACTCATTCATACGCCAGTATAATGCATCCAATAGTAGTTTTTTCAATGATAATCAATAATAACACAGACTTTATTTGCTTCCTAGAAGGAAATAATAGTTATTATACAATGTATACTGATGGCAGCAAAGGTAATACTTATGTTAGATGTGCAATATATGATCCACAAAAAAAATATACTCAGAGCTTTGTACTTAATGAACATTGTTCCATATATACGGCAGAGGCATATGCAGTTTTTGAGGCTTTAAAATTCATCACACATATTGATACTTGTAAACATTTTTTAATTTTAACAGATTCTTTGAGTCTTATAGAAAGCCTCAAACATATAAGTCTTAATTTTAAAACCAACTATATAATTTATTATATCAAAGATTATGTGTGGCAGTTACATAATAAAGGAATAACAGTTGCCTTTATGTGGGTTCCTTCCCATAAGGGTATTTCTGGTAATGAAATAGCTGACAAGACTGCATATGAAGGAATCAATGCTAAGAACGTTAGAAATGTGGTGTCCGTTCCTATGACTGACTATTATAACGATGTAAATATCTCCTTAAAAGATATGTGGCTAAAGTTCTGGAAAGAAGATCAAAAATGTAAAGGAAAATGGTATGGAACTATACAAGAAAATTTACCAAACAAACCCTGGTATCACGAGCTCGACGTAGCTAGTCGTGAATTTATCACTACAATTAACAGATTGAGATTTGGTCACAATGCCGCACCCGCACATCTTGCGAGGTTCAATATAATAAATAGCAATATTTGCAACTACTGTGACGAAGAAGGAGACATCAAACACATATTTTTTAAGTGTCAAAACCCTATGTTTATTTTTCATAGACTTATATTGGCAAGTGATGTTATAGAAGCTAGTGAAACCTCCCGCCGCCAGTTGTGTAATTTACTTAAAAACAAAAAGTGTTATAGTGCGTTATACAAATACATTAAAAACACTATAGGGTCCATATAAGAAGAAAAGTGTGAAGTGAAAATAAGACTTGGCTTAAAGGTCTCGTTACCAGGCCATTAAATATTATTAAAAAAAAAAAAAAAATGAAAGAAAAAAAAAAAAAAAAAAAAAAATTATTTTTTTTCATTATGTAAACAAACAAATATTGAAATAATGATAACTATAATTTCCCGTTTGTAAAATGTGGTTATTTTTTTAAAAAAAAGTACCTTTTATTGTTGTCTAAATCAGAATACTATAGTAATGCTCTGATGAAATTCGCACGAGATGTATTTGTGTGATCGACAATGTTATGTATAGATAATTGTTGTTTTAATTAATAAACAATGAAGCGCTTAATTAAAGAGTGGTAAGCTCAATTTAACATCGATTAAGGTTACCTTAATTTATTAATTGTAGCAAAATCATCAATCATCCTTATTTTACAACTGAATTCTTAAGGTATCAGTATACTGTAAGATTTAACTTTTATAAATGGCTGTGGAAACCACAAACAATGGAGTTATTCGAGACATCACAGACCTGGTTATGGGTGGCACATCGGCTATGTTTGCAACTGTATTCACGAATCCCATAGAAGTTGTAAAAACAAGACTACAACTGCAAGGAGAGCTCGCTTCAAAGGGAAAACACACTGTTTTTTATAAAAATGTCCCTCATGCTCTTTATGTTATAGCTAGAAGCGAGGGTCTGGTAACATTGCAGAGTGGATTACCAGCAATGATGGGATTTCAGTTCTTTTTAAATACATTTAGGTAAGTTTTTAAGCGATTCCATATTTAGTTTGATAAAGAATTAAGAAGAATTTTTAAGTAGTCCATAAAGATTATATCTATTTTATACATTTAGTTGCTTAGATATAACAATTCTTAAGTAATTTTTAACACAGACAAAGTTGCTGCTTTAAATATACTTTGGATTTTGACTTATACAAAGGGTGACCTTGACAAATGTATATTTTATTTACACCCAGTCAATTAGTAGAAATGTTTGTAATAACATCAAGCGTAGACGTTGGAATCACCTAATGTTCCATAGGAACTTTGATAAGTAGTTTATAAGTAAATTTCTATGACTATTCCTATGATAGCTTTTACTTTAGCAAGTAGATGACCATTTCTGTCTTACTTAAAATCATCAATCGTGCTGTTTCATTGTAATCCTTGATCTGCAAGGTTTCAGTTGCTTTACTAAAGATGTTTAAATTCATATGAATGGGTATTATAACTATGCTTTTTGTTTTTGGATAGGTTGGGTGTGTACCGTATATCTGAACGGCGTGGTATTACCACAAACAAAGATGGCCGAACATCTCTATTTAAGAGAGCCTTAGCTGCTGGGGCTGGTGGAGCTTTAGGATCCATAGCAGGGACACCCTTCTTCCTGGTTAAGACGAGATTACAAGCTCAAGCTGCACAAGCAATTGCTGTAGGACATCAGCATAAACATAGTGGCACTTGGAACGCATTGTCCGATGTTTATCAAAGAGAAGGTGTAAAAGGTATGCTTATTATAGAACTGTACCCACAGTGTAGTTGTTCTTTATGGTCTACATGGTACAATTTTTCTTACTAGGCAAAAAAATCTTAAAACCTAAAATACGTTATGTATTGCCATTACATAGCTCTTCTTTTCCAGGTCTCTTTCGCGGTGTGGGGCCGCAAATACCTCGTGGTGCTATAGGCAGTAGTTCACAAATGGTCAGCTTTGCATATGCAAAAGAATGGCTGACAGATCACAACTTATGCAAGTCTCCGCTTCTTCTTTCATTCATGGGAGCTAATTTAGGAGGAATTGTTATGACACTCTGTTTGAATCCTTTTGATGTGATTGCTACTAGACTTTCCAATCAACGTGAGTTGAAAATCAGCTATTACAAGTAAAACTTTGCGTGAGTTGAAGAAATTTGATGATGACCTGCGTTAATATAGTGCCATCATGTACAATAGACATCGACATTCGACGAGCTCGTTGGTGTATTGGTGTCAACGTGTCGTGGGTTCGATCCCCACTGGGCCCAACATTTTTCTAATAAATTTATAATTTTTCTGAAACATCTTGGACTTCTGGAAATCTAGATATTAAATTGATGGTAGGAACAGAAATTGCGTCTGGATCACAAAGTACCAACCACACGTGAAAAATCCGTGAAGTTTAATCAAGTTTCGGTTTCAGTCTGTGGATTTCCGAATATCCAAAGCCAAAATAGGTCGATAGCTTATCTTGTTTAGACGGTAAAGGCTGGGGTACTTCGCTTGCTTTCAATTCTAACCCAAAGTCTTCTGAAAACTTGTTGAAAGTTTTCAGAAGACTTTAATTTTAATTTATGTTTTTTATGTAATTTAATGTTTTTGTTTTAGCTGTGGACTCTCAGAACCGAGGGAAGTTATACAAAAGTATGGGAGACTGTTTCATAAAAATGTTGAAGTCGGAGGGCGCTAGTGCTTTTTACAAAGGCGTTGGAGCGAATTATCTACGTCTTGGTCCTCATACAGTATTGCTACTTGTCTGTTGGGATCAACTGAAGATATTAGAGGAATATATGAGAAGATAGTGCATGAGCAATATAGTGAAATTATTTACTCTTGTTATTAAATGTTTAAGGTATAAATGCAAAGTACAAACTACATAGTTATTTAAACGTTGTAATTCTATTTTTATATATTTTTATAAAATTTAATAATATATAATTGATTTTCATGTGATAAAAAACTTAGTGGAATATATTTTAAATAAATAAAGTAATACAAATTAAAAATGTTTATTAGCATCAACTTAACCTAAATGTAGCATCAATCCACTCAAACAAAATATGTATATTATGCTTTAAGCACTTTATAACACCATAGATTATGCAATAAGTGTTCGTATAATAAATAAAAATCAAGAGGCTTTTCAGCATACTTAAATGTTTAAATAATACCTTTTTAACGGATTAATACGCGAAATTTTTACTTATCGCTTGACTCGACGGATGCTTTCGGCCAACCAAATCGTTAAAATTTATACTTCGCGCGTAAACTACACATAATACTTATTGCTAGTGAAAATGGACGTCAGTTTTGTTTCATTATTTATTTAAATAACTGGCAACTCTCACTGAGGCTGTATCACAGCCTATTAAGAATAGCCTTATAAATTTAACTGTTTTTTTTTACAACATATGTGGATGTAAGGATTTTAATAAGAAAAGGTAGTGTGTAAAATCTAACAGCACCTTACAGTTGATGATACTGAAATGGTACAACAAGTCAACTTAGAAAGTATTGCCAGTTACAATTAAACAATTTTGTACTTGTAGAGCGTAATTTTATTGTATATTGGCAGTCAATTTATACTTACGAAAACGGCAATATACAATTCTCAGCGTCACACTAACCTCACGTCCCAACAATAAATTATAAAACTTGAAATTAATAGTGTAACGTTGACAACCAGTGTTGCCATCAGGCAAATTTCAAAATGTCCACAGATTATACATAAATAAGTGTCCTTAGCGGGTGGACAGAAACAGACATATGTAAAATTAAAACCTACCAAACCTTTACCTACATATCATATTCGACCGAACACTTTCATCTTAACTATATTCGAGTGTTGCGTGACTTTCCCGGGCTTTGGCACTGAGCTAATTCAAAAATACTTACGCAATACAAATTCTTTTCACATCCGACACAAATATACAATTTAGCTTTAAGCCCAAATAAGATTATCGCATAAGATCACAAACTAAATGATCGATAACTTAAAGCAAAATTTCAACGACAGATGGCGTTGTAGTCAAATACAAAACTCATGTCTTACACCACATCGCATGTTACAACACCGGTTTGTCTACGGGCACGGCAGCGTGCCGTAATTGATACGGGACGTGAACGGAAGCCTTCGCTGCATAGTATTGTCACTTGAGTTGGTGTGAGGCGTCTGGTCTCCGGGAAATATAGTCTGCAAGTCCATAAAAAGTAACAGTAGTAAATTGCGATTAATTGTTGGAACGGTTCTTGCCAATGTTCAGAAATCTATTACAATAAAAGAATGCCTAACACTTAGAATACCAAGTGTTTTATAGACTGTAAGTCAAAGATAATAAAAATATCAAAAAGTTGAAGAAATTCGACGTTGACGTTTTGGTAACAGCAACACGGAACACCGTGGATGCCGGTTCTAGCCCTACCCGTGGCGTAATTTTTTTCAATCTAATGAATTTATAATAATAATTTATACTCACTTGTGAAAGACTGTTAGAGCTGCCGTTAGTGCGGAAAACACGAGAAAAGAATAAGGGCCGATGTTGTCGCGCATAGTGGGGAAGCACATCCCCACTAGGAAGTTGCCCCCCCAGTTAGCCAAAGATCCCCACGCCATTGCAGCACCACGCGGTGCCACCTCGAATATTTCTGAAATTTAAAACAACAGTATAATTACAATAACCCATACATTTACTGTTATACTGCTTTTATTTCTCTATTAGGTTGCCTGGCAGAAATTGCCACAGGCCTTTGCAAAATCATTTGTTTGATTTGTGTTTTTGTGCTATATGTATTTTATGTAATAAAGATTTTTCCTATTACACAAACAAATTATTTATGAAACAAATTTATTGATTGTACAAGTAGCCGATAAAAAAAAGTTACAGAGACAGAGTAATATAGTCATCACTTTCTAACATTGTATAACCTCTCAAACGGTTCGTATCTATATTGTAACTCTGTGGTATATATGTTGAAAATATATATTCACATTACATACTAGTAAATCGTTTTATAATGAAATAGGTGCTCACCAGATGCTATAAAGTAAGGTATGGGCCCCAGACCGAAACCGTAGACCAAGACGTACGATAGAACCGCTACCATTGCAGCATACGGCATCCAAGACACCGCATCCTGAAAAAATTAAACAATAATAAAATTTATTGTATGGCATTAATACGTTGGCTTGTAACAAATTAAAGACCTTACCATACAGAAATATTACAACAAGAGCATAGAGACACAATACGCTTCTGTATCTATACTAATACATAAAGCTAAAGAGTTTGTTTGTTTGAACGTGCTAATCTTAGGAACAATTGAATGAATGAATTCTTTTTGTGTTTGTTGGTGGCTATGTGACTAATACAAGCGAAGATACAGTGAGCCCAAAGCGTACCCAAAAAATATGTAGGAAGAAATGATTCCTTTTTAAATCATAAAAATAGTCATAAAGATAGACTATATTATGTCTATCAGTAAAGGTTAACTTGCAAGAGCGACGGGTAGGGACGCGACCACTGTCGTGGGTAACAGATATTATTTATTATTAGAAAGATGAAGGGGTTTGCAAAATTTGATGCCTAAAATAACGATTCTCGCGGACCAAGTCGCTAACTCAGCTAGTACTTCATATAAGTTACAATTTAAAACCCTATACCCCAAAACTACAACTTTTCGAAACCGTGTCTAGTATGTTCCAAATTTGGTTCGCGAATGTATATTATAATTCAAAAGAAAACAAGTATGTATGTCTAAGAACGCAACCAGTAGTCATACAATAAAATACAACTTACTATAAATTTCATAGCAGCCGCTAGCAATGCTAAAATGATGGTCGCACAAAACATAGATCCAAGTAATAAAGGACGTCTTCCCATCCGCGGTAGGAGATACAGCATCAGTATGGCAGTGCATACATTAATGGCTCCACAACCGATCGTCGCGTATTGCGCGTTCTGGTCAGATAGGCCGGCTTGCTTGAATATCGTTTGTGAATAGTAGAACACCTGAAATTTTAATGTTATATTTAGGTATGTACCTTAGTTAAAGGATACAATAATAATTTTCATCTTCGGTCTTTCCGAGTTTAATTCCGACATGTTTAAGAAAAATTATAAATTGGTTGGGAACACGTTGGAACCGGTGAGGGTCGAACCCTTATTTATTAGCCATACATTGCTAGTAAAATTCGAAATTCCCGCTTACCGCGTTGATACCGCTTGTTTGCTGTCCTGCTTGAGACGAGCAAACTAATAAAAGAGGCAACATAAGCCGCGAATCAGCTAGCACTGCGCACATACTATAATGTTCATCGCTAGACGATGTGCGCGACTCCTCTCGCAAAAGATCTAATTCATAGGTCAATAAACTCGGCGATACACCGCGGACCCGGCTTAACTCTGTAATATATAGATTAAATTAGACGAAAGAACGATTTACAATGGGTGAATCTGTATGATCACCCAATGGTATGTTATGTACACCAAAAGGTATGTTACCGTATACTATTAAAAAGCAAATTAAAATGTGCCATGAAAGAACTGGCACTCTGTTATTATTTTTCATGAGACATTATAATAATCCGGCTCGAAGGACCAATACAATAGTATTAGAAACCATTCAAGGTTGAGTTTTGTGTGATAATGATGCTAATAAATATTGTTACCAACCTTTAAGAGACTCCGATTCATTCTTCTTAACTACAAAGAGGTATTTTGGACTTTCTGGCAGTATAAATAACACTGGTAAACATATTATGACTAGCAATACGTAGACGGATAGCAGATAGGGCCAATCGTCGATACCACCTGTAAATAATATTTAAGTTTTTAAATTCATAAGTAATTATGTAAATAAAACTTAAAGAATAAGGATTGGAAAATATAGAGAATGAATGTGTATACTGAGTTACAAATAAGAGTTCGTTTTTTGAAACTTATTTAAAAACTTACCTAATAGGAACTTTAGTCCCATAACTTGCCCCACCAATACCCCAACATTCACCCCCATAGGACATGCGACGCCCATAGCACCAGTTAAATTCGGCGGCGCTAATTCCGTTAGATACATCGGTACAATACTTGTAGTTAGACCTGAAATTGATATTTGTAATTAATTAAAATATATTATTATTGATATATGCGCCATCTGTGATTCAATTGCGGATAAAAAGAAATATTATTTAGTTACATAATGAATATGTTTATTTATTGAATACCAATTAATTGAAACTTGTAAACCTTCATGGCTTGGTGGTAAAGGACTTTGCACTTACCACCGGACAATCCAACAAGAAGTCTCCCCAATATTAGCATTTCTACAGAGTTGGCAGCACGACACGAAACAAACATTACCGCACCGGCTATGGACAGAATACTGGTCACTATAGTTGCCTTTTTCCTGAAAGTAAGAAGACATTTTAATTGTTCTGTGTAAAATGAGAATCAAAATATTTCTGCTGTAACGAATCTCCTTTTTATAATGTTAAACACTCAGTTTAAGATCCTATGTACTTCGTAAATGTAGACACAAAATAAAATGTAGACAAGCAATTTTGCTAGTAATATATTATTTAGCTACTGAGCTTACCCTTACCTTTAGCCTTTATTTTTATGTATTTTATATATACCAGAAAATACCTTTTCCTACCATATACGTATACATATGTTTATTTAAGTTATTTTTATATGATTTCCTGATAGGAAGACTGATAGGAAATTGATAAACGCATACCTTCCAAGTTTATCAGCGAGCACAGATCCTAGAATAGATCCAGTGCATCCTCCCACGATGAAGATCGAGACGATGGCAGCCCAGAGCACATTCAGCCATGTTTCATCCAAATCTATATTGTACCGACTAAGTAGACTTGTATAACAAAACAGTTTTATTATCTGCAAACAAAATAATATATTATGTTAATTGCACGCAGAAAAATTATCCTTTCTTTGAATATGTGATTATTATCTTTAAACCGGAAAATATAACTTTTTCGCGCTAGCGAAGGTAAACTGCGTGGTCCAAGTAGTAGAAAAATGATAGAAATTTCGTACGGGTAACCATCGTATACGAAAAAGCTGTACAGTAATCAGGTTATGGTTTCAGTGTGTGGTTCTGAATGGTTCAAACTATATAGGTTGACGGCGCATCTTGTTTACATATAATATGACAGGAAGAATATCAACCTTCCATCAGTCCATGTTTTTCTATCTCTGTCGTAATAAGAAAGGCAGCTGTGGACCAGCCTATATTTTAAACATTTACTCACGTCAGCTGGCGTATTGACCACTCCAATATTGAATCCGACTGGCAGCGAAGAACCTAATGTGGTGACCACGCCCGCCAATACCAAGTAGAACGACCATCCTGGCGTGTAATCGTGCGTCTGTGTTAAGTGCTCGTGCTCATTTGTTACCTAGAACAAGTGCAATTAATTAGTTTCTCCGTATTCTACTTATACCTAGATGTCACTCCTTTTGCATCGCATGCAAGTATTGTATGATTTCAAAGACCCAGTTTTAAGTAAACTTTCAACAAAACCAAGATATTCATTAAGAAGCCTTTTTACCCTTCAAATGAAATCTTAATTGTTCCGCCATTAAGAGGTCTACTTATCTAATATTGATCCTTGGGGAAAAAAGCATGCGTTGAGTGAAAAGCTGTAGAGTTTTTAAAATCTGAGGCAAACAAAGCAGTGTGCGAAAGTGATTAAAAATAAAAATATTTTAATTGAACTTACATAACACTCTTTTCTTGAGTCAATAAAGTTTCAAATAATTCCTACGTATAAGTATTACCTACTATCTAAAATGTGCAAAGTATTATTCAAACTTATGACTGTCTGGCTATCACCACTTAGAAGAAAAAAGAACTAAAAGCGCTGTCGTTAAATCGAAACAGGACGGCAACACAGAACAGAAGAAGAAGATAGGCCAGAACCAATCGCACAACCAGCCGTCTATTACGAAATAAGTTAGGAGGATGGAAGCGAATCCATGACCGCCGATAGCTGAAGAAATAAAATTAAGGATATATTGAAGTATACACATGAAAAATGTATATTTAATGAATTTAATTACCAACAATTACATACAATCTTATAATTACTAACCAAACCATACATTATCCCATAGCAATATAATTTTAATGCAGCCCACGTGTCGTCAGTAATTATATTTTGTATGTAAACATTAATGAATCTGTTTAACTGCACAATGTAAATATAGTAATCTGTGCTTACTTGGATTTACTGCTATCGTGATACGTATCTTTGTTTAAGGATTAACTATTATAAATTATATTATTAGATTATAAAATCAATTTTTAATAAAACGTGTAATTTTTATGTGAATTTACACATGTTTTGTAAATTCTTTAGCGTAACTTTTAACCTACACTAATACATAATAAAGAATATGTTTAATACGAAATAGTGCAACGAAAACTACAGTTCAAGAAACTCATAATGAGAATAAATAAAGCAAACACAAATAATTATTTCAATGAAGCCAGTCGCGTGTTTGACCTAAATTGAATTGAACTTACAACTTAAGACGAGATAGCTAATTAATTACACGATTGACAAATATGTATATGTTTACATCAAAAAGTATGACATAATGTAACAACTAATTAATTGTATTAAATAGATACTTTAAGTATATGGGGTTCTTCAGGGAGCTTTATTGCCCTACAAGAATCGAATTTATATGAGTACTTTTTGTTTTCTTAAATTAACGAACTTCTTCTAAGGTGCATTTTATAAAGTGAATGTGTTAAAAGGATACAGATCAATGAAACGGACGGGGAAAACATAGTTAGTCCAAGGAGGAAGGTCAAGAATTCAATCACAATGAGAACTAGTGACGCAGAGAATCCCGCCACCAATCTGAAATATTATATTATTGTACATTAATTCTCCCATTAGAAAAATATAGATGATCTTACAGCAATTAAAATAACTCTTAGAACCAACAGTCAATCTAATCCTATAATTTAGGAGCTGGATTTTTTTGTTTGTTTGTTGTTGGAATTGAAAATTTAATTGTGTGTTGTATAGACTAATCGTTGATCGTTGAAGAGTGCGTTAAACATATAGCCTTTAAGACCACTGAACCAAAGTAATGAACTATTGACTTATAGAGAAAAGAAATGTTACATGTAACCTTTATTTTATTTTCAATGAATCGGATTTGCGGACTAAAAATTATTTCAGTTGTAAATCAGTCATCAAAACATCCTAAAATGCTTTACAGGTGATACTCTTATCAATGAAAGTTACAAAATTAAACTTGTTTGATTAAAGAAATGTCCAAGTGGATTCTTGGATTTCCCTTGATAGATCATACAATATAATAAATAGTTAATAAAAATGTACGCTATGGGATTACTCAATTAAATAAGTACCTCAATATATGTTTTGTATAGGTATTTATTGTGAAATGTATTATCATTATGTATGCAATTAGGACTTTTATTGCATTACCAGCTTTTCAATACTTGACGAATTAATTATTCTTTCAATGACAAACGTAATTATTATGTGTTTCCGTCGCAATAGCGTCATTTGTTTTAAATAGTATTGGTAGAAAAATGTAAATACGCCAGTTGAAGGTGCTAGAAAAAATAAAATATTTGGTTCAAGTTTAATAAAACGGTACGGTAGGTACGTCCTCGTTCGACTTCAGTAGCGTTAGAAAAAAAGCCGTCAAATAGAGTCGCAAAATGTTGGTAAAAAGAAGTTACAAAAAAAACGAAACGGATGATAAAGCAAAACCTACCTATTAATATCAGTTCCGATGCTAACCGTACCTACCGGCAATTCGAGGTCAACTTGTTATTCAACTCTATCAAACAAAAATAAATTTGTTTTTCCTTAAGTGAAAAATACCTTTACTTGAAATACCTAAAAACTTTGTTTTTCTTTACCTTTATACATTTACCAAAATGTTTTTTAGAAACGTGCCAAATTCTAACCTCATTAACACAATGCAGTGTTTAACATATACAAGACTGCATTCACCATTGTTATAATTAGATCATCAACACGGAAAAAATGTTGCCTAAATATACCTTATCTATGTTATTTCCATTATAGTTATTAATTATCAACATAATAATAACAAAGTGCAAATTATAACAATTATACATGTACTATTATCTATTGTATTATAAAAAGCTTACTTTCTCCATAGGTTAAGTTAGTATTAAAAATTTCACATTATTTTACCAACACGTCTAAACCTAACCTAAAGAGAAGGCAATTTTGCGATATAATCCAAGCTTTTATTTTGTCACTTTAAATGTTCGTAATAAAGAAATTCTTAAATTCCGAACTCTTCAGCGCCTTGTGTACACATCGTAATAAAACAGACCTTGCTCTTCTCAACGACCATAGCGACACTGACACAATACACTTTTCGCGTAAACCGTGATCGTGAATGACTGTTCGTCAGCACCACCTCCACTCATATAGCTAAACTATGTTAATATTATGTCAATGCGTGTCTAATATACTGTAGCGTTTACGCGGGCAAGTAAACGTGTCGTTTATTGACAAAGTTTTATATTGTTTAAATGTTATGGGTCTGCGAGATACATTAATAACTTACTAGCTGACCCGACGTACATAGAAAAAAGTAACTTGTTGTGCGTGTGTAAGGATGAATTTTATGTAAAATGCACTTACTAAAAGAAAAATAAATAAAAACATATTCTCCTAATGAATTTATATACAAAATTTCATTAAAATCGGATCAACCATTTTGGATCACCAACCACGGTGATGTCTGAATTTATATATTAAGTTTTACCATTTAGATCTTGGCCACCACCAGCATGTACTTCCAAACCATAAACTACAGATATGGTTCTTGGAAAAACGGTTTAACAATAAATATTTATTAATTGTATAAGTATAATGTATAAAGGAAAATTGTAACCAATATATCAATTTTACCATTCCTATAAAATCTACACATATACTTATTGAATTGTAAGTACCTACATACTATATATCAGGCCCTATTGTATGAACTATCAAAAATCAACTATAAAAATCTGTTAAGCATACTTGACTAGAGGCTGTTGACCCCATAAATAAAGTAGTATATAACGAAGGCACAATTCGCGCAGTTGAAGTAACTGTACAACGTGCTCACGCGATTTTGGTCAACGACACTGCAACAATTAATCGGCCGACCGCAGACATTACACCTTGTGTTTTGTAAACCTAAACCTGAAACCGCTTATAACCAGAATATACTGGTTCAGGCATGTAAAGGTTGTACAAGCTCTTCTTTTTTATATGTTTAGTATGGAGACAAATATTTTATAATCAAAGAAATCTATGGCACAGAATTATAACCCCCTACGCCTATGTTAGGTAAAATAAAAAAAAAACATGTTACATTGGTATACAAATAAAAATGAAATTAAACCCTTTCTATGTGAGTTAATGCACCATAATTAAACATTGAAGAGAACAATAATTGTAACCATGGTATGCATGCCCTACACAACATGATTAAGATTATTTAATTCATTCTGTTATGGTACCCCTAGATAAGGAGGAATTTTTAACCCTATATTAAATATTTTAAATTTTAGTATTATAAACTCTAGAGAGTAGGAGATATTTCATGTGAATCATAATGTATTTTGCTCATAGGGACTTAAACATTGCAATTATAAATACATACACAGTATAAGTTTATCAAAAATTTATTTGTCCAAAAATATATTTAAAGTAAGTAGTATCAACCCTAACTCTTACTTTACTACAGATATGTGAAGTAAGCTTATAAATTCAAACAAACCATCTATATTGTTTTACTGGATTTAACTGGATACTTAGTTTAACTTATCATTTATCAACATAATTATGCATTTCTGATAACACTATAGAGTTTTAAGACTCTATTGAACAGTTAAGTTTTATTAAAATTCCATCATTAGTTTTGAGGAAAAAACATTTAAACATTCTTAATTAGGAAACAAGTTACCACAACGTCCTACTTTTACTCTGACATTTTATAAACAAGAAGATTTATTTGTTGCATAAAGGTACATTTTATCAATCAAAGTATGTAAAGAAAAAATATAAACAAAGTCCTGAGCTGCGTATGTTTCTTTTTACAGGGTTCAAATATCTTTAAGTGCAAAGCCTTTTGTACTTAAAGCAATGTTTTCATTTATTTAGGAACAAAGGGTGATTTTTAATGCATACATACATAATTACAACACATAATTTACAAGTTACAATGCGGGCAACGAAGTATATGGGGCAATGAGTGAAATTATAAGTAAAGAAAATTAAAAAAGATAATAACAAAGGTATGAAAATAAGAGTAATGAGTGTAGATTACTCAATATTTAGGTCAAACTACTCACCGGCTGTGATATATAGTCAAGAGACTCTCCTGGAATTCCCTCGGTAAGCAGTGACGAACGCTCTGCTTGCTCTCCCATAATAAAGTCACCAGGACACACAAATGGCCCAAAAGGGTCAGAAACCGCGCCGGGATTATTGTGTCTGCACCTCTCATGCCGCTTTTACGCTGAAAATTAAGCCCGCATACGCAACTCACTAAATCATAAAATTCGACCACTGTATTGCTTTTATGTATAAACAGAAAACTGTTATTGTTATAAACTAAATAGTTAGTAAAAATAGTCAGGTGGCTTAAGATTTAGATTTAACCTGTTTAATAGATGGGTTTCTGTTATGAAAAAAATGAGATAAATAATGGATAAATTTTAAGAGTTGTTATTAACAACAAACAATAAACAATACAAACAATTGTGGAAGCTCATAGTTGACAATTGTCAATTTTCAAGGGTCTCTGACTATACTGACTTGTAGTGAAACCACATGCTTCATTAATTTTTTATAATTTATTTCGTAAATCTTATTTCAAAAATCAATGTTTAAATTATATGTATATACTCTATATTTTTTCTTAATTTGGCAGTAATCATCAATGTCAATATTCAATTTAAAATTTATCTTAATATAATGTAAACTGTCATTACGACTTTGTCAAAAGACCGCTTCTTGCATGATAAACTTGAAAACAAATAAAATACTTTAACGAAAGTCTTTATAGTTTCGTATAGATTTGTATGTTTTACTATATCGAAAACAGAAAATTATTTAAATGAAGCTTTTAAAACCTAATTGGGTTAATCATGATGGTGTGTCAAACATTAAATTCCTTATAAAGTGATCGTGATAAATAGATCTCTTATTTATTGTTTATTTTTTCCAGACAAGCCGATATTTTCCGTGGATATACACCCAGCGGGGAAACGATTCGCAACAGGTGGTCAAGGCCTGGACTCTGGCAGGGTCGTGGTTTGGAACCTAAATTCAGTATTGTTCGAGGAAGTGGAGTTAGATCCTAATGTGCCAAAAATGCTGTGTCAAATGGATAATCATTTAGGTTACTTTTTTAAATTATTAAAACGGTTTTATTTGAATAAGAACAGAAAAGTAAACTCGCGTATAAATAATATATTAAACACTATCTAATTACTCACACATAACACAAAAATATGACAATCTTACTTAAAATAACACATTTATCAAAATTTTTGAAGCATTATTAACTGTAATTCTCATCTATAGTTCTGTATGTTTAATCATATTATCAGTGCTGCAGTTTTATATGGATTTAATAATTCTAAAGGATTTCCCGATCCCGAGTTACATAATTATTTTTATCCTTATTACAGCTTGTGTAAACTGTGTGCGTTGGAGTAATGGCGGTAGATACTTGGCTTCAGGGGGAGATGACAGACTTATAATGGTGTGGGGACTAAGTGTTGCAGTTGGTGCTGGTAAACATAAAGCAGAGACTTGGAGATGTCTTGCTACATTACGAGGACATGCAGGTAATAAAAAAACAAATTAGACATTAAGTACACTCCAATTATTTGGATAACTCATACATGATGGTACTATATGTATAATTAAAAATCGAAAATAAATTGAAAAAAAAAAGAAAACTAAAAATATATATATTATTCCTATTTATTCCTGCCCAAGTCAAATAATTTAAATAAAACTCTGTATTAGTTTAAATCGCGATATATTTTGACTAAGCTTATTCCAAAATTATTTTAACTACAGCCCGATGCTTCAGATGCTTAAGATGAGGAGAATATATCGGGTTTATTTTGCGTTTTAAACCTTTTATATAAATGAGTACTACTTGCATAAACTGCAGATAGTATTTAAAGCATAATTTTTTCAAATTTAACCATTGTTTTGCTATTACAAAAACTATAATAATTATTATTATAAAAAATATATAAATAAAATATAATTGTTCTATTTTATAGTTACTTAAAATTACACACATTAATTTAATATTTTCCATAAACAGGTGATGTGTTGGACTTATCATGGTCTCCCCTGGATAAGTGGTTGGCTACCTGCAGTGTGGATAATACTATTATTATATGGAATGCTGAGAAATTTCCAGAAATGGCCTGCGTTTTAACAGGTCACACTGGTCTTGTTAAAGGTGTAGCCTGGGATCCAGTAAGTTGGCAAAATTTACAAGTTAATTTAATAACTACTAGTAAATGGTATGGCAGTAAATAATTAATAATAGCAAATGTATGTATAAATATGATAAATAATTGTATGGCAAATACAATAGAAAAATAAATAAACAGAATAGAAATATTTTCACAATGTTTCTTAAATGAATCCACCTGCTTTAGCACGCTAAGCACCATTCTACTAAAGAATTACACAGGTTATTTGGTGGTTTAGTTTAAGCTTAGATAACCATGTAAGCATTTATTTTATTACATAGTGACTTACATAACCCATAAATATTAAGTAGACCTTATAACATACATGTAATTGTATACACACTGTTTATCTCGTAGGTTGGTAAATATTTAGCATCACAGTCCGATGACAAATCGTTGAGAGTATGGAAAACAGCTGATTGGTCTCAGGAGACCGTCATCACGGAGCCCTTTGATGAATGTGGAGGTAAGAGTTGGGGTTGTATGTTTGCACTTAAGAGAAATAATAGATAGAAATGCATGTCCCACTTTACTTACTGACTTACTAGTTACTTACTATATACATGGAGCATGGGAGCAAACAGCACGGAAATTGTGTCTATATTATTTTGTTGTCTATTGTCTCCCCTGAATTCAAACCCCGGACTTTTTGCACTCATTCTAATTTAATACAACGCGTTCAACGACTGAGGCCGTGTTTCATATATTTGTTTCTACTTAAAACCATTCATCTAAAATTCAGTTTAGTAGCATCGCGTTTCATAAACATTCTCAGGTACAACCCATGTTCTCCGTTTGTCGTGGTCCCCCGACGGGCAGTATGTGTTATCAGCGCACGCTATGAACGGCGGCGGTCCCACCGCGCAGGTTGTAGAGAGAGAAGGCTGGAGGTGCGACAAGGACTTCGTTGGACATCGGAAAGCTGTTACTTGTGCGGTATGTGTATTTATCTGTACTGACGTATAAACCTGAAGCGATTGTTTGCGTAAAAATGATCGAATCGACTTGAAATTTAATTTTATTGTTATATAGCAGTTATATATAAAGCTGAAAAGTTTGTATGTTTGTTTGTTTGAACGCGCTATCTCAGAAACTACTGGTTCGTCTTGAATTTTTTTTTGCTCGTTAGAACATTTATCAAAGAAGGCCTTAGGCTATAAATCATCACGCCGCAACCAAACGGAGCGAAGAAACAGAGGAAAATGTAAAAGAAGGGGGAAAATTATTCAGCTTTGAGGGCTTCCATTACCGTTGCGTGCGCTGCGATAACGATTTAATATTTACAGCAACATCGGAGCTATAAAAGAAGAGCTGTGGGAGATACGATATTATAGAATATTTAGTAAGAAATTACGATACAGATGTGACTAAGGAAGTCACATCTGTATCGTAATTTCTTACTAAATATTAAATTTTCAGCGATTCAACAACAACATATTCGTGAAGGAAGGGAAGAAATGTTGCTGCGCCGCTGTCGGTTCCAGGGATAGGGCACTGTCAATATGGCTGACGTCACTCAAGCGCCCTCTAGTTGTCGTCCACGATCTCTTCAGTGACAGCGTTTTGGATTTATCTTGGAGTTCTGATGGTGAGACAATAGGCCTCGAGTGGAATGGAGAACGAAGGGATTCCAGACTAGGAATCTTTTGATGTCTAAGTCAGACTGATAAACAGCACTGTAAGATTTCTCTTGCAGAATTCAGCTAAGTCTAAATGCCGATATGCCGATCTGATATATAATTTTAGTGCAAAGAATGAGATTGTTGTTGACCTAAGAATCTGTGTATCCTAATGTATGGCTCATAATCGACGAGTCGTTCAATTATAACTTTTCTGAAACAAGTTGAACTTCCCCTCGTAATTTGGATATTAAATTGGTAGGAAAGGTAGGAATACACATGTTGCCCGGATATCGAACTACCGACAAAAGATGATAGGTCGGCAACGCACGGGTCTTTCATTCACCTCCCATCGAGTGAACCACATGCTAATATGCCCTCTTCTATCTTAAAAATACAGAAAATATAGACTTGAAATAGTACACTGATTTAGTTATAATTTCAATTACAGGATTGAGTTTACTCGCATGCAGTTCAGACGGAACAGTCGCTTGCATACAATTCACTAATAAGGAGATCGGCACGCCACTCACGCACGATGAAAAGGTTAGGCACATTTACACACAGACACAACACATGAAAATACACTTTGAAGGGACTTAGTACAGTATCATTGAGTATAATAAAACAAATATATATTAAGTTGTCTGTATTTAGGAATATCGAAATTTCGTCCGGATCGCAAAACACCGTTGACAGATAATCAAGCTTAATGATTTCTGAATATACAAAGCCAAAGTATTCACTAATAAAACACGTTGACTTTCCTTTTAAATTTCCAAATAAGTTTTACTAACATATATCGCGTTTTAAACCGTTATTGTTTTATTCAAATACTACTCGCCCTCTTCTATAGTAAAAATACTATTATTAAGAACAAAAACTTAATTTACAGAACTCACTATACGAAAAGATCTACGGCAAGTGTCCCGCTAATGAATCAGGCGGGGACTTGGCTTCTAACTTGCTGGTCGAGTGTCCAGAGATATTGCTGGCTAGAGAGAAGGAAGCCAAAAGGGAACCCCCTAAAGAAGAATCTACGCCTAAGAGTGAAAAGTCACAGGTAAAAATTTTACAATTAGAAATTCTACAATTGTTATCTATGGTACAATTAGGAAAATCTGTCTTGGGGGTTTGAATCCATGATAATTTGAAAACATTAATATTTTTTACGTGGTGGCACTATTCATATTAAAAACCGATTATAGATAGCTCAATTGGTTTGACACCCAGAGTGGAACGCTGTTGATGCCGGTTGAAGTCCTGCCCGTGTCGTATTTTTTTCTATTTATAATCAATTTTAATCTATGATATTTACAAAGAGATAATATTGTTTTAATAACAATGATTGTATATTATAATGAAGTACTTTTCTGCTGTTCCATATACCTTTTTTTATTTGTTGGAAGAAATAGCTGTTTAGCAGCAAAGCCGTTTGTCCTTACTTTTTCTGTTTCTTATTCTTCTGTTCTGTGACGATAGAGAATATTTGTAAGTATTTTTATTATTTTATAGCTCAAGCCGATATACACTCCGTCGCCAGTCTCAACTCAATCTAGTCCCGCACCATTACGGCCTATGGATAGGCAGATAGAAACGCGTACATCGGATGGGAAGCGACGCATAACACCAGTATTCATCCCGCTCACACACGCTGACGCCAAGTAAGTTTGAGTGAGATGACAACATTCTGTCTGTAGTTTACGCGAGTCGTACACATTTAAATAAAACACTTTAAAAGTTTAAACTTTTTTCAAATTATTTTAACTACGGCCCGAGGTTTCGTCAGTGAGTGAGTTCAGTCTCACCGTGACCACGGCAACTGCAAAGCATCCGAAACGTCACGTGTTTATCGCGTGCTAAACCGTTACATTGTTTTATTTAAATGAGAACAATATTTCAGAACAATTTAAGGTTGTAATAAATTAATTCTTTTTTTTATTAGATATTTGTAGAAACGCTCTGCCATAATAATATAAGAAATTATTTTATAATATTTCTGAAACAAGTTCGACTTTGTCTGGAAATTTGTTTATAAATGGAGGGGTGGGAATGTGGTAATTCCGTCTGGGTCACGCTACACCGTCAACAGTTTCAGTCTGTGGATTTCGGAATATCCAAAGCCAAAATAGGTCGACATATGGCTGGGCTATTTCACTTACCATCACGTGGTACCAAAGAAAACAAATACTTGAAAGAGATGTTCAATAATCTTCTATTATGCGCAGTGTGCTTGAGTTTAATTAATATCTTATGTCTCGATTTCAGTGAGTCGCTCGGATCCCTCGGTGGTGGAAGCGAAAACTGCTTCAGCACGTCCTCTCAGAGTAAATCTCGAATTCGAGTGGAGAGAAGAGACGATATCATCATACACCCAAATGTTAGCAATCACGCGCACAGCAAGACTAGTGATAAGTATGTCTAATTTGTTTTTTTCTAGAATACGTAGCCAGAGTTGTGTTAGGAGGTCTTAGATTAAGAGTTCTGGAGGAACATAACACTGCTCTAAGGATAAAATTGATGTGTAAAACAGATACAAAATGTGTAAAACAACACATGAGAACTGACAATATAAAAGAAGACAACATCAAAGAACTAACGATGGACAATTGTCAAGATTCTGCTAAGAAACTGGAAGGTTTTCAAGGACACATTCATATAACCCAATGACTTCCGCAAAAGAGAAGGGGAAATGGGTGAAGTGGTTAGATGGCGTGGACTGATCACCTGGTCTTCTTTTGGCATCCGCAATACAAAATAATAATAAATAACAGAAAAAATCCGTTACCATGGATTTTCCATATATTTGGAAAAATTGGATCTTAATAAATATATAACTTAATCAATTTGGTGGAAAGCATACATTTATAACTTTTTTTAGTGGCCTAGACCAGAGACTCAGGAAACGAACAGCCTCAACGCTACCCGGTCCGAAAGCAGAGGAGTTACAAGCGAAACGGTCCTGCACATCACCGCCCACAGAGCAGCAAACTGCACCGCGTGGGGTGTATATGGGTCCATCGTTATCCGTCCCAGCGCTGGGAACGGCTGGGCCCATTGTCAGAGGTGCTGGAGCATTGAGATTGCAAGTAAGGATCTTATCTCTAATTTTACTTGACACGATATTTGACTTAGTTTGGTCTTTAGTATCCTAAACCCACTCACAATTAGTTTAGTTAATAACGTATTGACGTTCACATATTCTATTTCGTAATTATTTAAAAGCTAAGATGCATACTAACCTTATTTTTTTAAAACAAAAATTTTGGTCTGGCTTGTCTTGGTTGACCTTCATGGTCGTGGATTCGAATCCACCGGGTCCAACACTCTAATTATTAATGAGAGTGTTGGACCCGTAGGTAATTTTCCTGAAACATGTTTGCCTTGATCTGGAAATCTGGATCTGAAACGGGTGGCAGGAATCTCGAAATTAAGTCTAGATAACGAACCGTCACCCACAGATAAGAAAGAGAAGCTCAATCGTGTTTAGGTTTCAGTCTGGTTTTTTACTATAATAGGCTAACAGCGCATCTTATCGGGGTGTTAGATGGCTGGAACATATTACTTTCCTAACCTATCATGAAAAAAGTTTAACATTATTTCCTAATATGACTCTTTCCCAATTATAGTCGCGTACACGGTCCCGCTAGAAGCTAGTCGTTACATATAAACATTCTTACATTCATCATTCATTACATTCAAACTACTTAACTGTGTTTTCAGGTAGTGAATAAAGCTTACAACACACCGTATGGAAAACTATCAAGGCTAGAACTAATTCCGAATAATACAGCGTCCAACGACCCTGTGTGGGAGGCTTGTTTGGGTGAGTTAGCTGTTCCCACTGCTAGGACTTGAATATAGTTTTTTGTACCGTACGAAGAGACGTCAATTTGACACTGCTTATATTTGTGTTTTATTTTATTGCGCAGGATTCCCGGTGTCGTGTATAGCGTGCGATGCGCGGTGGATCTGCGTTTCGTGTACGGATGGCTCTTTAAACGTTTGGAAGAACGCCAAGCCGAAGCCCTATAGGGCTCTGCCACCCTTAGGTAACTTAATTGAATGTTGTACTCGGAAAGTGTAATTTTTTTATTCGATTTGTTCATATTAGAAAGTAATAAATATTCATATATTATATCTAATTAAATAAGGTAATTACTCTTTACAATTTTTTACTATGGCCCGACGTATCGGATGCTTTTGCACCAGTCATGGTCACGGGAGGTCACTAAAGATGGATGGTGTCTCTAATGTCAAAGTAGATATTGCAACGCTGGTTCCATCTGTTACGTCGCAGTTAGTATTTGTTGGTAGTTGGACCCGGCTAGTTTTGCCAAATAATAATAATAATATAATAATAAGCCTTTATTACATACATTAATATATGTAATAAAGTTTTATTTATTTACATTATGACTTTGTTTATATTATTTACATTATGACACTCATCATTATGTTTTGCCAAATAGCCATAAATAATTAATTAGGATCCGAAGCGTCGGGCCTTAGCTAGAACCATTTGTAAATAAGTTTAACTAATATATTTCACGTGTTAAACCGTTAAACTGGTTTATTAAAGTAATTTCTTACTTTCATCTAACTTTACCTTATTTCAGCTCTACCGTCGCCTGCGCACAAGCTGTCCCTATCTGGAGATAATCTCTCCGTAGTGACGTCATCAGCTGAGTTGGCCATTTGGGATCTCAAAAACGCCTCATGTCTGCTCAAATCTCTGTCATTTAGGAATCTTCTTAATAGTAACGGTAAATTTATATTTTAAAAGATCTTAACTTCTGTTTCTGCGTATGTTTAAACTGACATAGACATTTTTATTCCAATTATATAATTTTCATTTTTCAGCGACGGTAACACACTGTTCACTCTTAGAAGATGGCAACCCTATGATTTCGTTTAGTACCGGAAGGAGCTACATCTATTGCAAAAAATTGTGCGCGTGGTAAGTGAATTACGCTGTACGCTAGTAAAATGTTTTCTAAGATACTAACTGTGCCCGTGTGGAATAGTTACTTTGTGTAACATATTTATTTTTGCGAACAACCTTTATTAATTATAGCTGTTATCCGATGTCGTCCTCGTCCCGTCGTTCTAGCAAATTAATCTTAAAAAATTAACTTATACTCGTAGACATTTTTTGAGATCGTCAAACATATTTTTTGGCTTCTCTAACCGTTTTCGCAGAACGGCACCGGAAACCGACAAAGATAAACAATTTTCCACGTTTCTTCGCTCCTATAGCTACGTGTTTTATAGGCTTCTCGATAAATGTTCTAACCAATACAAAAATGTTTTTTTTTAATTCGAACCAGTAGTTCTAAAATCGGCGCGGTCAAACATACAAACAAACAAACTCTTCAGCTTTATATATTAGTATGGATAAGAACATACATATTGAAGTAAAAATTATACATTTTTTAAATTAAATATTATATGTAATATTTCAGGGTAATATGGATAGATGGAGGTGATCCTGTCAGACGCGCAGGGGGCGGATCAGGGAGTAAGGGTCCGAGGGTTTCGTCCCCGCTACACGCGAACAGACAAACGAACACGTTGCAGGCACAAGGGTACATACATATAAAGACTGACTATATAAAATATATCTAACTTAATATCATCAAATCGTATCATTTATTCTACACATAAAAAATACAACTAAATACGACAAGATTGTAATAAGCTTTTGTACTATTTTTAATCCACTGAGCTACCGAGTCAGCTCGCCATTTATTATCAGGCCTTTTTCTTCAGAAAATACAACGCGTGCGCAGCTCGCAGTTGGCTAGAGGCGCAAGTCTCTGTCTGTCTGCACCTTCGACTTGCGCGCGACTACAAGCACTGGCTGGTCGCTTTGTTTACCCATCTCGTAGCGCACGGTATGTTTGTTTATCTATTATTAATGTTCATGTTATTCTCTGAAAACGACTCAACAAAATGTAATTCTGTTTTTTATCCTGCACATTGAATTCTCCTATTAGACTTTTAGAAGTACTGTTTATGTTATTTTGTGTATCACCTTTTTCAGGTACGGAAGATCAGTTAAGAACAATATTGGATGATTTATTGGGACCAAGTCACTGTACTTCGAAGCCGAAATGGGAACCTTCGGTATTGGTAAGTACAGGCTACTTCCTGTTATGTATGTATAGAGTTAAACCCGCCCTCCGCTAAGGTAGGGAAACAAAGTACGTTCAACAAATGTGCTTTATTTCCCTGCCTTACAACAAATTAACAAAATCTTTAAACGTACAGGCGCGCAATAGGTCTTAAAAGAAAGAGTATAATTTTGATAGAAACTTTTTCCATTCTTATTTATTTTTAATTACATTAGGCACACCTTGACCACGGCTGTGTTTGTAAATAAGTTTTACTAATTCGTTTCGTGTTTTAAACTGTAAAAACTGTATTATACAAAATTGTTTTTATTATTCATAAACAATGATTGTTGGACGGACAATCATTACACATCAAAAAACCTTTGCCATCAAAAAAGTACTTGTTTATTATGGTAATAAAAAACCGTTTATATTTAACAGGGTCTAAAGAAACATGAATTATTGGAGGAGTTGTTATCGTTGCTCGTTCGACAACTGCGGTGGCAAAGGCTCTACACAGAATATGCCGACCAGCTCAACGATGTCAAGCAAAACTCGACTCTACTCAATGGGCATACGTAGCATTTGGCAATGATTGAAAGTATGTGATGATGATAGTGGAACAGTAGTGAGAGTGAAGTATTTTTGTATATTGTGTTTTCTGTGAAGGAAATCAACTTATTGCATGTGTCGATCGATTCTATGATTTTCTTTTTATGTATGAAATATGCGTAAGTGATACGTTATGCGAAGATTCGTTTTCGCGTCTCCAATAATTTTATTTATAGGTACAACTTGCTCGAATCGCTGAGCCCTTCGCTGAGCCCAAGCGGCGGTCATGAATGTAAATTATTTAATTCTGTGCCTAAAATATGATAGATTCACTGTCATGGGCGTCATTGTAATGAGTTTACACTATTTGGTTAAGTAAGTTGTAAAATTAATTGATAATTTGTTATTATCAATTACCTTAAGGTATTAAAAAAGTATGTATTGTGTACTTTGTTTTATTTGAAAATTAAAAACATTAGGTTATCTACACTGAGATTATTTTGTTTCATATTATAAAGACTTCTGCTTAATGAGATAGATTTTTTTAAATAGACAATTTTAAAGTTACAAACAAACACAAGAATATTAATAACCTTTTGTATAGATGGAAAAGAAAACGACACTTTTGTATCACAATAATTTATTTTTACAAATGATTCATGGATCACAACAGCTCTAAAGACAAATAAGAATTAAGAGAAATGTTAAAAACGAAATAAGAAATCTCTGTAAACGACATACAAACTATACACAGACGATAAAAGTGAAAAGAACCTACAAAGAGTTAGGGGCGTTTACCGCTAGAGGGCGCGAAGGCACTATAATTCCATTAAGCTAACATTCACAAGAGAAACTAAATGTTACGATTTGAGCTCATCGATACAATCCACTTAACAAATTTCCTAACTTTTAAATAAAACACTTCAACGGTTTAAAACGGAAGGACCCCGTGACCACGGTAACAAAGCAGCTGACACGTCGGGTCGCAGTTAAACATAAGTTAACTAATACGCTTCGCATTTTATCCGTTCAAAGTGTTCGACTTAAACGTGATCTACTCGCGTAAATACAGACAATACTTAATTTTCCTAACTATAACAACCCGAACGGTCACTCTCAGTGATAAAATTTTCATTATTGTACATCATTAAACTTTCAAACTTCACCGATACGAAATATAATGAGACTAACACGAGAAATTTTGGTCCCATTTTTGGGTCATCGAGCGCGTAACTATTCCTTCTAAGGTTACTCGAACACTTATCTCTAAGTTCCACGATTGTGATCGATTAACAGAACAACAATAATCGTTAACTACCTAAGTGTTTAGCGCCGAGACGTCGCACCTTTTATCAAATAAATTAACACCGCGCTAATATCGATTATTTACAACTCGGGCGGTAGGCGAAGTCCTCGGCCGTCTTAAGTAATCTTACAGAACACATTCATTATATTACAAGCTCCGTTCTTCGTTTGCTGGCGTTTCATCCATTATGCATTTTGTACCGTCGAGGCAGGAACGCGATTACGCCACGAACTCTACTATATTCCGGAACTAATTTTAGATGAATTAAGTAGTTTATAATATCAACAATTGAAATAAATCTGTTTGTAAAAATTATCAATCATGCATATTATATGATATTTTTCATTGAAACCAATTTATAATTATGTAAATAAGAAAAGAAATAATAATCATTCTATTAAAACAATAAACGAACAAAACTAATAAGATACAATTGTAAAAGATGCAACTTTTCGAGTTCGTGTAATCGGACACCTACTGTATACACGAATCGTGTATCCTAATTATATCTTATTCATATTGACTATATTAATATATCTACACATCGGATGGCATATAATACTAACAAGTATTAATACAACAATATGGACGTCCTACACTCGCGACCTGTAACGATTTAGCTTGAAATGTTATTGATAAAATATTTGAACATTTTTGTTTTTTATATGCGATCATGAAGTTAAAACGATTAATTGATCGATAAACTTCTTAAATTATTCAATCGATTGGTAAATTTAGATAAGCCGAGAGCACGACTATTAAATAGAATCGATTTATTTTCAATTTAATAATATCTGTTCCTATTTTTTAGACTTGATACTATAGGAACGACAAGAAATCGTTACCAACCTTTAATCGTACTATTGACCGCTGCCAACTTTATGTTTAACTGTAATCACGATTAAAATACATTTTCCAACCGAGTCGATATCGCAGAACAATCGATTTAACTTAGACACTCAATTGCTCCATCATGCATCCTTTTTAAATGATGTTAAAAGAAATATTCTGATCGTGATCCCATTCGTAAAATTCAATACTAAACCGTTTGAAGTCGCCGATTATTGTCTCTGTCAAATAGTTACCAAACGACGCATTGAAACGACCGCGTCAGATGTTTTTAGCTAATATACAAAGCACCTCTATGCGTTCGTTTGCTATCTATTTAAGGTTTTGGCACTGATGTGCTAACAGGAGCTGTGAGGAGCACACCATCCGTTTTCTATAAAGGCACAGAGCTAATACATTAATAACTATTCACTGCGACGCTGCGGCACAATATTGTCTCGCTTATGATCAAACTACCATAAGATCAATTCAATTGATTTCGCAATATCGAGAATGGATGACAAAACTGTAATGTCGGCAATTGTTATGTTTTGTCCCTTTCATTCAGGCTCGTGACGATATGTGAGTGAAAGAGACAACACACAAGCGACACGGCAGCGCGGTTCGCGAGTGTAGTGGTGACGTCGTTAGATACGTCACAGCCGCCAAAGGCAGCAAAGCGATCGCTAGCAGAGCACGGCACGATCCTGCGTGGCGCGCAGGCGCAGGCACGGCGCGGGACATGCGCACAACTCGCCGTGGGATGCGTGGGCGTGGGAAAGCTTCGCCGGCTTCTCGTAGTCCGGCTGGAACTTCTTGCACAGGGCTAGCACGGAGGGCGGCTGCGGGTGAGACTTGCGCGACACCTGCACAAAGATCTGATTGTCACTCCACTTTCTGATCTCGGATGTGAGAAGTATTCATAACAATAATAATAATTCATTCAATAGTAAAAATATTCATAACACATAATAAGACAAATTTATTAAATTGGAGAATTGAACAATTCAGCAGAAATATAATTTTAACAATATTTTAAATTCAAATTGCTATGGTCGTCATACACTTTATACTTTTACAACTAGTAGGATCAAAAACGATTTTGACAAATATAGATTTGATTCGTTCTCCCTTACCTTGGGTGTGGATGGTGCATCGGGGAAGGGTGGCGACGCGTCCCTCGCATGCTTTAGGGGCTTATCGCGTTCGTCGTCCTCTCTGATCTCGGGCTGCGGATGTGTTGGTGAGGACGGCCGGGAATCTGATTCTGAAACAGCAAAGTTGAGATGGAGATGTAATATTATTTTTTATGACAGGAAAGGGAAGAAAGGCATAGGGTTCACTCCTCGAGAGTAAAATGACCGACACGCGATAACTCCATGGTTTTTTATCTGTGCGTTTGATATAGCCTATATATAGTCAATATTTATTTATATGATATAGTTAGATATTATCTAAATAAATATTGACTAAAAATACTAAAATACATACTATTACTAAAGCGACAAATTTTACCATTTCATTACCTCGACATTGGTATTGCAAAGGCTTGTCATGCATATACAAATACAAATACAAATACAAATTCTTTATTCACCAAAACTGTGTACATATCATTACAGGGTGTGCTAGCCCCCACACTAGGATTCCCTGTGTCGTGGGCGGCTAGACTCTTCCGGTGCATTTCGAGAAAAACAATGAAAAACTTAGTATCTACTATGTACTTATAAAGTTATTATATGCTAAGTATTTAAATAATAAAAAATAAACTTAAAAATATGGATAACATTTTGTCATGCAATTACCTTAATACAGTTTTCTGTTTGAGTATAATTTAATTTTAGAAGAAACACTTTAATTTTATTTAATTGGGAAGAATAAGAAGTAAGTGGGCTAATTATATTTTTATTAATGAATAAGTTAAGCAGGAAGGGACCTTTAAAAGTAAAAAATCGTTGGGCAAAAGAGGTGTGTTTGAGCGGAGTTCGGAATTGGACTTTTCGTTGTGTTAAAGATGTTTGTTCGGATGTTTTAGATTGTGATGGCGTTTTGAGTTGGCGACGACAAGTTGATATAATATACAGTTGCCTGACCGTCAGGAGATTACATTCTTTGTATAATTCTGAAGTTGGATGCCGAAACGGTTTTCTAAGGGAAATTTTTAGGATAGCACGCTGTGCCCGTTCTATTTTGAGCATAAGACCTGTTACCGCACCGCCCCATGTGGAAATGCAATAAGATAACACAGATTGGCATAAAGCTATATAGACTGCCCTAATAGTATTAGTCTCTGCCGCCTTACTGAGGCGTTTAAAGGCGCTTGAAAGTTTTCGGACACGAGCGCACAGATAACTAATGTGAGGACCCCAAGAAAGCCTCGAGTCTACCATTACCCCGAGGTATTTAATAGAATCAGTCGATTCTATGGTTGGACATTGGCAGGTCGAGAAGGGGTTATGACAAGAATGGAGTTTAATAGGGGGGATTGGTTTTGGGGCAGTTGCCTTAGAGATGTTAAAACAAATGTATTTAGTTTTTGTTGTATTAAGCGAAAGAAGATTATTGGTGAGCCATTGAGAAATACGGGTGAGACCCGTTTGGGCAACGAGGGCGGCTTGTTCCCAGGAACGTGAATAAAAGATAATCGCCGTGTCGTCAGCGAAGGAGAATAACTTGGCATTAGAAAGCTTCATTGTACATAAGTCGTTAATATAGATTAGAAATAGAGAACTGCTTATTGCACTACCCTGTGGCAAGCCGTAGGAGACTACTTTTTCCAGGCTTTTTAAACTATCTATTCTGACTATTTGTTTTCTGTTGGATAGGTAAGATCGGAACCAGTTTAGGATGTTGCCCCGGAATCCTAATCTTTCCATTTTTTCCAACAGGATTGGTCTGGAGATAGTGTCAAAAGCTTTCGCTACATCGAGAAAAACACCAATACACCTTTGACCCTCGTCCAATTTTGAGCTAACAGTCTCAACCAGAGCAGTAGTTGCGTCTTCTGTCGATTTGTTATGCCTAAAACCAAATTGGTTATTAGCTAGCATGTCTTCCTTTTCCAGGTAATTGAGTAGTCTTGTATTGACGACTTTCTCCATAATTTTAGCTAAGCTTGGGAGAAGTGAGATAGGGCGGTAATTCGAAACTTGCGTCTTGCAACCGGATTTATGAACTGGGGTAATGTACGCAAGTTTCCACGATTCGGGAAAAATTCCTTGTTCAATACTGAGGTTACAAATGTATGCTATAGGCGCTGCTAATATATTTTTTAGGGAAATAATTATACGGTTGCTTATGATGTCATGTCCTGGGGCCGCATGGGGTTTAAGGGAGTTAATAATCTTAAGGATTTCACGCTCGTCGCAAGGGAGAAACAGAAAAGAGTTAGGTTTGGAGGGAATGGAAATATTCTGGACTAGATCTTTTTCAGTTCGCTTTAATTTGAGCAAGGTTTCTGTAGAAATCTTTTCGCCAATCGTTGAAAAGAATGAATTTACAGTATTGAGGGATTCTTCCGGGTTTGGTTTGATATTTAGTAATTTACTTGAATTTTCTTTATTAGAATTAAGATTGCATATATTTTTGATACATTTCCAGAGATTTCGGTTGTCGTTTTTATTTTCTTGTATAGTCATGCTGTCGTGAAGATTTTTAAGGTTTTGGAGGATATTGTTACAATAGTTGCGATACTGAGTGTATTCATTTTGGAGTGTTTGATTGTTCGGCTTTTTTCTGGTTAGTGAGTGTAGATAGTCTCTTTTTCTAACACAGCGTAATAGTCCAGGAGTCATCCATTGTTTTCTGATTGCTTTGGAATTTCTTTGGGATCGTGTTTTGGTATGGGCTTTAATAGATTTATTTAAGCTGTTTGTTAAAGCCGTGACAGCTTCGTTTATGTTAGTAAAGGACCATATAAAACTCCAGTCAACCGAAGAAAGGTCATTTTTTAATTTATCAAAATCAATTACCTGATAAGAGATAGAAGAATTAATTTTTTGGGTGGTGTGAGGACGTGATTGCTCGATTCCGATAATGACAGACATATGATCAGTGACTTGGGAAGGGCAGACGGCTACTTTTGTAGGAAGGTTTGATCTAAACAAAGCGTGATCTAAGCAGTTATCTCCGCGGGTCGGAATGAATTGACCTTGGATAAATCCATGGTAATTCACTAGCTCTAGCAGTTTGTAAGCTCTCAAATCGTCAGTCAGCTCCTTCAGGTCTATATTAAGGTCCCCAATAATGTAGATAGGTTGACCGATGTGGGAGAGAATTATGTTTTCTAGTGCGTTGAGAAAGGCATCAACGTTGTATGTGGATGGAGATCTATATATAGATATGATTACCGTTTCACTATTCAACACACTAACTAGAAAATTTGCTTCAGGATAAACCGGTTCAGTAGTAATCAGGTTCATGCAGTTTCTGTAGAATATAACAATTCCATCGCATTTATTTTTGTAACTTTGGGAGAAAGTGCATATGTATCCGTCAAGAAATAAGCCTGTAAAGTTTTTATCAATCCAGCACTCTGTTAGAATGATTAAATCCGGCTTGAATTGAAGTCTTGTTAGGAAAACTAGAAAACTATCAAAATTTTTATTTATGCTTCGAATGTTTTGGGACACTATTGTTAAGTTGGAAGAGTTGAAAAAAGTTTTGCAGTCTTCAGGATATGTAAGGTATTCATTGGGTATAAAATGTGTATTGTCAATATCGCGAATTAAATTAATATTATCGAATTTAAATAGATGGGTGTAGTAGGACGCAAAACTTTGCCTTTAAAAAATTATAATAATACTTGGTTAATGTGGAAGAAAGTGTATAACTTGTAGTACAACTAATTGTTTTACATGAGATAACTAAGTGTTTAGGAATGACATTAATGTTTCCTTGGAGTGTTGGTAATAAAAATAAATAGAACATTTGTTTTAGAAATTCCAAGACGATCGACCCGACTAGAGTAAAATTATAATAACTATGTTGATAACTGAAGTGTGATACTAAACAATTTAATAGGTGTTTGAGAATACTATATAACTTGGCGTAATGGATTGATAACATTACATTTGATTTATGTTTTGACATTAATAAGTTAAGTAAAATTAAGACTAGTCATGCGCTATTTAGCAAGTTGAGTTGCTCTTCGTTCTTTATGAGGATGTATTTGGATCCGTTATTTTTCCTAAGATATACGTTACCATTCGAAGACCAGCAATAGTCGTATTGTTCTGATTTAGCCAACTCCCTCGCCAGAAAGAAAAGCCGCTTAGCCTTCGGTGTAAGAAATTCTGAGACATATATAGGAGTATGTCCCACCATTCCTATGTGGCTGCAGTTCAGTTGACTCGATCTGTGCTCCTTGTTATACTTTCGAACAGCGCTTAAGATGTTAGTTTTTGTGAGGGTATTACATAGATCAACGGTGAGGTTCCAAGTCGAGTTATCTTTTCTGTTGGTGAAGCGGGCCACGTCTCTAATGTCACTAGTTGAAAAGTCAATTTGTAGACTAGACGCAAGCTGAGTTAAATAGGCGAAGAGTTCGGCTTTGGACGGAGGTTGACTTTGCTTGGGAACGTTTCTAATTTCAATAGTTGTTTTGTGGATGGCTCGGTCTAGGGCTTCGTGCTTCTCTTCGAGGTCCGCAAGTTGAGCCGACAATGCTATAATATTTTTTTGGAAATTGTCGATTTTTCCTTGCATACCTTCTATTTTTGTGGAGACGAATTCGATCGAATTTTCGATGGACTGGCTGGTCTCGTTGACTGTCGAGAGCTTCGAAGATAATTCAGCGATACACCCTTCCATAGTCTCTAAACGGCTATTCTGTTGATCCCGGAGTTTGTCAAGCTTGGAGTTTAGTTCGCGCTGGAAAGTGCGCAGCCATTCCTTCATCTCGTTTCTTAAAACGAGAAAGTCGTCGTTTTCGTCCCGAGCCACTTTTTTCCTTTGACGCAACTTCGTATTAACGTTGTCGCTCTCTTGCGTTGAGCTTTCACCGGCATCGCAATCTGCATGGATCATCGACGGTGGAGTTTTCTTCATATTTTAATATGATTAAGGTTCACAATACGTTAACTCGAGCAATCAGTGTCCTTGACCCAATTGGCGGCCGTCCTTCCAATTACGAGCGGCGCGTGCGCACTGGGGGCGGGGCTAGCGTTTGGCGGGAGGAGGCACTGTCTACTGCTACTCACTGTATGCGCTCCTGGTACCGTAGTTTTATTTATTGCGTAACTTTTTGTTTAAAAACAGAGTTAAATTAAATTTTTATTTTATCACTCGCGCTAAAAGCACGTCCAAACTGTACGGCGGCCCGGGGGGAAGAGGATATAATTCGTCAAATACTAAATTAATGGTTATATCTAAAACTAACAGGTTATGATTTAGGGTGATGAGTCCACATTATCTAATGACCCATTCCACTTTAAAGGAGGAATCTAACCTCCTAACTGACCCAAACGGACTCAATGGACGTATCAGTTACACACGTTATATAAATCATAACATACCTTTTACTTCATGTGTGCCGTTCGCCATCCCATTGTACTTAGTTCCGTTGTGGCCGTTCACTCCGTTGACTCCGTTTGCTCTAGCGGAGCCGTTCTTCACTATGACGCCGTCCCCGTTTGTGACGTCATTTCCGTTCTCCGCGGCGTCTTCTCCGTTGTCCGTGTCGTCATCGTCCGAGCCCACTTCCGAGTCCGCGTCGAAGCCGACTCCGACTATGGCCCGTGGGATGTCCGATTCGTCCTTCAACCAGGGGTGCTCCAGGCACTCTTCCACTGTGAGACGACCACTGTAAAGCGATAACAGAAGTTAAAACTTTTGCCAAATCACGTAGATATAGATATAGCTACCTCTTTAATTTGGTCGTCTCTTTTACTACTTATCTACCTACTGTTATAGAAGAGAAGACAGTAAGAATAAAGTTATGTACGAGGACGTACTAAGTTTCGTTGTATTATTGTAAACTTTTATCAAAAGATGTGGAAATTTCCTGAAAGAGGTAATGTACGGACAAACGCCCGTACAAAATTACTGTATTTACTTCCTTTTCCGTTCAAGATTTTTTTCTTTTCTGAAAATACTCACTTTGGATCAACGACGAGTGTCTCCTTGATGAATTGCATCGCGCGCTGCGAGACCCCCCAGAAGAGGTCCTTGGGGAAGGAGAGCTGGCACTGAGCTATGTTCAGGTAGGTCTCTTGCTTCGTGTCTCCGGCGAATGGCGAGTAGCCGCTGAGCAGCACGTAGGCCAGCACGCCCACTGACCATATGTCAGCCGCGAGCGACAGTGGCTCGTATGACAGGATTTCTGGCGCTGGCGACGACATTTTATAAATTAAGCTAAACCCCCTCGAAGAATATGCTTATCACTATGTTATTTCAATTCAGGCAGTAACAATCATTTGTTCTATGGCTGACGGACAGCCTGGTTACAGCCTCACTAAATCCGAGCAGAGTGGACCGATTAAGTAAATTTTTGTTTTTAAAAGTAGACCGAAGAAGGTGGTTAGAAGGAAGGAAGTATAAAACAAGACAGGGCAAGTGAAGGTTTTTTTTAACGTTAGAGGAGGACAGATAAGCACGGAGTTTAGGAGGAGGAGGTATTTTTGGCTTTGGATATTCGGAAATCCAGAAACTGAAACCTAAACGTGATTAAACTTCACGGCTTTTCATCTGTGGACGGTGGTTCGTAACCCGGACGGAATTTCGATATGCCTACCACCCACTTATTATCCAGATTTCCAGACGAAGTCCAACATGTTTCAGAAAAATTATAAATTAATCAGAAATTTTTTTAGACCCGGTGGGGTTCGAACCCACGACGTTGATTATTAGCCGTACAATGCTACCATTAAATTGCTACGAGCCCGTCAAATTTTAGGTCAAATTATTTAATCCAGTAGATGTAATCTCTACATATACACAAACTCACCAACATAATCCCTCGTGCCAAGAATCTCCCTGACGTGCGCGCCGGGCTGTATGGCGCGGCTGATGCCGAAGTCGCAGATGACAAGCTCTTCACCGCCGGCGGTGAGCAGCAGGTTCTGTGGCTTCAAGTCTAAGTGGGCGACCCTTCTGGCGTGCAAGTGCGCCAGCCCTTCTAGGACGTGCCTCAGCGCTCTCCTCGCGGCGCCTTCGGACAGCCGTTCCTCCTCGTCCAGCAGGCGCTGGAGCTCCCCACCAGCGCACAGCTCCAGCACTATGGCAACTTCTGAACGAGTCTCGTATACCTGGAAAGTTATGGTCAGTCTTTTAACGTTTGTGTAAGCAGTATTTTATTATACCCAAACGTCTTAAACTCGAGTTTTTCTTTCACAAATCCTTATAAAAACCAAGACATGGATGGATGTCACTTTTTTCGCATTGTTGTTATATTTTAAAACTGTGTAAGTACATATCAAAATAAGTAGTCATTTATTCCACACACAAATAACAAAATATAACAACACAAAAATACAATACTTATAAAGATGTATGTAGAGGGACAACACTCAGCTTTTGTTGTACCTGGAAGTAGGCACAACGCTGATTTTCAGTGTTGCCCCACGTTTGATATTTTAAGTAGAATAGCACTAGATATACAATTAATATTACTGATAAGAAATCATCTTGACAATTTGAGAGTTTATCTCCTTAGGACTTAAATCTGTGTCTGGCTGTCGCTTTAATATTTCATGTTATCTAGGTTTTAAAATGATATAACATCTGGACTCTAATACAAATGGTTCCATCTTTACACAACACAACAGTCTAAAGTACCATAAATAAATACGATACTATTTACCATCAAAAGCGCATACATTACCCCGCATTTGCGGTAGATATGGGTAATTATACACCTACTGGTGGGTGTAAAATCTCATTCCAGCGCTACAACATTATAAAGAAAACATTGCAACACGTGTTTGTCCACGAGCGGTGTCACAAAACGAAAATGCGATTAGGTCGAGGTTAACGAACACTTAATTCGACTCGCTAGGACGTTTCGAAGATAATACTATCTTTGACATCGCCCGCAAAGCATAGACAAGTATAGACAGAAAAGAAATTTGTTCAGAAATTACTTTACTATTTTCAACTTTCGACTTATTACGATAACAGATTACGTTCAAGAAATTGTCTGTAAAACAGCGCGGTCGGCAACCAAACTTTGAACTTATATGTTCGAAGCGTAAAACAGCAAACGTAGTAAATATTATTATGTTAATATCGGCAAGTAATAGCGAGGACGCTCTTTTTCATGATAAGAGACACACAAGCAAGTTGTTCACTTGATGGAAAGTCAAATACCCCAGCGATATAACATCTAAACAAGATACGCTGTCGTCATAGATTAGACTTCACGGTTCTTTTAAATAAAACACTTTGACGGTTTAAAACGCGATATATTAGTTAATTAAACCGTTAAAGTGTTTTATTTAAATGTGTACTACTCGCGTAAACTATAGACAGTATTCACGGTTCTTCTTCACCAAGACGGAGTTTCGATATTCCTACCACCCATTTAAAGGCAGATTTCCTGACGAAGTCTAGCTTCTAAAATTTCCAACAATTTATATATTAAAAACTCGTTGGATACCGTGGGGAGCGAAGGACCCGTTGATTATTAGCTATGGCTAATAGCAATGTTTGATTACCAACGTACCCAATCATAAGGAATAAGAGATAAACAAAGGATGAACAGACAAGACATTTACCTCGTGTAAGCGTACAACGCGCGTGCAGTCAGCGCAGAGCGCCAGCACGGCGACCTCGTGCTGAATCTCCCTCGTGGTGTCCGCGGCGCGACGCCGTTTGCGGATGAACTTCGCGGCGTATTCCACCCCGGACACCAGGTGCCGGATCTTGCGGACTGAGGCGAATTTTCCCCTGGAAAGGAAAAAGAGCTGCGTTAACAAAGGGATTTAAGTTTTTTTTTTTTATGGAAGTTTCCTCCGCTTCCATGTTTGTTGATAAATAATATTATCAATAATCTCACGACATCAAAATATGAACAACAATCTATATAAAATAAAAAAAATAATAACACTGTTAGATATACGTGAGCTTTGTGACAAGGACATTGACATTAACATATGTATTAGACAAAATGTTAAAAAGAAAACGTACATTTTTCTATTTTTGTGAAAAAGTTTAAAGCATGGACATTTAATTGTTGATTCTCGTTATTCCTAGACAAATTATTGTTTAATTCTATGTAAAATTGTATCTAATGAATAAAACCCTTATTTCTAGATGAATTATATTGTGTTGTGCATTATAAACTCCGTCTTACATATACATTTGAATGGATCAAAATGTCACAACGATGTACACTGTAATTATGAAAATATCCCAAAACAACATTTATAAGTAACACAAAATAGTACAAGTAAATACCACGATTAACACTATCCCCACCTAAATCCGGCGTAATAAACGCGGCGCCAAATAAATAACAAATACATCACCGCGTTAATGAACAATAATTTCAACGCATAATTTTATTACACCCTATTTCAGGACGCCAGGTGATGTTCATATATCTAGGCATTAATCACGCGAAGTGGGCAATAAACCGCGAGGCTAGTGGCGTAGCTTGATATCCACGTAGTGCGTGCGAGCACTTGTAATTGGGCGATTTCATTAAGTCGACAAAATCGCGGTAAACATCCCCGGGTCGTTTGAGAACATTTATCACGATAATTGTCCGCTTCGCGAAACGAGCGGACTATTTGTACCCGGGAATATTTTAGGGCTTAGGCTCGTTGGATGTTGAGGTTTAAGTCATGTATTCGTAGATAGAGCTAGGTTTAGATTGCGTTGATTAACATAACGTTTTACATTTATGGGGGCGTGTTGCAGTGTAATAAATATTATATTATTCAACCACGTTTAAATCAAAATATACACAATTTCTAGGAGATTCCCCTGCCTCAGAGAATGCTTTAGTCGCGTATCACGGAAAAGCGGCGTTGTGTCTACTTCCAGGTAAACTAAAAGCTGAGTGGTGTCCATCCGCATTTTTGGAACAAAAAAGAGATCAGCACCAGAAATGCGAAATTGAACGATTTAATTTATGAGACCTACTCATATTGGAGCGAGATTAGATTCGATTTAATTAAAAACACTTTAACGGTTTGAAACGCAATATATAATAGTTAAACTAATTTGAATATATTAGATAGATTCGATCGATTTAGTTAAAATTACAATATCACTAGGATAGCTTCAACCAACGAAAAACTGTAAAGGTATCTTAGTAAAGACGTCACAGGGTCTTAGGTTTAATTAAAAATAACCCTTTTCAACATTTCTACCTCATCAAAGTCTTTTTAACAACATATTGTTGGAGTACCAATGTTGCTACGAGACTTTCCACGGAAAGCGATGGAAGGAATAGAACAATTCTCACCAGTCTAGACGGTCACAGCACAAGTAAATGTTTCCAGTTATTATCAAACTAACAAGACCCGTAATCGTTTCGCCACGGTTATCCGAGGCGGGGCTAGTTTCACGGTTAGCTCCATGTCGAGAGTAAATCTGCACTTTCGTCGCAATTAGCTGTCGGCGCCGGCGCCCAGCGCATGCGCATCTAAATGGCCATTTAGCGCTATTACTATTGTTTCGACGTAGCTAAAATGTTAGTTTAGATTTGAATACTTCATTGGTGGAAAAACTTGGCTTGGGTTAAACGCGATGGAACCTGCTGTCTAAAGCATTTGGTTGTAGATACGTGCAATAAATATACGTAAAAACTAATAATTTATATGAAGGAATGTTTGTTACAAGCATTCCGAACCACGGTTCGCAGTTACGGTATTTTAAAGCGTCGCTGAGAGCATCAATATCCAAACTATTTAGTCCACGTCACTCTACGCCCACGGTGGACATTAATCAGCTTAATAACAGCTTTATGTGTGAAACGGATAAAATTACAGTACATTCAAAATCTGATGGCACGAGGGCTGCTCGGCTTGGTGACAATTGGCACCACGATTCGGACGCCCACGAGGTTAATCAAGAATCGTAATTATTGATGTAATGTATTCAGAGAACAAGCTCTCAGTGTAAAAGTCTTTATCCCCTGCCTAGATCATGGAACAGACACATTCATGTGCCCGTTTAACTGACAGATTTAATTTACAGGCAAATATTTAAATAAGACACTAACAGTTTAAAACGCGTATATATTAGTTAAACTTAATGTCTCCCCGTGACCACGACTGCTGCAAAGCATCCGAAACGTCGGGCCGTAGTTAAAATATTTTTTTAAATAAATTTAACCAATATATTTCGCGTTTTAAACTGTTAAAGTGTTTTATTTAAATGTGTACTACCCTTGCCCAGTAAATGTACCTTTGTGAAATAAATGTGTCTGAATTTGAAATAAAATAAACAAGTACAACTTAATTTTAATATAGTAATATTTCTTCAGTTATTTCTAATGCATGTAATAATAAGTTGTCACCGATATAATCACATATATAATTCAAAATTATACCACATTTTAAGTGCTGCTTTGCTCTCATTACTGAAGCATTATATTTAAATAATCAATTACTAAGCACGCATTTTCACGTCGTTAAACTCCATCTTCGATAAACGAGTGCGTGTGTAACGAGGGTTGGCCCACGCTAAATAAAAGAAAAAAAGTTTACTTCTTTTGGAGAAAAAACACCGTATTAACTTTGTGCAACGAAAGAGACTATAAGCTGGAATAAGATTAAAATAAGTTCAATTATTTTACGCGAGGAGTACACATTTAAATAAAATGCTTTTAACGGTTTAAAACGCGAAATATATTAGCTAACTCATATAGAATTTTCTTTAAATACGGTCCACCGTTTCCAGTGCTTTATAGCGGCCATGAGACCATAGCTTAAATAAGACAAATTGGAAACAAGGTAACTTATATTATTTCGCGTTCTAAACCGTTATATTTTTTTTTCATATACTTTTTTACATACTTTGTTTTATTTAACATTATTAAACCGGTAAAGAAACCGTCTAGCGGTTTATGCGAACCGGCTTCGGTACCTTAAGACATACGTCTATAAAAGCTCTTTAAAATCAAATTAAAATTTATTTCTATTACTATGCTCATATACAAAAATTACTTACTACTTACTTAATATTAGTTATAAGGGTGAATTTAATTTTTCGACTTACTGTTGAAAGTCCTTTACATGCGTAACTATTTCTTTAAGAGTTTTTGGCAGCCCTAGCGTATGCGACGAGCGTCCCGCTCTATTAAGAAATTAATATAATTTCTCCGATCGCTCGTAAAAGGGAAGCGCGTCGATCGTTCCGAATCGATCGATATTATCGATAACGATCGTAATCGATTCATCGAGTTGAGATCGTCGATGGCGCAAGTTCACGGTTTTACGCAATTACGCAACCTTATCCGAGATGACTCTCCATTTCCTACAAGCCAGCGTCGGGCCGAGAATAATACAGCCTTTCGGATTAATTAACGCCGGCACAGTGCGGTTCCCGAAGAGATAATGTTTTAATTGTGTAATAAATAATGCTGTTTATACTGGCCTTTATTTCTAACATCTGGAGCTAGATATTTAAATAGGCTTAACGACAACATGTAATTATACAAATCTGACGTTGAAGGCATTAATGCGGTGTCTGATTGATAACCGCCTTAGTATCTCAATGATTAGAATGTTTGCCTAACATTGAATTACGCACGAAAGATACTAGGTTTAAAGCCCGACGAAATAGTAAAATGTTTCGTTCAGACAGGGCAGAGAAGTCTGACCCCATTGATTGTAAGTAGAATTTATAAGTACAACAAAACGTGTTAGATAGAAACGGGATTTTACACATATTCAATCCCTCTTTACGTACTTGAAGTATACTATGTTCTTTTATTATTAAAATGATGATGAGATTAAGATTTATTTACCGGTAAAATACAGCGCATTTGTACTACCCACTACCGACCACTACTATAAGAACGACAACTGTCAAAGTGTCAAGGATGCGCAATTGCGCAAACGCATGCGTGGAGCTCTCGTTACACATTCTGACATAACGGTTTTATCTATATACTCGCTGTATCAGCGACTTCGTCCGCATGGAATAGTTATTTTATACATCAAACTTTGTTTTTTGCAAAACTCCTCCACCATAGTCGTTCTTGCGAATTAATCTTAAAAGATCGACATATGTAATAATATGTAGTACGTTTTATTTTCACTATCCCGCATAATACGTTTTCTCGCTTAAGACGCGTTTTCGGTACGGCGTTTTACTGTATTATACTGTTGCGGACATTTTCATAGATCATTTAATGAGAAATCATTCTTCATACATATTATATGTTTGGGTATCTTGGACCGTTTTCCTAGCGTACCTACGCAAAGGATACCCACAAAAATGAATATTTTCCTCGTATTTTTCACAAAAAAAAAACATAGACTCAATTCTTATTAATAAGTAATTCGGTCTTAAGACATCCTTCTAAAAGATCATGATCTTTATCGCTGTATTTTAGCTCATAGTTACGCAAGCTACACGCACTGTGAAGCGGTAAATCAGATCGACATGCGCTTACGCCGAATAGCACTTTGACAGCTCGGCATTCCTCACACATCAACAAACGCTTAACGAGACCGCTGCACTCGTGTAATGACCGTAATTTTTAATGTAAACAACATTCATCTCATGATCTCCGTTATTGTATGTTCTGAGAAGACTTAATATTAATAAAAATGTCTCTTTAAACATCTTAAAATATTTCAAGATTCTCGTTATATTTTTAATGGGCTAGATTATTTTATCTTAAAACAAAATAAAAGATTGTAACTGTTTAGGTACAAAGCAAGGGTAATATGTTATTAACTAAAGAGTAGACTATTTCTTATTATATTATTGAATGTTTCCTCTGGGTAATCAGACCTTCTAGACATTGCTAGGCACGGATGCAATTATATAGATAGTGAACTATAATGATTGTCTTTAAACAAAATAACCTCTTCTTTTATTATATTAGAAGTTTAGCTGAAAATCAGTGCTGCAACTTACGTTGACGCAAGACCATCTTGGCAACGTCTTTCTTATAAAATATAATTCAATCTTTTACATTGCGTATAATTTTATTGTTTACCAGTCTTATACGAAATGAATGCAAAAAAAGAGATATATTTTTATCAAGATTTATAACTAGTTTTTCAATGTAAGGATTGGTATACATAAGTACGTTCTTTATTTGGGTTTCTACCTAGTTCTTCTTTGTAATATAAAATGTCCAATGAGCCACTATAGGTTTACAATATATATTTATATATCTTCTGCAGTAAAAGCACACAATTATAGAACAGCGAATTACCTTCAGTTACCATTCGCAGTGTAATCGTGGGGTTCTCGATAAGACCAATTTAGAGATAAGAGCGTCGGGCCACGCCTAGCGAAATTGTTTTATATGGAAAAATGAGCGTTTTATAAGGCGCTCGCACATTCATCGCGACGCGAGACTCGTAAATACTTGTTGGTGGTCGAGCAATTGATGGTAATGGCGATGTATTGTGACAATGTGAACGCAGACTGCACCCTGGCCTATTAGCGCTTCTGGCATTTACTTATTAAACGACCTTATTTATTCAGTTATTACAGCTTTGCTACATACAAATTAAAAATCAAATAGAATTTGTAAAAATTACGACACGGGTAGGACTTGAAGCGGCATTCACAGCGTTCCGTGCTGTTGCTCTAACCAATTGTGTTTTTTAAGCTTACGCGCAATATAATTTCAACCACGTGCGTATTCGTATTAACTTTGTTACATACCACAAAACGAAAAATATAAGAGAAAAATCTTACGTACCAACATGTTTATAAAAGAAGGCCTTATCGCTAAGCAGCGATTTCCACCAGGCAATCAGTAGTACAGGAGAAAAGAAATGGAAAAAAGGCTTATTTATTAGTAGCTAACTGATTAAGAAACTATTATATTGAATTCGTTATTTCTTAAATCTCGTTATAAATTTCGTTAGTTAAATTAAGTTTTAAAAGTAGTTACCTAACTTTGTAAGTATGCGTATGTATCGTAATTGCGTTAGTAACAAATACATCTGTAACTAACGTCTCATTCAAATTGTAACATCAAAATAGCAAAGAACAGCCTGCAATCTTTGTCCGCCTGCCAACAGCTGGCGCGGCAGGTGCGGATCGGGCCCTTCGCCGAAAATCGTCCACCTGCACATCTGCTCTTTTAACCGACATTTGAAAGAATTTCAGTGACGAGTTAACAAACTTATGTCTGACATTCTCGTGTATTGAAAAGGGATTTCTGTTTCTCAATGAATAAAACTGTTACGATCAGCATCTCTACCTGATATATCTCCTAAATTACTAAATAGAAATTTGACACGTCTAAATTCTAAATGGATCAAGCAATTCTTCGACTCCTAATCTTTCAACTGATGACAAAGATACGTTTTCTATCTAAGTGTAGATTTCGCTTAAAACGCTGCTTCTTATACTAAATATAGACAAAAATTAACGTATTGTCCTGTTGTTTCGGCCCAGTCGCCAGTGATCTCCACGTGTCACAATCACTCCCTCCACAACGTAAGTGTCGATCGATTTCGCCCCAATACCTGGCCAGTAGGCGAGTGTTGGCAAGGTCGCGGGCGTGCCTGACCCACTTACCTGGCCCCGTAAGGGCGGCGATCTTTTGTATCGATTTTGGCTCACGGCGTACAATAGTGACCCTTTGTTTCATATCTTGGCGCGTTACGAAATGCTTGTGTCAAATAAATTGTGTTCGTTCTATATACATAGGATATTAGTTAAGACATCATGGTATTGTTAACTTTGAAGTAGAACTTAGACTTAGAAGCGAGTAGTGTCAGTATCGAACCAATATTGCAGAAGATGTTCCAGCCCCTTAGTAAATACGAAAATCTAGATTTGAGGTTGCCTCTCAGAATCATTATCAACTCGTGTGTAAAATATATAAGTATGGATTATAGAACGAATCCAACGTCTTAACTATCAATAAAAGTTATTCCATTTTTAAATATACAATCAACTTACACTTTTTATACTGGAATTAAGAAATCTTGGACTATCTACGTGTTTAAATGTTTCTTAAGCATTAAAAAACTAAAATAGTAAAATTGAGCAAGTTTATAAAACTTTATTTTAGCAGTACTTCATACTAAACTGTATATTACTTCCAAAACTAAACTTGTGCTAAGTATAGGCATATGGAGTAAATATGGTCCGAGTTCAAAACAACAAAAAATCAGCAAGCCAAGCTCATAAGTTCAATTTCCCGCGACACTTGACCCTGATTGTTATTCACAGCTTTATGACCAATTGTTTGTGTGCGCTGGTGGCAAATGTGTGTGTACTGTACACACTCAACATCTAGAAATTGACTCCGTAGCGCAATATTGCACTGAGCACAGAGTAACTCTCCATAAAAGATTTATTTTGTTGAAAATCCACGTAATATTGGTGTAATACCTATACGTTTGTACCAAAAGAAAATGACTATTAATTATTCTAGTACATTTTCTTTTTACACTGTATGTTTATTTAGTATTAAAAACGATTGAAAATTTAATCGCCAGGAATTAACAAAAATCTTAAGTAAGCAAAACGCGTTGCTTATAAAACGTTAAACAATAGTGACCCCAAATTTATTTCTAAAGCTTTACATTTACGTACCATTGTATCAATAAATGTTTCAAATTATATAAAAAATTGCACTTCTATACAAAAAGACATCATCAATGTTTTTCACTAGTCTAACTCTGCATCCAAATGGATAAACGTATTGCCTAGTATTGCGTTAAGTGTGCGAGTCCTGGGTCGGAATCCCAGGTAAACATAAAATTGTTTCGGTCGGGCAGGGCACAGAAGTCTGGTCAACTACTTGCCCCTTAAAAGAACGGATCAGTGAAACGGACACAGAAATGTGTTCGCCCCATGCCCCACAAGGGGGAGGGGGAAACGGACTTTCACTTTTTTTAACTAGGGACAAGACTTGAATCCTGCTGCTCAGTCTGTCTACGTATTGCGTTACGCAAAGAAGCAGTCTATCCTCCTATATTTTTGTAAATGTCTCTGCATGACGTTACTCTGGGTCTGCGGTAACGCACAATGGACGCGCAATGAAGGGTTGAACCGCGCAATCAACTTTCAAATTGGAAACAGCAACGGCCATTGTTGACAGCCGCCTCTCCACCACCCTCCCGAGACTCATTCAAACTTCCCTAATGGCTATGTCACAAACAGTAGATTACATCTTAATCAAATGAGTAATATCGATGTATGTAACACGAATTACATGTATACACACATTTATTGTAAAAATACTAAAATCAGGCACAAGTATATCACTCTTATGGGTTTACTACGGTAAATAAGTTTAACTAATAGATTTCGCGTTTTAAACCGCTTAAAATTGTATCGTTTAAATATGTAGGTACCACTTGCGTGGACTACAGACAGAGTGTCACAACTGACTTTGTAAGTTGTAAACTGGTAACGTATTGCTGTTATCTTCAATTTGTTTCTAACTGTCAAACACTGAACAAAGTTATATGTGTGATATACTTTTTAACATTCGTTGGTCTTGTTGCTTGCGTTGCCCGCAGCACTTATTATTATATCCTTCCATTCAATATTTATAATCGATTAATTTAAATAACGTGGACTCTAACAAGCGAAGACACAGAGAATGACTAAACATCTGCAAAGGTAGGTGCGCATATCGTCCCATTGTTCGTATCGATTAGCCGCGGCCAGCATCGCAGCGGCGTCATTAGTTGCGCGCGCGCACTGAATGTCAGCACAATGCGCGGGCGGCGATTGCAACTATTATGTTTCTATATAATTTTTACCGTCCGATCGCTATAAGTCCGTATATATCTTACTCAATTTCTTTACCTATATTCAGAAGGAGCCAATAAGTACTTACTTAATAAATGAGTCTTTATTTACTTTCTGACACTACTGCTTTTATTAGATAGCGATAGACATTAGGAGCAGACTGGAATCACTACTTAACAAGTAAATTATATAATACAATATTTTTGTTAAGAAATTATTAAAATAACACAAATGACACTTCTCGTCTCTATGTAACTCCAATCATCGAATATATATACTCAAGCTAGTTAGGCCGGTCAGTAGTCGTAATCACCAACCCATCACTCAGTATGTTGGGGCTAACACTATCTCTAGTTCTTTAATAGTTCGAAACGAACAGGAAGGAAAGCAGCAATCGAGCGAATCAAAATAATAATTCCGCCGCAACGTGTGCTCGAACAAAGGCGGCAGCTGTGTCGTTCATTAGGCGGGCACTAATTAAGAAAATTCTGAGACGAGAGAGCTAACGCTCACAATGTGCGCAAGTACTTTATAATTAGTTTCATTTACAGTTAAAGGCTGAACAAAATTAGGAGACGAGTAAATAAGCAGTTTCTCATTTTTCCTGCTATGTAAAACTCGTTCTGCTTTGTCTTTCCTTTTGAACAGTATTTCATACACCCTCCTTTATATACATAGTCTTTATACCACGGCTGCTGCCAAGTATCTGAGAAGTTGAGCCGTAGTTTAATTAATAGTTAATAATAAAAACATTTCGCGTTATAAACCGTGTAAAGTGATTTATTTCATTTGACGGACACGTCGATGTAATATGTAGCAATGTATGCCTAACAATAAACGGGTCGTCGGATCGAATTCCCCGAGTCCAACATGATTCTAATTAATTATATTTTTAAATACTGTCTATAGTTTACGCGAGTCATTTAAATAATAATAATATTATATCGCGTTTTAAACCGTTAAAGTGTTTTATTTAAATTATATTTTTTCTGAAAAATATTAGACCTCATCCGGAAATATGGTTATTAAATGGCAGGAGGTATGTTTAAATTCCACCGGGGCCACGAACCACCGTCCACAGATATACAGAATAGCCATCAAGTTTAATCTCCTTTCGGATTTAGTCTGTGACTTTCCGAATATCCAAAGCCAAAAAATCAACAGCGCATCTTGTTTAAATGTTATATCGCTGAGGAATATTCCCCATCTTCCATCAAGTAAACTCCATGTCTGTTTGTCCTCTATCATAAAAAAATTGTAAATAACGCTTATTCCACTAAGGACCGTATGTATGATCTATCTAATGAGAACTATGAGGTTTGCCCTCTTTTTGTAGAGACCCCTCCATATCAATGGATGTAAACACTATGGCTGCGTTGTTCACAACTTTCTCCGTCCGATATGTCTGGTCGGTAATGTTTAGTTTGCTGGTCAAAGAGCGAACAACAATGGACGTCGTGTCGCCGTGATTTGCTCCCACGACGGCTATCCGAATCGATACAGTTTAGTGATGTATCTAACTAACACTTGTATCGATCTCGATAATCTTAAATAATTAGACTACAGTTTTTGTCTTACAAGCTACATTTTTTTAACATCTTGTCTCTCATCATATCAATGATTTTAAAATCTTGATGACCCCAATTTTTTTTTATTTAACAAATGCACTTCCCTGATTTTAAATTGCCAATACCTTGTTAAAGGCTAACGCATCTTATCAATCGAGTACAGTAAATCTCTAATCGAGTATTAAGAATTCTTTTTATTAAGGAAAAGTTCTTATTTTTAATAATTGTTTCACTAGATACAATATTTTAGAACGAATACTTTTTTACAGTGTTGGTAAATATAGTCCGTGTTGTAATGTAGCATTAAAACCACTGTTAATTCTCAGAAATCTTCGCATTTGTATTATTAGTACACTGTAATGCTTCAGTTACTGTCTAATGTCCATCCATACTTTATACCTATGTGTATATTTCTATAAGACTTGCCAGCATACATCAATAAGACATGACAAAAACGCGCGGAATGCCGTCCATCGACAATCGTCCACTCAGCGGGACATCACTATGTAGTACGTAGCGCGAGAACTGGCCCACAAAGAGATGCGCGACTTTCTCTAACCTTTCCGGGACGATCCGCCGCTGACCTAAGGGCTTCGTGCTGCTGCGCTATCTCAGCACTATCTGGCTCCCAGACCATTCATAGAGTTGATTAGTAGTAATTGAGTAAGGATAAATGAGACCCACTAGAGGCAGAGTAGCCTAACTGCAAATTTATGACTTGAGTTATTTATTTTTTAAAGTCTAAAAATATTAATCTACAAGAGCATAGCGACCAAAAACTATTAACATATTTTTCACACAAATAATAGTACGAATTCATTTTCGCCGAAGTTAAGTGCGCACTTTTATTTTCTTATTGAAAGTCGTGTTTTTTGTTATTAGACTCTGCCGCTCGAAGTCACAAATGGGATATATGTTATTGGTATAAACAAATCTAAACCAAATGTTGCTGTTCGCCATTTTAGTCTATGTCCAAATAGATAAAAGATGTTTATAATTTAGGACGTCAATTCTGTCAAATCTACATTAAGATAATATAAAAGTTATGTTATGGATTAGTATCATCGTAGTTTTGAAGTGATCAGACGTTTTAATAATAAAGTTACATTTAGTAGTAGTAACGGATATATTGTGTTACGTAATAACAAGTTTGGTTTTTGAAATTTTGTGTTTTTTTTAAAACTTTATAGGACTTTAACGTTTAATAGGTTATGTCACCCAGTGTTGTTTATAAACAGTTTCAGATAGCAAGTATAAAAACTATATTTTTTGCAATAAATCATATATATGTATATAGTACGTTCATACAATTCTGTGAGCGCACCGACATTGAAATATTTAATTCATTTAATTTTACTTTTTAAACAACTTCAAATGTACTAGAGAGAACTAGTTAGTAAGTTATTTGATTCCCTGTCTTACCTATAACGGTGATGACGTCAGAATAAACCGCGTTCACTCAACTTAATAACACTTGTCCCCATACTAAATACCGATCTAAAACAAGAAACCGAATGCCATATTTCACGCAATTACAACGACATTATTTCGCCGAGTACATCAAAACTGCATTTAGCCGAGTTCTATTTCGAACGAGGCGTGTCGCCGGCGCACCCAAAACAATCTGTTGCCGCGTCATAAAAGCGACAGAAAATTCGATCGCCATTTCACAATTATTAAGAGCACAAAATACCACTTTCGCCAACGTTCAATCATCCGTGTCCATTAGACAACGCAACGGCCCAAGGACGAATTAATACCTAGATTAGAATAAAACGGCTCAGTGCGAGTCGGACTTAAAAATAAGGGGTTCTGTCTTTAAATACGAAACTCCTATGTATGTGTGTTATAAACATCAATAAGTACAGCACAACAGTTCGGTCTTCTTGATAAAAAGAAAGAAATATAATTATTCTAAAGTTCTTTTATGTTAATTGTCATGATTTAGTACTATATTTTTTTTCTCTGGGAAGTGTAAATATAATTTTTAATAAGTTAGATATTCTGTGACCGTCTCTTTTACAGGCGTATAGTCAATTATGTAGACTTCTGTGCTCAGCCCTACCGAAACAATATATGTTTCCCCGAGATTCGAACCCAGGTGCAATTAATGTAATGCGGTCAATGTGGGAAAGATTCTAAATGAACCATAACTGCAAATGTAAGTAATATTATTTTGATATTATGTTGACGCTTCTGAGAAAAAAGTTCCTTAGACAAATGAGCATCCATGGTTCTCAAAACGGAACCCTGAAAATAACAATGATCAATTACGCCCGACGGCTGATAAAAATCTAAACAATTAGCGTTTTGTCAACACTAATTACGCAATAGGCGGTCATTCAGACCCGACGCCGATGACTTAGTTTTTTACTGACGCAACAATTTAGACAAGGTCATTATTAATAATGAAAATTAAAGAAACCGTGTGGCTTAGTTATAAATAATTTTGGGAAACATACCACTATTTTCGGGGTAAAACAAATGTTAGAACGCATTTTATAATTATTACATCTATACTATATTATAAAGCTGAAGTTATTGAACGCGCGATTCGGGGGCGATAATACAATGCTACTAACAGGAGCGAAGGAACTGAGGGAAATGTGGAAAAAAAAACAGATAATCTTTGAAGGTTTCTTTGTGTGTAAAAACGGTTAAAGGTGATAAAAAAATGTATCAAATAATTATTCTTCTTCAAATAAGCTAAGAAAAATCGGGGATAGTACCTATGTTTTAATTTATCTCTACAAATATGTTTATTTAAGAATACACAGGTAAACATTCGGTGTGCATTGGAGCACTTATTTATTCTCGTCTCGTGATTTATGTCCCATACCCCAACCGGGGACACCACACTTCACTAGCAATTAGCCCCGCGACATCATGCAACGCATGATTGATGCGAACCGTTAATTGCCTATCGGAATACATAATTGAGAAGTCTTCGGAGTCGTCCACTTTATCTAATGGCGAGATAATGATGGAATAAATCATGTGGAGAGGCCTCGCCCGGGGGAAGCGTGAATGATAGCAGCGGAAATGGATATTATGATAACGATGGCCATCAACTCGCCAGATTTAGCGAGCCATTTGCGATCGGGCTAGTTGAATCTGATTGCCCGTATACATCACTGCCTCCTTACGTTCATCCGTTATGATGATAGAGTTTATAGCCGGTGGAAAATAGGCAAATAAAGAAGGGACAAGGGAAGACTTGGCTAATTTTAAGGAGTTTCAATTTATTTACTTAATACACCGTGTGTTGAAGAAAGAAAGAAGCTTATCAATATGAAAGAAATTGATCAACTTTTAAAATTCTTAGCAACTATAAATTTCGGCTAAACGATTTATTTACTATTCAATTATAATTTATAGAATGTGGAATTTTAATACCCATTTTACTAGTTACTGTAAGTAAGGTTACGGTACGGTAAGTGCAACTGATCTGATATTCGACGGGCGCGGTCCAAGAGACCCATATGGATGCAGGCAACAGTTACTCCGCCGTTTTCGTATTGCCCTTCTTGGGCGGGTGGTGCACGCTAATGTTAGTCCTTTTGTCGCACCGCTAACTGTAAACGACAGGGCAAATAACAGAACAGTAGGAATAATGCGTCAGTGACGTTAATATTCAGAGCGCTGCACGCGGCGTCGCCTCAAAGACATGCCTCCCATTGAGCTCTTATCACACGGATACAGCGGTTCTATATTGTCCATAATGAATGGCCTAACTGTTGAATGGAATTCATTAGTTCTATTAGCCGCCCGTGACCCGGCCCAATATAGGTCACTGCCATCGACCGGATTTTACGATTATCGCGTGTTGCGAAACTCGCACGTTGGCAAAATTTCAAAATTCCCGACGTCTGTAGTACGTCTAACAATGACGAGAGCGGGTGTGAATCATAAAGCAGCCGAGGATCGGCGCATTGTGAAGACCTCCCGGAATTCTTTAAATATCACTAACTGACGATTGTGCACCTATCGTCTACAGTCGGAGAGTCGAATTTCGTTCTACCGTCAGCTATCCTGTTAACTCTATGATATGTGGCCATAAATTTAGAATAACGGAAAGCGTGGCGTCTGCGTATGCGTTTTATTTCCCTGGCCTTCGCGCATGAATGAGATGCCGAGCGGTCAACGCTCAGACGTCAGAGCGGCTAATTCTAGGCGCGGAGGCCCAATAATAACGAATGGATTTATGGCTCATTAGGCTTTGGAAACAGGAGTGCATTCCGGGCCGGTGCTCTGATAAACACGGTGTCGTCGACCTTTGCCGTGAACTAAAAGAAAAGTGAAAGCGCCCGGTGACAAATCCGCCGGCACGTGGCCATCGGGCACAGTTGAAACTTTACCAATTTTCCCAGGGGACGGACGTCAAGGTAACGTTGCTCTGGAATGCATAATGTCAATTGCGCCAGCTTTGATACACGATGTAATATTATATACAACGTCTAAGCCATGATTGTATATTTTATCAAAGAACTAATTTAGGGTCTATTTCTAATCTAGTAGTCTATTTTAAATTATCTACTTTTACGAGTAGTACTTACACATAAAATACTTTTTACGGTTTAAAACGTGAAATGTATACCTTTACGTTGTAATTAAAATAAAGTTTTAATGTCTCTTTGCTAATTGTAATATGAAAACTGTTGTTATATAAAATCTGCGTCAGTAAATTAACCCTACTGTTTTCTTGCGTCTGGTGTTGGTCTGTGGAACACGAGGTATGTCGTATGTCGTCTGCTGAGGTAGAAAATAGATGAAGCGCTTTATTAAAAGTGAAGTGCGCGCGGACGGGCGTCATTTTAATAATAGAGGTGGAATGGTCCGTACTGTCACTTGGAATTCACGACATGGGCAGACATGATACTATAATTTATATAGTGCCAATATGTGTATAACATGTGAAAAATATTAAAGTTTTCAAAGCTTAAAACCTTGTAGTTTCGTCTTCAATGATTCCTTAAACTGGACCTAAAGACATTGGATCATAAATCGCAAAGTCACGGTGGAAATTACATTGCGCGAGAGGTACTTGTATCAATAGATTAAGAATTCGACGATGACGTGTAGGACACAGTAGTTCAATCGGTTAGAGCAACAGCACGGAACGCTGACGATGACGGTTCAAGTCATGGCCGAGTCGAAAATTTTTTTAATCTATTTTGTGATTTTTAAATGATTTATAATTTACAAAACGTATTGTCATGCAATCTTAGAAGCTAAACTGTAGTTTTACGTGGTAAAAGTCCACCACACATAAAATACTCCAAGGCACTCGGTCCAAGTGACGACGACATCGCGACATCGTCCGGTCGAGTCGTTTAATGCGAACCCATTTGGTGTGTCGGAATGCGCGCGAGTTTATCGTAATGATGTTTCAATGCACTTCGACGCACGGCGAGAAAGTCTAAAGTAAATGTTGCACTCACAGAATTAACATAAGCTGTGTAAAATACACATCTAGTGCACTTCAATATTCATAAATTACACATATTAACTATATGTATATACATTCCCCGTTTGCGATTAAAAAGTCCAGCTAAAATTTAAATTAAACACTTACAAGGTAAGTGGATTTCTTGTGCAAGCGAATTCCAGTCATTGAGAATATTTATTCTATCGTGC